AGCACTTCACGATCAGTCAATACAATTTAGAACCTGTCCTGTGAGTCATTAGCTTCAACTATGACCTATATAGGCCTTCTTCCTGCATTTGACTTCAGAAGCTCTTGAAATTGAAAAGTACCATGCATTTATCATATGTTTCTTATTATATGTATTTATATTTACTTGTAATATATCAAAATACGCATAAATTATGCATCCATATTTAAGTTGCTGCAAGCTATATTCTATTGAAATATCTTCATCTTTATCAAGCTTTTTGATCTCAAAACTTCAGCAGATGTCTGACCTATAGCATACATTTTACAAATCTATATATAGTAGACAGATGTATATTAAATATGCCTATGAGATTGGGTGTATACATTTTTTTATACAACTTTGAAACATCAAGCAGAAAATAACATTTACACCTCATTGAATGACTTTACATGATATGTATGTTACATGTTTGTTGAACTTTCTCTACAAGTCTTCACTCGACTGTAGTGTATGATGGTCATGATTAGTTGATAACAAGAAATATTGGCACATATCCACCAAAGATATTCTACAGATTCTTCATTAATGACAGTGTATGTTATTAAATCATACTTGACTCCTAGGTTTGGAAAGGCATTATTAACATGTTATATTATTTCTTTCAAAAGTGCGATTTGGCTCTATTCAGAAAAATGATATTTTAATTACAAACATTTACAATTACTGGAAAATTTGACAGTCAACTGAAAGCAGTGTTCATGATCAATCCTACTGAAGAAACCATTTAATAAAGGTAATGAGGTGCACATCCAATCAGTGCAGTATACTATTTGTATATACAATACAGTATAGAAATGGCATTTAAAGAGGAAACCCAAACTGGCTTACAAGGTGTACCCCCATCAGCCCATTGTTCAATAAATCAGAAAGGACCCGATCTTGCTGTTAAACTGACACAGTAGGAACCAGTGCCCCCTTTCACCAGTGTTTGAATGTTTGTTTAGGCCAAGGGTTTTGTTTAGTGTTGCATTCAGTCCTACAAACAATACATTTTCATTCCCTTGCCAAAGAAAAATATGATGTTATGTCAATGCACCACACACTCTCCTTTCTATGATGAACTATATTACAACTCTGGATTTTGAAGAACGATACTTGTATGTTCTGCAATATGATAAAAGATTATACCCTGCATGATTTCATGATGAACTATGCAGAAATTGAAAAAACTGTACCCCATCCTGTGTTATGAAGAACTCTTCATACATATCGGTGTCTTTAAGAACTGGTATATTCTATTCCACAACTGGGTTTTCAAAAAATGCATCCCACCAATGTTACATAGAAATGTAACCCTTTATGTGTGAACCATATATGTTTTATTTGTTTCAACTTTAATAATATGTACCGTATGTTCTGGGTTATAAGCCACAGCCTTTTCCTCTGCGGTCAGGTGTGTGGCTTATATACCAGTGCAGCTTATATGTGGACAAAAAACTAAAAATAGGCAGAATGAAAAAAAAAAAGAAGCATATAATAAGCTGGATATAAGTTCTGGACCATATTTCGGAATGGCCATTCTGTCGAGGCATATCACATTCACTATTGACCTGCATGACCTTAAACCCTGATAATTTTGGTTGCTGTGACAAGTCTTGCTTCCAGGGAGAATAAAAAATAGTGATTTAAACCAAGGATACCAGTATGAGATGTTGGTACCAATTTTTTTACGAGTACGAGTACCTGTTCATCATGTGATAGATAGGCCATCGGGTCAAATTCTAAAACGACAGCCATTGTTTATGATATGAATGGCTTCGTGTAATTTACAAGAGGAAATAATACGGGACAATAAAAATTTGGCATGGGCCTTCACTAATATTAAACAATACAGACACCGATGGAGATATTGTTACATAAACTGCAGGTAACATCAGGCCCTATATCTGTGCGTAGGCAATCTTTCCCAAGCAAAATGAGTAAGATAATTACTTTTTTATGGTTTTGAAACACATCAATCAAATAACGGATTATCTGTGTATAGTGCAAACTTTTAAAAATGTTTCATTGATGATCTTAATAAACTGTTCTCCATTGTATCTGATATCAACAAACTTTGGTCAACATAACAGTTATCACTTTGTCAGAACGTCCTTCCGTTATTTGTTACCAGTTTATCAAACGTCAACAATATGGTCACCATATCGCAAGAAAGGGTGTGGCTTATATTCCAATGCTGCTTATATGTGGATCAGATGGAAAAAAATTGCTAAAAAACTGGCCCAATGCCTTATATACCAGGGATGCTTATAACCAGGAAAATATGCTGCTGAAATTACTGAAACTCTAAACATGTTGATGATTGATAAATTTGAAACTTTAAATGTGGGACATAATCAATTACATGCCAAACAATCAAACATTTTTATTGAAGATGACTATCAATGGCAAAATTTGAAATTTTGAATACATTTTCCATCAAATCAGTGAAATTTGTGCAAAATGTGCAATTCATGGAACAAAAATTAAAATTCCAAATCAAAAGATTGCTACTGGCATTGGTATTGGATACTGAAACCAGGACAAAACTTTGCAACAGGTTATAAATGATTTATTTTGCTACAATAAAAACCAACACACAAAAAGTCACTAAAAATTAAAGGTACAAAGTAGGGAGAATGCACATAATGTGACTATAGGACTTCATCTTTTGATGTCACTAACTTCTTTGAGTGTCTTGGGCAAAAATGTCTGAAGATGCATTACAATTACCATGGTATTTGTATAAAATGTACATGTGTGCCAAGCTGTCGGTCTCGCTAGAGTAAAATTGTCATAACTGTCATCTTTCATATATGAAACTGAAACTTTGCATATCAATGTATTGTAATCATATCAAGTACAAATCTTTTGACTTCCCTTACTTTAGTTATAATTTTTAAGGTACATAATAGGTGCTGCCCTCGAGTGTGATACACAATAAATGAGTGCCAGCGGCAATCAAGGAAAATTTAACTCTCCACTACTCAATCAATTTCACAAATTAATATCAACAAGAAACTTGGTAAAATTTGTGTATTGTGATCATATTTATGATGTCACTAACTATAATGATTATCTCAAAGTATCTTTACAACTCTCACGGTCAACGATTATTACTTATTGCCGACTTTAAATTAAACGCCAAAAATAGATGTCTATGATCCCATAATTCTGTGCATTCCCCCCATATTGACCAACCTCAGAGAATCTTCTGCAAACAAGGGCAATGCTAGTTTATGGTTGACACCATTTTCAATCTGAATAATTTCATGAATACCTAGTCTGTCAATTTTGTAAGGTTCTAGTATAATACTACATTGTCTCATAGCAACAGTATACATGCATGACACATTTTGAAAAATAGCATATGACTGCCGCCAAGGGTCACTAATATATCACTGGAAAATTTCTACCAATCAGAAAGCTGGGATTGGTAGCCGCAGCTAGTTTCAAAGGCTGTGACAACAGGCTGAAGATATAACTATGTTACATTTCGTCTAAAAACTGACAACGAGGCATTCCTTTGACGATTACCAAGAAGTGACATCCTCAAGATCCATTTGTTGTGCATCAAAAGATCAAACTAGTCTCCTCGTCTTATCCACATGGTATCCCACATGGAACCTTCAATTTTGCAATGTTCTAAGGGTGCAGAGAGTGATAGTGAGAATAACCCTTTTAAGTATAGAGGATGATTCATACTGTATCACATGATCTATAACTAACTGATCTTATTGAACTTTGTTGGCCTAAATCATAGGCAGTTTTAATACCTAATGAATCAAAGCTATATGTTTCAACCTTCAGATTTAGGTTACCTGTCATCATATATATATTGTTCAGTCATTCATGCATAACATCAAATTTATTGGATAAAAGAACACATATGTTATACAAATTCATTCAAAGAGCTTCACTGGCCTGTTATTGCTAATGTTAAACATCCTAATCATTATTCAATGATTTTCACATATGCTAATATAAATGAAACCATGGCAATGCTACCAATTTATGGTCTCATTTAACCAGCTCTTGCATCTCAGATTCAAAACAATGCAAAAGGCATCGTCTCAAATTTGTATTTTCACAAAAACCAAATAATCATTTATGACCATTCATATTGATTCTGGTCTTGTTCTGCTAATCTGATGAAACTCCATCACCTTCAGTATTACCCTTCAACTTAGCATTCTGCAGCTGAAAGTCATTTAAAGAATTTAGCCATGGCCCTATATCACATGTTTTTATCTGGAAGCAGTTGCCTTCATGTTTTGATCACATCTCGGTCCCTGTCATCTCAAATTTAGGTAAAGGGAATTTCTTTCAGCAAAGTTAATAATGCCACTATGCTTAACCTATTATAAATCATCACAGACCTAAGTTTAAAGGCATTAAAAATACACTTATATTGCTTAATATTTTTATGGTAGGACTGTGACAAATCTTTGAAGAAAGTAATAATCACCTCATATTTTGTCAATGGATTTACAATGTCAATAAACAGCAGGCCAAGAAGATGCACGTCCTTTGTAAATCATTCAGTTCACAATTGTGGTTCAGAATTTACAATTGGTTATATTGACATGGTTATTAGAACTTCTGAGTTGAGAAGATGAACTGGCGTCATGTCGAGTGTAAATGTGTAGGTAAACAAAACGTTATCAGTTCTCTTTTACAACATTGGCTAACAGCAGGCAGATAGAACTTCTCGGTCTACTTGAAATTAAAGCTAATAGAGTGAGTGAATGGACATTCAGAGATGTGTGGAGATCTAAGCCTGGGTGGAGTTTATATCCATAGCCAAGGTAATAAATGCACCAGTGAGTGACCACATGCATTCCATCAATCTACACTAGACTATTTATACATCTACTGTAGACCTTTGGCTAAATCAGAAATTACTCTCCTCGCCTTTGACAGGCTGTGCAAACATTGCCAATTCACTTTACTAAAGATAAGCATGATACAGAACTTACCCGAGCGTTGAAATAAAACCACAGACACTTCCCTCTGCATACAAGGAAACAATGTCCCCGAAATGTAACACGGTTGCAGACATTTTGATGGAAATTATTCTGTTTCTTTCGAATCGTCTGCTGTCATGCTGAAATCTTGATGTGAAACCATTTATGAAGAGTTTTACGTCTTGCTTCACTTCAGTTCATATTAAGGCGGTCACCTGAAAAAGCAAATCCATTAGGAATGCCCACGAACAATTTCCTTACATGATGAAGTTTAAAATACGCGAAAGTACATCCAAACTTGACAACATTTCACAGCCTTACCTTCGAGAGGCAATCGCTTCCGTGACTGTTGCACGCACTGACCCCTAGCGGGGAAAAACTGAACAACTTTTTGTTTAGTTAAGGATATATAAGCAAATAGAGATATAAAAAGAATCTCAGTAATGACTAATAATACTACATAGGTATAAAACTATTAAGATATTCGAAATAAGTATAAATACTCAAAAGACACATTCAAGGACAAAAAAATATACCAGAAAAACGGCTGATAGAATGGGAAGGGGGATAACTCCTCGTATGGAATGTACACAGTCGGTAAGAATTAACATGAATGATCAAAAGGGGAAAAACTGTGATGCAAGTCAGCTGACATTATACAAATATCTTATAATTACGGGTTCACATATACTTGGCATCGGCTGATAACCGCACAGTAGTAACATTGTTTATTTAATTAGTGTAATTTTCACCTGGGACAGAGGATGAGCTCCATTTAGGAAGTCCTTTTCTGCATGATCACTCCATCTTTTCCTAAACAAATCGCATAACGGTTAAATCACCGTATAAAAGAAATCGTAATTATTTGAATTAAATATACTATATAAAGTTTGTGTATACAGAGAATACAAGCGAAATAGCAAATGCATGGCTATAGGCAAATCAGCAAATGACAGCTAATTAACTAATTACATAATTAACTGATTTACAGTAAAGAGCAAAGTACAAGTGACAGTCTAACAATAGTGCAATTGAGTGCATAAGATGTGATGTATATACTTTGGAAAATATTTTTCACGGGATTTACCTCCGCTTTTATGGTTCATAGGGTGGCAGTAAGTGGAGAAATGGAACCTAAATTATAATAGTACCCAAATAGAGTCATTTTACTTAATGATATTTTTTATTATGTGTCCAAATTTTGGTCCTGGCTACGTTGAAAATTTTAGAAGAACCAGACTTAAACTACACAGGATAGATGGTTAAGGCATTAATTTCCATTGTGCTTGAGGTCATTTGATTTTTTTAATGTCCCACTTTCTGTAACATATCGATACGTACGTCCTATTGATATATGTATTTCCCTGACGATATCGATCCGATCTTAATGTTTTCTACATCCGATTTTACTAGTATTACACAGTCAGTCTGTGATGCCCCGGGGGCTTCATTACTGCCCTATCTAACGAATCATAAGTCATTCTTTTGAAGTGGATTAGAACAGGTAGAGAAGGGATGAGGTGGGTGGGTGAACTTGTTCTACCTGTCATTCCCCAAATCTATGTTACTGCGTGTGTGATGATCCACACCATCTGTGTGGGCGGATTAACTTGTTCTACCTGTCATTCCCCAAATATATGTTACTGTGTGTGTGATGATCCACGCCATCTGTGTGTCACGGTTTTCTCACTCTCTCCCATCACTTCTTACTATTTCCCCTCTACTCACTTTCCTATCTCTTCTCGTCCGCTAAAATGTCGAAAGGTCGTAATAGTGAATGTAAACCCCGTTAAATAAATAAATTGGGATCGGGAAGAGACGGACAGAATGTATCTAGACTAAACCACACGAACTATGTAAATATATAAGCTTGAGTTACAATGCTGTTGTTCTTGTAACACATCATAAAAGAACCTTGTTTACATAATATAACTTGAACAACATTGTACATGTAATGTATATGTAAAATGTGCACAGCACCAACTGTCATCCCATGCTAAGGTTTCTCACCACGTTAGAAATAAAAGAAATTACACAAAAAATGCAATTTTCCTATAAAAACTCTTCCGTCCATGAAGAGTGTTCAATAGATTAGAACTATCATATGTGGGAAATGAGAAGATGTTTGAACCAATTTGAACCCTATTGACAGCGCCTTCTAATTCACGGGGGTCAGCCAGGATCAATAAGTGCACACCTTCAAGCTGTCATCTTATAATTCTAATCAAGTTTGAATTATTTCCATTAAAAAATAAACAAATTACATTAAACTTATGTAATTTTTTTCTATATAGATATGAATATATAGATTTATTGCAAGCGGTACCCCATCCCCAGGGGAAAATGTGAAATGCCGCGGTTTTGAAATTTACAATTTTGGTAAAGCCCCTTCCATTTATGGAGAGTGTTTGATTCTATCCTATCTAGGTATTGAGAAGAAGATTTTTGAAATTTCCCCTTTTATGACAGCGCCCACCAATCTCACTCAGGATCAGTATATGCGGCACAGCAACAAATGGTTACCCTATACAAACTAAAGTAAATTTCTTCTATTTTTGGGTACTGATAAGATTTATGAAATTTTAGTCAATTTGACTCTTTTTTTGCCCGCCATCAGCTCTTAGGAGTCTGCCATGGTCAAAATATGCATATCATCAAACCGTCTTCTTATACAAAAAAATCGAACCATCTTAGAACTATTTCCAACAGAAAGTTAACTAATTATGCTCAAAATGTAAACTTCCCACATAAACTGCGTAAATTTTACCTCCATGAAGGGAAAAGGGAGAACCTTGCGTCATGAAATTTACAATTTTGGTAAAACACCTGAAGACCTTTCCATATATGAAGTGTATTTGAGAAATCCTTGAAATTTCAACAATTTGACCTCTTTTGATCCCATCCTCTTGGCTCTAATTTAAAATTTGGTTTATCTTTCATTGAAATAGGTTCATGGGTTTTCCAGAAGCAGTGAAAACTGTATGGATGACGTCGGACAATAGACAGACAGGAAAATCAACATTTGTCTAAGAATATAATTCGCATTAGAATATACGCGGGAAGAATGTTTCTTACATTGTATCTTAACAAGCATAAGAATCGGAATATATTGTACAATAATTGAATTGAAGAGTGGTGAAAAGACAATGAAAAATAGCGATAAAGATATAATGACATTGAAAATTGATTAAGAAGTTTTATTTTTTCTTATTTAACGTATAGTCACAGTCTTTCTTACTGATGAAAAAGAGTGCCTATAAGCGTTTGGCCTTTCGGTCCAATAATAGACATGACTTACCAATCCCCACTCTTCCCCCTGCCTTCCTCTTCTTTTAACGTTATTACCAACGAGTATGTGTTGAGAAGGGTCTAAAGGATGGTGAGAGGGGTCAACAGGTGTGTATTACATGTACAATATATTTACTATTGTATCATTGTGTGGCAACCCATCCCCACCCAACACAGGGTTTCCATCTCCAGAAAGTCGGACTTTTTTGAGAAGACAAATCTTGATAACTGTGATTGTTCCAAACTGTCACGACCCTGTTACTACATTCCTTTACTTAGTATATCCATTGTCTTCTTTTTCTGAAGCAAGTTACCTCGAACTTTTCTTATAACGAACCCAGCAGGGACAGCTTTCCACTAAGATTAAGCTGTATAAGTGTTATAGTCTTATTTTCCCAATTGTAAATTTCCCTTTTCCGGATAGCAACAAATCCGCATTCCCAACCTTTGGTGTTTACACGTCACAGGTAATTCGATATTAAAGGCTTGCTCCCGATATCACGATTTTTTTCGTGTAATTGACGGACAAAAAGCTTTGAGAGATTTGAGATAAGTTTTACGGTCGTCTTGTAATTATGCTATTTTGAAAAAAATCTATATACCTGTCCAATATAAAATCAATAAACCTGGTAATTCCGTTGTTTTTTTAACCTTGTTCTCATTTTGGAATGTGACATTACTTGCTTGGATTGATCAAGATTTACATGGCGAGTGTCGTCGATGAAGCAGAAGACGTCCACTCTTCCGAAACTCCTGGTCTTATTCTCCCTGCACTTTTTCAGGAGTCTCCATGTACATTTTTTTATGTTTTCCTTAGGTTTATTGATTCGGAGTTTGAATTAAGATTCTGTTAACTTGTATGTATTTCCTTGTTCTGCTGAAGACATTTGTTTTTCCTAACGACACTACTTCAATTCTGTCTTGATAATGTATTCATTGTTAAGGATAAAGTGTCCTAAGTCCCGGCGCAAATGTTTTCCGGGATCCCTGTTTGTCACCCAGCTTTAATGAGGTGCTCCAAGTAATTAACTTATGTAGCAAAAACCAACATAATTAGAACTTACCGCAGGTAGAGTTACTTCCCTTTGGACGAGCTCAGATTGTCCGCATCTGGTTTCAATTTCCAAGTCGAATCAATCAATTCGTTTAAGGCCCACTTCGTGGTGCTCCAGTTTGGTATAGTGTTAATGCATCATTATTCAACATTTAGTAATCGATAATGCTATGTAAAAAAGCTGATATACAAAATGTCCAATTACGAGAGCGTGTTAAGTCAATTTCCAACCGAGCAATATACAATCATATATGAACTGGTGATCCGTGTGCATATAGCTATAGATCGGCAAACACTCTCGTTTAATTACATATTTTTTCAAACATCAAATTGTTGTTTCGTACAATACTAAATCAGTAAGATCGATTTTTGTGATACGTGTAGATAAAAGTAGTAAAAAGCTTTAACAAAAAATACAATTGTAAAAAGTGTCTGATTTCGGAAAAAAATCACTGAGCAGTTCATGCTATGACGTGATCATGTTGTGCAGGGTAAAACAATGAACAGAATAGTTAATGGTTTTTGTAGTCTTGCTGCATTTATTTTAACCGTTAACACGTTGACGAGGAAAATATGAAACTTGCACACGTGTTGAATACGGAAGTTATTTGACAAAAACGACGAGTTTACAAATATTAGTATTGAAGTTGGTCGTTTTAAGTACCGACCTCGACTGAATTGGTTTTGAACTGTTTGTCCGATATTTTACTACGTTTCATCGTCGACGGGAAAAAATGACAGCTACTGTTTGCCTTCATATATTCTACCGTCTCTTGCATGCGATCACGATTCTAACATTTTCAAATTTTAACAAATGTCTTATACATAAAAATGAAGGCAAACTATTAAGGGATGAATATGTTCTTCTCTCAAATTTTGATTGATATTCTAACTGCATAAACGGCAAGTATTTACACTAGGTATGAACTATATACGTTATTTACACTCGTATGAATCTTAGTGTCTTCCTTTGCTTACGTCGAGAAAAAAAGACACGTATTCTTCAGAATTTATTACCAATAAAAATATCGTTTGCTGTTAGGCGTCTGCTGGAAAATGCTGAAGTAACAGACAAGTATGTGTTCTAGTACATCTTAGGTACGCTTGCCTTATTTGGAAACTAACAATTAAACTAATGAAACTTGTTAAAGGCGGATGATCCAGCCGCGAAATTATAAATTGTAAAGTAACTACATTTCTTTATGATGGACACAACACCTTGTTATGTTAGGAAGTCTTCATTATTTGGAATATTTGCAAAAAATCATTAAATGAGTAAAATTCACTAGAATCATGTTCTTTTATTAAGTCATTAATCACTAAAACACCTTTATTTAAACATTTCCTCCCCCAAAAAAGCAAATACTCTTGTTACCTATCTTAAAATGTCTGTTATACCAAATAGGTGTTTTCAGCACACTTACTTTTTCATTTAACTTATTTTGCTAAGACTGAAAATGTCTTTCCAGAATAAATGTTTTCATTTCTGTTGTACAGTTGCTAAATATTGAAAACCACAGTTAACAAGACTATCCCTACCTACATAAGTGTTAAACAGCAGTTGCCATTTACCCTCCGAAGTGAAAAGTCTACGAACTCATATACGTTTCAATGCGACAGTAAAAGGTTTTAGATGAACCATTTTGAGACTCCCTTTTATACAGGTTTTAATTACAACATCTCTCTTTATTTTGTCTACTTTACTTTTCCAGAGAAAGATATTTAATTCTGAGTTCAATTTTGAAATAAAACTGTCATCAGGATTTGGTAATGATATAAACAGGTGATATAACTGAGATATCAGTAAAGATATGATATGTGTTCGTCCTAAAGGCGTTACAATTCTTCTATCCCAGTTCTTTAATATAACCTTCAGCTTTACTAACGTTTTGTCACAGTTTAATTTTGGAATCAAATGTAAATCAACATGAACAAATTTACATCTTCCCCACTGCAAGTTCATTTCTGGAAAAAATCTCTCCTCACTATATTCCTTGTCCCCTATCCATATGACTTGTGCCTTACTTTTATTTATTTTCAGGCCGGAAATTTTTGCAATTTTGTCAAGTTCAAGTAAAGATTCTTTTAAAGATTTTTTTTTTGATCTATATAAGATAAACGTACTATCATCAGCGTATTGAGAAAGCAATGATGGAGAGTTATCTACCTTTATACCTTTATCATTTCTAAGTTTAATTGAATAAGTATCTCAGCACACAATATGAAAACGGAGCGATTGGGTTCCCTTGACGGTTTAATTTTGGAAAAAAAAGATGAAAGATTGTCCCCTTGATTAACTGCAGACATAGATTCCTTAGAAAACATTTCGACCCAGCTTCTATTATCATGACCAAAGTAAAAATAACTGAAGACTTCATCTATAAAGCTCCAATTAACAGAATCAAATGCCTTTCCAAAACTGATATTTAAAAGGGGGGGGGGGGGGGGGGGGTAAAAATAATTTTATTGTCTAATGCTATCCCTAACTAACTCTAAATATCCCTTACATGTGGTCAGTGTCCCCAGGTATACCCGTCCATCCGTTACGTAATAGCAGTACAGGTAAGTCACAGAGATGGACATTGGTAATTGGTCAGATGTAAACTCTGTATGATGACAGTGTGTAGTTGATGAAAAGTTTATATCCATTTATATGTGGCATATACGTATGTATATGATACAAATTAAATTGGAAACTGAAACAATTTCATGTTTACATTTTTTTTCTCACGCTTTTGTGGTGAATTTGAAATGTTGTTTACGAGGAAAAACACCTACAAATCATGCCTTTGTTTTATATCGACTGGTGAAATATTCAGTCGTCAAATTACTGAGATACATATGAATATTGTGTGATTCATGCTCTGGTCGTCTCAAATGGACAGGATATTTTGTATCATATGTGTTCACGTCGATAAATTTTACTTTCAGAAGTGTCCATGTTCGAAAACATATTTTAATCATTGCTTACAAAGTAGAGATCATTCGGATCACGGCACCAGTGACGTCACCATGTCACGTGACCTCGTAGCTTACTATATTTCGACCAACCGGCAGCGACTGCATTGAGGGTGTCCTAGACTCGGTTATAACCAGAACAAGGACGTTAAGCCCCCAAAAAGACAGGAAAATGCTACATTGAAGACTTGATGATAAGTAATGTGGTAACGCCCAAAAGCACCCGTGTTGCTTTTTAAACAACCCCATGAAACGTTTAATATTTGTTTTAAAAATGTTCAAAATCATGTTCGGCCAATTGCTTTTGGCAGAATACTTCAGTGTGAAGCACTATAAATTCGACATTAGTCAATTCCGAAACATTACAAGATAACACAAGTATATCGTCGGTTTTCACATGCATTCACCTCGCTTGTAAACATTTTGATCCCACAGAATCCTTTCGTTTCAAGCTAGACAGCCAATGGAGGCGAAAAATGCATACGGGGACATTAGGCAAGATACAACCAAACCTCCCACGTGTATTTTAATGATTGAAACCAAAATTTCCAAATCAAGTAAGTCTTAAATTTGGTAAGCAAGTTGGTTGGAAAATCTATGGTACGGAAGAGAACTGTGTTAGGGGAGAGGAAGAGGGTTCTCCGCGGAACTTGAGGAACGAGCCTTGTCGTGTACACAAAAGAAGTTCCCTGTTATTTGGGGGTGTTTTAATCTAGTTTAGTCCGGGGAACGTTGGTGACGTTACACCAGTGTGATGTCCGATAGGAGACAAAAGGATCAATCCTTTGAAACCAAAACTGTTTAGCATCGAGAGATGGAATTCACAAAAAACTTACTAAAGCTCAACATAGTATATACATGGTGAACGCCTTTCCCTCTCTCTATTTTGATACATACGGGTGGACATGATAGCGATAAATCATGCCATCTGTTTCATGTGTAGAGTCCTAAGGTTAATTCTATTTTTCAATCTCATATGCTGTATATAAATGATACTTACAGCAGACCATTCACTTTGGTACTGGATACAAGTAGTTTGTACACACGAGAAAATAAACACCCTCGGCAATCTACCACAGTTTGAATCACAAAACAGAACAACACATTATTATTACAAAAAGTTATTATTTTCATATTTGTATATTCAAATGGATGTTTGCTCAACGAATTTCAGCTTGTGTCTTTAAAATCTTAGGGCTGAGAGAAGGTGAGGATCGTTGGCTCCACGCATGCGCGTTCGTCAGGATTAAACATGCGTTGTTTTCCAGAGTCCGTCTTGGGGCACATTCCAGTATAGACAACACGTTCCTTTTTGCACACAGTGTAATGTGGAGTCCACTCCTTACCCTTCCAGGGGTTGAGACCTTCCGGTAGACCTTTACAACTGGGGAAACGCACGTAGCATGGCGGACAATCTGCACTTTCACACTTGTTGACGTCATATTCGCCTAAAATAAGACAGACAGTTTTGAAATATACTTTTGTCACATGATTGTCTTGTTATTCAGAGAATTTACACATGCAATATTTCCCGAATTTCACAGATGTGCCACAACCTATTGTGACGTCAGCTTTAGATAATGTGACGTCACATACTCCTCAATTGCACCGTGACGTAACAAGGATGATACTTATATTTCTTTCGTTATTTATGAAACTCGCCACAATCTACTCAGCTTGTTGAAATCATGTTTCCAGTCTCGTTCCATGAATCACATATCAACTGGAAATTCATACAATATATGATAAACATGTATATAACACAACCTCTCTGGTACCGCCAACGTCTAAACAACGACTGGCCTCATTGAATCGAGACTAAGCAATTTCCACATATAACCGATCATAGCCAATGTTGACCTTTTACCTCAGTCAATATTTAAAGTCTTGTTAAAGAAAACAGATAAGAAAAACTAGGAGTTTATAATAATGATAATATGTACCTAAATCTAATTATAATTGGTCTGTTTCATATTTTCCTTAGAGGCAAGTGTTCCGATGGTAGAAACTGACATTGCCGGTCAATTACAGATAAAAACATGGAACATAAGAGTAGAAAGTTCCGATTGTAGAAACTGACATTGTCGGTCAATTACAGATATAAACATGGAACATAAGAGTAGAAAGTTCCGATTGTAGAAACTGACATTGTCGGTCAATTACAGATATAAACATGGAACATAAGAGTAGAAAGTTCCGATTGTAGAAACTGACATTGTCGGTCAATTACAGATATAAACATGGAACATAAGAGTAGAAAGTTCCGATTGTAGAAACTGACATTGTCGGTCAAATTACAGATAAAAACATGGAACATAAGAGTAGAAAGTTCCGATTGTAGAAACTGACATTGTCGGTCAATTACAGATATAAACATGGAACATAAGAGTAGAAAGTTCCGATTGTAGAAACTGACATTGTCGGTCAATTACAGATATAAACATGGAACATAAGAGTAGAAAGTTCCGATTGTAGAAACTGACATTGTCGGTCAATTACAGATATAAACATGGAACATAAGAGCAGAAAGTTCCGATTGTAGAAACTGACATTGTCGGTCAATTACAGATATAAAAATGTCTCAACACTCATATATTTGCTTTGTAATTATTCTAGTAAAAGTTTGAAAAAAGATAAATATGTGTGTTAGTAATTGTGTCTGTCAGATCACCTCATGTTTCTGTGGAAAACTTGGACACACTTTTAGCTTGGTTTACGTTTAATTAGCACTGTCCGAACTAAATTATATAAAGTTCAAGAAATCATCGTTGCAAATAACATTGTTGGTGGTTTAAACAAGTTGCCCATACTTACATGGATCTGTAGGTTCCACCCGGTTGTCACATTTCACAGTTTCTGGAAACTCGCAGCGATCCTTCTGTTCATCAAAGAGGAGAGGGTATGGACATTCCATCAGGGTAGGAGTACTGGGTCCTGCGACACGCGACACGCCACATTCATAATATTTGGCACAGTTCTCCTGATGTGACTCACGTGCACGGACGCCGGACACACACGGCTTTTGGACTTTAGCTGGAGTCGTGCCTGAAAAATAAGTACATGTCATATTTAGATCGCAATTTAATGGACCGTGGATACTCTTTACACACAGATGGTTTACGGAACACTTGTAAATATCATTAAAACTCTGGCTAAGTGATCTAGAAGATGTCAAAGGAGTGGTAATTAAGAAAAAAAAATAATGGTTTCAGTTCGAACTCAGATCATCCTCGTTAAATTGCATGCTGAAGATCTGAAAATGTTGTTTAGAAAGCTCTACCAAGACCGGATCTTACATATTATCATTGCCTAAATGAGCATGCGTACATTTATCCTCGGCTGATCCCTTGATGACGCACATCCGGCTGTCCGGTTCCCAAACGAGACCTGATGGACATATGTACTTAAAATGTCGTCCTTGGTAGCACATATAGAAACTAGAACAATCGGTTTTGTCCTCCACCCAGGCGACGGAGGATGTTTGGGGACACAGTGACTCTGTCCGTACCCCCGCGAAGAAAGCGGCGACGACGATCAGCGTCAGCATGGCGGACAGCGTTTGATGAGTGTAGTCTGTAAGAGTGTGTGGCCTGGAAGGTATATAATGCTGCAGAAACAAGTCGTCGTTCTTTTATATAACAAACCACCAAGGATGAATAACAAAGTGATTATTTCAAATATTATGGGTGGGGAAACAACTTCCTTCAGGAGGAACCAGATTTAATCAAAAACTAAAATTAGGCGTACACTTTACGGGCAAACTTTATGAAGCGCAATCCCTTAAATGGGGTAGTTTTAGAAACAGCCGACTGTAGAGTTCATGTCTTTTCTGACCCCCATTTCTATACGCCGGAGTCACCAATGAGGCTTTGGAGGGGAGGGAGCGCCTCGGTTATAAAGTTTTGTACATAAACTATGATTGATATCTGTATGTGTTTATTTGAAAATACAGTTTTTGTAACTGTTGAAACGTTGCTGCCCTGTATATTATTACTCATATATTTGCATGTGGTTGTATGTGATATGGTGTAAATTCGTATACTTTCGATTTGAAGAATGAGGTACGGTCTCAAACCGCGGACTCTCGGTCAAAACACGAAGATAACGACATGATATGTAAGGTTATAAAGACGGCGAACTTGATTGGTCACCAGACGCCATGTTGAGAATGTTGATTGTGCCACGACGGAACTTGCTGCTAAACGAATCCTGTTTCACCCATAACACCAGTATACTGCGGTCCAAGGTCACAATGTTACACAGCTACCCAGATATCTTTTGTTTTTGGTTCACAAGTTTTTGTGCAAACACAGAAGAATGTGTTCTGTTTGGAACGTAGGTATCAAGAAAATAAATGTTTAACAAAATCCCTGATTGTGTAAGTTAAGGCACAATTGGGTTGGCGAATTTTACACCGGCTACTCGGGACGAAGGGGATAGCAATTAAAACTATTCATTGTTTCCGTTTTCATTTTTATTCTTCAATCCTCGATAATCTGAACCATGCTTGTACAATGTATTCATACAGTATACCCTGCAAACGATACAAATCCAACACTTTGGTCAATAGGAATGCATTATTTTGTAAATGACTCATTCAGAGTCTGGCAGGGACAACCCTGTCCCGGGGCCTTTCTTAATAGCTTGGAAGCAATTAATTGATTTGAAGTTCGATTGACTGCTGTTTTGTTGACTACACGAAAGCGTTCGACTCTGTCGATCGTTGTAAATTGTGGTATAAATTGTCAAAATTAGGAGTTCGAGGAAGGCTGCTATTAATTTTGAAAGCTATGTATAAAAAAGTTAAGACATGTGTCTCATCTAAGGGAAGATGTTCCGATTTTTTTGTAAACAATATGGGTCTCGCCCAAGGGGAAATTTTATCCCCAATTATGTTTTCAATGTATGTAAATGATTTTGAAAATTACTTTATTGCTAACGGTATTAGGCCGTATGAGTTTGGAGAACTCAGTCTCTTTTTATTAATGTATGCGGATGATTTGGTGCTACTTGCAGAATCAGCCAATGAGCTACAGAATATGTTAATTAGTTTGTCTATATATGCGAATTCATGGAAATTGACCGTTAACACGGCAAAAACTAAGATTTTTGTCTTTAGAAATGGAGGCCGCTTACGTAATAACGAGGAATGGTTCTTCGATGGAAACAAATTAGAAGTCGTTGAACAGTTTACTTATCTAGGTATCGTTTTTAAATGGAACAATAAATTTAATGTTGTACAAAAGCAATTATCCGGGCAAGGTCGAAAGTCAATATTTGCCTTATATACAAAATGTAAAAATTTGAATTTAAACTGCCATACCTTGATTAAACTTTTTGATACATATGTTAACAGTATACTGTGTTACGCATCTGAGGTATGGGGCTCGTGCAAAGGCATAGATATTGAGAAAGTTCACCTGGAATTTTGCAAAAGGATATTATGTGTTAAGAAGTCAACATGCAATGTAATGATCTATTTTGAATTGGGTAGACTTCCAATTGTACATACCAGACATTATAATTTAATTAAATACTGGTTCAAGCTTTTAAATACTAAGAACTGTGTTCTTAAAACTGCTTATGATGAACTCATGTATATGCCACAGCGAAATACTGTTTTTAATTGGGTAACTTTTGTGAAAGACAAACTTTTTTTACTCGGTCTTGGCTTAGAATCAACACAATGTGAACCCGTCTGTTGCCCTGCCAATTGTTAAACAGAGAATCTTTGATAATGCACGGCAAGAATTGTTTGAAATATTAGAGAATTCCTCGAAATGTTTTTTGTATAGACATTTAGTTGATAATTTAACATTGCAACAATATTTATGTAAATATATACCAAAGCGAAATAGAATTACTCTAACTAGATTACGTTTATCAGCGCATATGCTGTATAGTGAAACCGGGAGATACCGAAACATTGTTAGAAATGAACGTATATGCAGAATTTGTAATTCTGAAGATATTGAAGACGAATATCATTTTTTGTTTATTTGTCCATTTTATCAAGCTTTAAGAGAGAGACGTATAAAATTGTATTACTGGAAAAAACCATCAGTTTTCAAGCTGATACAATTATTGAGTACAACGAACTTTAAAGAATTAACCATGTTAAGTAAATATATATATGATGCCACCCAGTTGAGGAATAGCATGATATAATGTTAAAATATATGTAACTACATGCATTTTCTGTCCATTCTCCACTGCGGTATTGCATTGCCTGCCACTGTATTTATATGTATTGTGTACATACTGATGAGCTGTAAAGCTCAAAGTCAATAAATGAATTTGAATTTGATTGACTGTAAGTTGTTTTCTAAACACTTATTGCAATTGGTTTCCAACTGTGAGCAAATATTGTGTCAAAAAGTTCAAAATCTGAAAATTGAGTTTAGTATCAAAATATGGATATAAAATCTGCTTTGGCGACACTGTCACCCTTTTCGTTACCTGATATACCCACATTTCTAAGACCTCATGAAATGTGATTAGACAGTTAGAGGCCATGTCGTCCTAAACATTATTGAGATATTGATTTAATTCTGTTGCATTGGAATGTAAAGATTGTCTCCTTACGTGATCAGAATAAAAGTTTTATGAAATAAGACCAAGGAAAACTTTGAATCTATAAATAGAACCAAACATACGATGATCAAGGGACATATTTTCGGCGACTGTCGTCATGGATAAAATTTCAATATCAGCCTGATAATATTCATATTCACTAAAATAATTTGAAGTTATTGGAACCGTGGGTCCTGCAGTTATACTGAATAGTTTTAGACCACGCCAGCTTCAAGTCCTAACTTTTCGTTATTACGTTACTTAAATTTGTTGCCCTACATGTAGAAAAGACGATATTTGTCTCGTAGTGAGGAGAAATCCTTTATAGCCACTTCGATATTCAGTTGCGCGAAAAGACTATCATTCTCAATATTTTACGAAGTAATGTAATTACATCTATCAGCCGCCTGCTGTTTTTCTTCTTCGTCTTCTTCTTCATCGGTTTCTTCTTTGTTGTGTTTTGTATGGTGGTGTGTGCGTGTGTGTTTTTTCCGTGTTATTGTTTTTTACGAGTACTGTAAACTATAATCAGAGTAATTTATTGACATGCTCAGCGAAAATTTTCCAGTTGCCAGAATTTAGCAGCATCGATATATTACATTAGATAATCGCAAAAATAATTTTGAATGTAGGTTATCAAGTTGAATGGTGACCGCAAACTACCTGGTTTCGACAGCATGTTGGGTGTGGTCCAGTCACGATCAGGTATGTTGATAGACGTCTGTTGATCACGGGGTTTCTTTGTACATTAAACAACTCTATCCCCAAGTTATTGGCACACCTATCTAAATTCTAAATATGTACAACGTGTGTATACGGACTTGTATCATTTAGGTTATGGGGGTTAGAAAAGTTGATTGAATGTCGTGCTCTCTGACAAAGCATGTACACTAGAGCAGAATGTGAGAAATAAAGTAAAAAAAGTGAATAAGATCTATAAAAGAGAGCGAGCGCGTGATCCACCCTGCCATAATAGTTCGGGCACTTGTCCGGAATACCATTGTTTTTTCTAAGCCCCAAAATGCAACGAGTTTCTTCCTCGCTAGTGTATCAATTTTTTAAGAATGCAAGTTAACATTAATAATTGGGGAACATGCTACTTATAAAGGACAGAGGAAAACTGTAATGGAACACACACACATAAAACACTGTCGCTTCGCGGTAAGTTTCATGCTTTATAGACTGTTATCTTCTTCTAAAATACTGTAATGATAAAAGTAGTAGTTTGTCAGCATCTCACAAAACCGAGATGACACATCTTTGTCAAGTTTTACATCATCTTAATATCGATATGTAGCTCATTTAGTGTTTAGAAAAATCACGAAGGTAAAAACATTCTAAATATTTAAATTTTCGAAGTATGGGTATGGAGAACATAGTGGATTGTATCTGATATGGTGAACAATAGCGTTTTTATCCTTTCATCATCAGATGACGGGCTGTTCAAATCGGTGTTCGTCAGTCGTTTATCTGTCGTCTGTACATCCGTCGTCTGTTCGTCCGTAAACAATCCTTGTTCTATTGGAGTTATATTTCTCAGGCGTCACAAGTGAAACAAAATTAACGTCAAGTACCTATCATGGATTTTGGAAGTAGAAAATTGTTATCGCTATTTCTTAAGAAATATCAGAGGAATTTTTCTAGAATCTCATGTGTATGTTTCCATGGCCTTTAGTTGTGCCTATTAATTTTCATCATTGATCAGGGAAGCCAAATGGCCGACAGATGACCATTTTGAATTTTGACAGTTGAATATTGTTATCGCTATTTCTTGAGAAGTACTAGGGAAATATATTTTGAATTTAATGTGCATGTTTCCCAGTGACCATACTTGTATCTGTTCGATTTTGTAACTAATAAGTAAAACAAAATGGCCGACAGGTGGCCACCTTGGATTTTGAAAGTTGAAGATTGTTGTCCCTAATTCTTGAGAAGTACTATAGGAATATATCTTGAACTTAATGTGTATGTTTCCCAGTGACCATATTTGTATCTATTCGATTTCATAACTTATCAGTGAAACAAAGTGGCCGACAGGTGGCCACCTTGGATTTTGACAATTGAAGTTTGTTATGGTTATTTCTTGTGAAGTACTGGAACTTTATTTCTGAAACATGATATATAATTTCTCCTCGATGCCTTGTTGTGTACACTTTTGTTTTACAGGTGACCGTTGTGTTTTGTCATGTCAGACAACATCTATATACCTATGTTCACGAAAATCTGATAATATCTAAATTTCGTTTTCCATTTGAACAAGAGAACTGTTCTTGAAGGGGGACTACTGTGGGGAAATTTCAATATTCTTGGATTTTGATTATATTTGGCATGTAGGTATATAACACTACGAACACTTCCGTTACTTTATCAGATACTATCCTAATGAGGTGAATTCCAAAAGCACTGATTTAAAATTTAAAGCTGAAAATGTCAGTCAGTTCGAAAAATATTTTTGAATTAATTTCATTATGATTAAAAAATGCATGATTTTCATTTATTAAGTATCATTTGAATTAAGAATATCCATTAATTCTGAATGTTCTTATTTGAAGTCAAAATATCATTTTTTTTTTATCAAGTGATAATTTTTTTAATTCAAAAAATTATCTTTTGAGTCTAAATAAAAACTTTTTGAATTCAAATATGTATTTATTTACCTTGCATTAGTAAATGTAATTTCTATTATATAAAATTATACCTAAGAATTTGAAATAATTAATGCCTCTGTTTTAGTAGGATCAACCTAAAGGCTTAATTCATTATTAATCGTTGTTTCAATGGTTTCAGGAGAGGTATCAAAGTTATGTAAGAAATGTCATTTGTAAATATTTGACAAACTCCAAAGTTATTGGCTATATCATTAGTATAAATAATAGAGGCCCTAATACCGAGCCTTGAAGAACTCCGACATTGGTAGCTTTAACTAAGGATTTAGTATCAGCAACTTATGCTGGCTAGCACTAATACAATTATCTAACCAATCAAATTATTTACCCGAAATACCGTTATTTCTTGGTTTCAACTTCAACCAATTGTGCCACACAAAATCGAAGGCTTCTTATATATGACAGAAAACAAAACATATACCACATTCGAAAGTTCATGTTTATCCACATTTTTAAATAAAGGCATGGATAATGTTTTTTCCCATCTGTTTTGGAAAGATTCCATTTTCCAAAGAAGATCTAAAGAAGAATACTTTACTCCCATGGGTACGCTTGTAGCCTGTTGAAACACATTGTCAACTAGAAATTCACTCTCACAATGTCGTTTTAACATGTTATTTAAGAATCGATGGTGCCGGTAAATCAAAAGCGCTTTAGAATTCCTAAAACCAACTTTTCATTTACTGTACTTCGGACATGCACTAGACGGTCGGTAGTACGAGGTTTCCTGCTCTTTGAGTCACCAAAAAACTGGCGATAAACATAGTCGAAAGGGATTTTTAGGAACCCAAAGCAAGTAAGATTGGTGTACATGTTTTTTATTCCAAGACAACCTGAAATACTCAAACAAAATCATCTGAAGAAAACATTAAGAAGATACCAAGGTAAATAGAAAATTATGTTTCTAGCGACCACTTCTGAATCATAAAGGTGGTGCGCATTACGGAGATGCACGTGTCAGGAAACCACCAGCCGTGGAGATCACCCATGCGAATAATTTCGAAATATGGTAATGTCTAAAGAATACACAATATATGCCGGGCTTCACGTAAATATAAACGTATGCGTCTGGCTTTGAAAAAGGTTTCGGTTGTAGGTAAATCTAGCTTTACAATCATGATTGCTTTGAAGCACTCCGTTTACAGCTAGATATCGACAATATGGCGAAAGTTTTAGGAAGGTGAAATCTCCTTATCTTGTCTCTTTCGTGAAATGTTGTCGAAACATTTACTAATCTGCTTTGTCTATCATTACTTCATGACCGCTGTTCATAAATAACGATATAACGAGTCCTTTGTACATCTGTAGAATACAACAAAAACAGTCTAAACAGCTCAAAAGGTTCTGCCAAGCGATGATAATTTTCGTGTTCTATCCGTTTTAAATTAAGTGTCCCCAGCCGTCAACCCTCCCCTGTGATGAATATGCTGGAAAATACTAGTCAGATAAGATGCATATGGTCCTCGTTGAGCTCTCCGAATATTCATAACAACATTAGTACCAAAAGGGCGACACAATTACCAGGACGGACAGACATTGCAAACCTTTGAAAACAGCATAAGGTTAAAGGATTCATAGCACACCTTCAAGAATAGAACTTGGCATGACAGATTTCTGACCAGTCTGTATAAATATAGTATATCTTGGCCGGCCTAGAATTTTACCTGTGTAGTCCGGTTTCCTCTTGCATTATGCTCTAATGCCCGCTTCCATCCTGGCCTTAATCGGTGAATGTTTTAGCTTTTTATCATTGCTTCAATGAAAGCATTTTTCTGACGGTGACCTATTAATTTTTCTTTATGATTTTCGTGTATATTGCTATGTATTAGTGTAATCAGTAAAGATTTGGAGTAACAGAAAGTGACGGACGAATACAATGTAGAAAACAGAATGTATGTAGAGCTATTGTTACAGAGAAGCTATCAAGTGTGGCTAGTTTTAACATACCAGTGTTATGGGTTTTGTAAAGAATAAAGATATGAAATACTTTGATAATTGAAATGGAAATGCTTTAGGAAAATAAAACGTTGTTCAAATGCTTTTTTCTTCTTTCTTTCTTTTTTTCAAACCTATAATTTTATTGAAATGTTTGTACCGTGGGGTCAACGCTCGGCATCGTAACTTAAACACACAACATGTCACCGTTATATAAGTTTATGTGTCGCGGATGTCTACATTTATCTTAATTCCTATCATCATACAAGCAATATGCCCATCCGGATCCTGTTTACTGCTGCTGTAGGAATGGACACTGATGAAGACGAGTTATCCACGCACGTGAGGGGTATCTACCCTACCGACAGATTCCTGGCACGCGACATGTGCTTTATCATCACTATTTAGACACGGCTCGACAAGGAAAACAACTTGTACGAGTTTTTAAAGGTATGTCTGAGTCGGCTTTCCTGTGTGTTTTCTGTAGTAATACACGATGGATTACTTGATCTATTGAGGTACGGATGTGACTATGACCCTACAGTGACCCCTGGTATGTCCGGTATGGATGGACTATCTGAAAAATTCCTTTCGTCTTTATTGACTCGTCTACTTAATCATACAGGAGCGGCGGCATCCAAATGTTCTCTCGACATTATCTCTTACACCTCACGCCTTTGGTGTTTCTTGTGATAAACATTCATTTGGCTTCTCAAAACAAAGGCGTCTGACGCTATAAATACGTTCTACCCGACTCAGTGTCCACAACAGCCCCCAGAAAACACCACAGACACAGAAGATTCAAGTCATCAAATATGTTGTTTATAAGTTTGTTCGCGATCTGCGTCTCCGTTGCGTTTGCAGAAGATCACTGTAGAGATGTGAAGGGGTCAAGATGGTTAACAGATCCAAATGATTGTTCCAGCTTTTACGTTTGTTTTCATGGAATGGAATTTAAATATACTTGTCCAACAAACACGGTGACAGATGTTGTGAGCCGCGCGTGCGTTCCGAAAGGGTCCCGACTTGACACATGTAAGTATGATAAAGATATTAACAGTCACTTAATATAACTCTCTAGCGCCCCTTTGTAATATTTCATAGTCTAATTTTGTGAAATTCATTCCCCTGCCTGTATAACCATTCGCAACTAGTCAATGATAAACAAACATGAAAAATTAATATGATAATTTTGCCTTGATATTCATTATAACACAAGCAATTAATTATAAGACAACGTAATCCGGTGTCAAGTACCTGTTCAATAACCTTTATTATATAATTATATATATATATATATATATATATATATATATATAAATAATTGTGGTTTGTTACATCTTTAACTAAGGGACACTATAATACAAACCAATTATCATCAATCTAAAAGGTGATCAAATTCAGTTATTTGAATATGAAGTATCTTTTTTTTACTTTTTTTTATTCCATTGTTTTCCTATTTTTATCATCATATCGAACATTTGATTTCGCTTGCCGAGAGACAAACTTTACATCCGCGGAAGGCCATGTATTATTTTACATTTGTTGCTTTAGTTACGACTCACAACATGTGTCTATTGATTCTCTTATAAAGGTAAGAAAGGAAAACCGGAAGTCGATCAAGGAAAAGTAAATGTTGATGAAGTAAAGCCAACTGTAGACCAGGGTAAAACGGACTCTGTCCAAGGGAAACCCGACACGACCCAAGTTAAACCAACTGTCGACCAGGGAAAGCCACCACTGGGAGGATTGGCCGTAATACACACTCAGACTGTGTGCCAGTCAACTCCCAAGGACAGACTGCCCCACTCTAACTGTGCCAAGTACGTGGACTGTCACTCCGGTGTCCCAAATGTCAATGAATGTCCTTATCCTCAGCTCTATGACGTCACTACAGAACAATGCCAGCACCATGATAAAGTCCAGTGTGAGAACAGGAAGGAACCCAAATCACCATGTAAGTCTTGACAATGCTGTGGTATTTGTATGAGGGCTGGCTATGCAATTAAGGGGTTGGCTGTAAGTGAAACAAGACTTTAAATGAGGTCTCCATTTGTAGGAGATTATTCAGTGCTTTCTTACCTTGTCCGATGAAAGACTGTTTTGTTTATATTCTTTGATGTCTTTTAAGCAGTCAGTGCCGTTTAAAGACGGTCTCTCTGGGAGTTGAGTGAATGTATTGCATGCGTGTGATTTTGGGAGGCTGCGGCATGTACGTGAATGTTTCCCTGTGACAGTGCGGAACAGAAGCCGACTTAATATTGCTACCACACTAAATGTTCCCAGCAGGACACCCTAAACGGTCACACTATACCGACAACGGTTAAATCAGTCATAACTCTACCTCAATACTGGGTATGTCTCGGCCAGAGTACAGAACCCAAAGTATTCCTCACAGGACCCCCAGCTTAGTAGCAAAATGTGAATATTGTCAATTGAGGCATAAGAAAGAGGAAAAACTTTAAGAAAATAGAAATTTAGATACTCCAAATGTAGTAATCTCTTACAATTACTATTGGGACAGCAGGTACTATTTTTATGTGATACCTGTAGGACAGACTCGTGAGAGGTGATCCGTTATGTCGATAGATAAGTAAATGAGAGAAGATTGACACCTTTTTAAAACGCTATTTTACATCGCTTGTGAAAACGTGTGCGTGTATTCGATACAAGTTATATTTAACCTTACACAAATTGAAACACGTTTTAAGGAAAATAAACATACGGAGTAATTTTTGCAATTTCTTAAATTGATATGTCTTAAATACATACATGAAACGCCTTGTTAATTAATTCACTTGTTTTTAAAATCAACCCGTCTTATTGTTTCGTTTTCTAAACATTTCTAGAATTTCCGTCTATTGGCTATCAAGTTATTCGTTCCAGAAAACATTCCCTTCTTTAAGGATATATAAGTGTATTGTAGTTGTCGCATGGTATCATTTCCCGTTTTTTTTATCGTTTCATTAACTTCATTTTTGAATTGTCATACTTAGCGACATAGAAGAAATTGACTTTTAAAATCATTTTCATAGATGTTTAGAAATACTTTAATTTTTCGTTTTGAATAATAACCTGTTTAGTTGTATTGCAAAATCAAAATTCTGTTTCAAATATTTGAAAAATGTTCCGTTACGTTTGCAAGGAAACAATGAGTGTAAAGAAGGCCAAACTATTGGCTTAAAAATTGCATTGGGGAAATCAAACGGTTTTTTAAAGAGACGAATCTATGACAAAAATATAAGATTTTCACCAGGTGATATTTAGTAATTGAGATCGGGTGGAAATCGTAGACGTAAAGGTAACGGCCTTGACTTTTATACAGAATTTGATATTCTCTTTCTCCCAATAAAAAAAATCACATATTACTCTCTTCAGGTGACTACGACGCCTACCAATGTGGTTTGTCCTCTCACTGTGTGCCGTGTGAGGTTAGATTTCCCAGCTGTGAAGGTGCAGATGACGGCCCCAATCCCTGGAAAGGACGGGAATGGACACCATATTTCATCACATGTTACAAGGAACGCCTAACTTTCCAGTCTAAGTGTACATTGGACGCCAGCAGTGCTGGGAGTTATGTGTTCGATCCCGTCAAGAAACAATGCGTTGACGTAAAGGATGTAACTATGTTATATAAATAAAAAGAGGATTAATTTATTTGTTGTTGATTGGTACGAGATGGTATCTTCAATGTCTTTAATGTGCAAAATTGTTTTATAATAAATGAGAATTAAATAATAAACAACGTTGTTCCTTTTGTTTCAATATTTATCATTTCCTACATTTCCGAAGCATATTTCATGAAAAATACGCCCAAATCGAAGCGGACGAAATCATAAAAATGAACGAAATTCTGATTGACAACATCTTCGTCGAGTTTGATGGTAAGATCTTCCAACAGATGTTTGGAGTACTTATGGAAACTAACTGTACTCCTCTGTTGGCTAATCATTTCCTATGACGAAACCAGCATGGACATCGTTCCACGAAGCTGTATTATAGGCAAGATAATTTCAGTTGCCACTAGAATTTGCCATTTCTGGATAGAAGCATCTCCAACCTATGGTGTTTACATATCGCGTCTTATCCGATTTTCAAAGGCCTAAGTTCCATTGTCGCGATTTTCGGGCAACAAATGGTTTACAAACTCGTGACAAAGGCTTTTAAAAAATGCAGGTTGATAAAAAAAAAACTATGAGGAAGTTTTGCGGTCGTCATATTCATCTTGTTGAGCAATATTCTCTTTCATCGTGCGATATGAAGCTGGACGTGTTTGAAGCTCGTTTTTTTTACCAAACATTATTGGCGGATGTCGTTGATGAAACAGATGACGCTCAATCTTCCGGAACACCTTATCTTTTTCTCCTTGTGCTTAACCATGAATATCCGTGTTAGTCTTTCTTTTGTTTTATTCTGGTTACGTTTACTTTGAGTTTAAGTTATTATGATGTGATATGTTAGTATGTTCTTTGTGTTTCTGAGTGGAAGGAACTCTAATGTGGTTCCTTTTACCTAATGCATAGGGTTGTAAACTATGATACTGAAATAGCATATTTCCTTTTACCTAATGCAAAGAACTGTAAACTATTTGCTGATGTCGACCTCTAAATGTTGTATATTTGAACTGTTTATCGCGAGTGAAAATAACTTCCGGAATTCTAAATGTGGACCGTTGGTACCTTGTTTGGCTGTAACCTCATGCTTAAAATTGATTCTAATACAGTTTAAATTTATCTTCCTCTGTCTTCTTTGATCTTTTCCGACTACCTTCGGATTTCTACACCTTTGGCCTTGAACTCTCCGATCATATCCCCGAAGGACAAAGAAATCACTTACATTGGTAAGCAGATAGATTAATAGAACAAGGATATCTCAACACATATGTAAAAATTTGGCTAGCAGCACAAGATCGTAACAGCTCGGAAATCGTTGAGGTTTGTCAACACACTCATTGTAGGATAACGGTTTGTTACTCCGTCAGTCTAGCAGAACGACCGCGATGTCTAGAATCTTTCGCTTGATTCACGATATCTTAATCAACAGAACACAATAATGCCATAATGCCGTAAAAAAGTAATCAGACTTCACCAAGCATCGCCAAATGTAAGCTAGTCAGACAGGTGTCCTTGAAATAAGTCGCCGAGCCCCTGACGCGACATGTACGTCATTCGGCTTCGTTGTGGTGTTAGAAGGATCAGTTTCATGTCGTTTCCCTGTCATAATTGCTCAGAACGAAATGACTTTCAGCTTTTGTAAACATGATCTCGATTGTCTAAACTTCCCAATACTCGGAGTTGATTAGGTTGTTCAATTTTCTCATTTCCATTTTTCTACAATGAGTGTATTGACAGAAAAGGCTAGCACCTGTGATTATGCAACATAAACCTACAGTGAGTCATAGCACTTGCCAGCAGTCCCTACCCCTGTAAGAAAGAGGTTTTCGTAGCAAAATCGAGATCCCCTCACAAAGTATACAAGGAACACTTCCCCAGGATCGGAATACACCTGTCTTTTTATTCAACCGGTTTTTACTGTCATCATTGGAACAAGAACACAACATCTGATTTTTAATGAATATATTTCAAAATAACGATGACAATATATAGATTGATGTGTTCGATAAAAGCGAAAAAGAACATGACAAAGAATGACAAAATGTAGGACAGAATAGTGAAGTATGAACGCTACTGGGCCTTACATACGCGTTCCTCCGGGTCAAACAACTGAGTCTTTTCCTCATTGGAACATTGTCCATGGTACACTACACGTTCTTTCTTACAGACGACGTAGTAGGGCGAATCTTCCCGTCCTTTCCAGGCATTCAGACCATCTGGAAGTCCGTCACAGCTAGGAAACCGGATGTAACAAGGGATACAGTGACCTCGCTGACATTGGTTAGCCTCGTATTCACCTACAACAGGGATAGTGTTAAACTCGCTGGGTATTAATCTAGGATCAATTCCTTAAACATCTAGTATTTGTAGAGTAAGACGGTTTTGTTATTTTTCCAATGATAAATCACAAAACACATACAGCGATACTACTTTAGACACATTCATTGGAGACACCCATCTTCGTAAACGTTTACTTACATGGATTTTTAGGGACGGAGCGAGTTCCACACTCGGCTGTTTCCGGAATCTGGCAGCGTCCAGAGTCTTCATCAAACAATAGAGGGTAGTCACATTCCTTGGTTGCGGTTCTGAAGTCAGCAGACCTGGTCAGCATCATCTCACAATCGATGTATTTAGCACAGTTTCCGGTCGGATGTGGTTTTAATATATCATCAGGTGAACAGATTGTTTCCTCTTTCTTGGTACCTGATGTGTTAAAACATCGCATGGATCAACGTCTTTTACACTAATAAGTTAAATGGCAAACCGAAACAAATTTAAGAAGTAAATAAGATTTTTACAAATGTTAAAGACCTTAGCGACAATACAACAACTTATATGATTGCATAATGAATAAGTTAAATGATGAGACCAAACAGGGACATTGTACAAGTTTTACTTCCCGAAATATATGCTGTTATACCCCAATCGCTTGCTTCTCGACCAGTCGCCATTTTGTTGACACTGCCGCATATGCGTTTGAAAGAGTCAGCATTGCAAAGCTTCTAAACGATTCAAACGTTTTAATATATGATTCATTATCTAACACACTTGAAACTTATCGGCTACTTTTTCTTTAAATAACAAGCTTCATACAGGATAATTAATAGAAAAACAGTCGATAACGTCGATAACCTTTCGAGGTCGTAGATGTATAGTTCAAAACAAAGAATCCTGGTTCACTACTTAAACATATCAGAAACTTATCGGCTAATTTTTCTTTCAGAAGCAAATTGGATATCGGATTATTTAACTGTTTATGTAATCCGGAACAAAACACGTTGTCGTCGTAGATTTGTCGTTACAAAAAGAACCGAGGCATGGCTCTTTTGTCAACAATGTAAACTGTTGATGGTAGGAGGAACAATATAGAATCTAGAACCAAAAGCAAGTAATTGATCTGAATGTTGTCTCCAACCTGTATCACCAGAAGTTGTGTTTAACGTTTAACAGTATGTATATCATTGATGTATCTGTATCCCAACGTCCAGGCTACTAGGTTTCCATTCAATTAAAAAGCAGACTTCATGCATTATACTTTAAAAACATAAATATAGAAATACGTCCTACTGGTTAGCTTGTATTACTTCTGATAATAACGAACATTATCTAATCTCCAATGAGAAGACATCATTTGATAATAAACTTGTATCCTTATCTTATGGACACATCGGCTTTCGCTTTTCCTTATTAAACACTATAACGGCCAGATTAGATTTCCATTACTATCTACAAACCAGTCATGTATTAACTGTCAATACTTCAAATCTTTTCCTGGAATTGATACAAATTGGCAAGGAGGTATATATATTTGATAAATCTGCATCGTCTCCAGAATAATATACCATGTTAATATACATTTACATACATTACATTACATACGCTGCGCCGGGTAGAAAATTAACACACAAAGTGATACTACAATATATAGATTATACGGAAGCACCTTTTGGGATCCTCTGGAAACTTTCTTACTTACATGTATCGTATCTGGATCCTTTTGGAACACAGGCTTTTGTGATAAAATCTCGGACGGAGTTGACGGGACACATGTATTTGAACGACGACGAGTTAAAACAGAGATAAAACACGGAGCAGTCATTGGGATCCGCTATCCATTGGATACCAGTATTTCCTTGACATATGTCATCAGCTTTGGATAAACACAGGATGAGAAACAAAACTAGAATTCTTGATAAAACCATGGCGTTGTTTTCAGCAATATCCGCTCAGAGGTTAAAACCTGTGTATGGCCGAGTGAAATCAGTATTTTGTTTTCTGGTTTAAGTTACGGGTATTTTATACAAAAAATACATTTTTGCTTTCGTCACCGGAAGGACGTGCGCGACAGCTAATGTACACGGTCCAGACACGATAATTGATATGCATTAGGCGTAGTTAGAAGGAGTTACGAACATTCCTCCAAAGTAAACTCACAAATTTCTTCACAGCCTAGAAACACACAAACTCACCTAGACGATCACATGTATTACTTAATTATAAATAATACATTTTTACTTATCACGTAAGATCCATCTGATTTATGTTAGGTAAGCGAGCAGTTGCCAAACCCACAACGGAAGTAATCCTACCGGCGGGTAGTGAGAAGTAGATGACGTTACAGGTTCAGAGAACACCCAAAGCACGTCATTCTAATCTCTCATCAAACAGACTAAAAAATCCGAAATCGGTGATTCTGCAATAAATGTACACCTGTTTAGGAAACCTCACATCAGCGAACACCGAGAAAGATATCCATGACGTTTTTTTCACCAGACATAGAAGTGATTTTCGTTGAACGTTCCATGCTGAAATAATTAGATCTGTAACTTGTCTACCAATAGGAAATATAATTCCTTAAACATACATAGTTATTTGCTCTTTAATATGATTGTCGGTGAAGGGTCTTCTTGATTGTTGTGTGTATAGTTTAAACATGATATTATACTCTAATTGTATTATCAAAGGCTTTACGATTGAACATTTCATGAAGACATATAACACGTGATGACAATTCAATCATTATCAATTTTGTTGCGTGTCTGATTCTTATTTTGTAGTCAGAGTTTCTTTGTTAAAGATTGACAACCGCATATTGAAATATGAAAAAAAGCTCCGCAAACGCGGGCAATACCCCACAGGCTTATTATAAAGTTGGAAATGTGTGGTTGGGGTGAGTGGAAAGTTATCTCAAGAATGAGTTGTGTAGGTCCATAGGCCCAACATCCCCAGTGAAAATGGTGATGACCGGTTATGTAGTTTTTGAGATAATAAGCGGTATGCAATTGTGGACGGACGGACGGACGCCGTGCGTGATCGCAATACCCCACACCCTTTCGGGCTGTGGGGTAAAAGTCTTTTGTGAAAGCTACAGAATGGAATGCTCTCTGATTATCAAAATCAGTTCTCTTTAATTTTTTTGTTATGAAAAATGTTAGTTCTCTATTAGGCCCTCTTTAAAATCGACCTCACCTAAGTATTTACCAAAATCTGTTATCAAGTCATATACAATAACAACCCCTGCATCATGTCTTGTAAAATACAACTGCATTTGACAGTCAAAACACAAGTGAAAATATTTTATCTCCTAGTTAAATATGAGGTTAGATGTGTTCGATTTTCAAGGATTTTTGTGCTAGATTAGGTGTTGATTTGAGATCGAAGATCGTGACATTACTTACTTGGATTGTACACGTGGTTAAATAGTCCTTGTATTTTATAGGAGCTCTGCGTAAATGTATTTTGCTCTCGTTTCGTGATTTTGATGTTATAACATTTTCATCTTATTTTTAACCATTTGTGGCTAATAATATATGATAATAACTGCATTACAATACAACCTACTTCAGTGAACGTAGCATATAGTTTTGTTTTTGTTTTTGTTTTTTTTTTTTTGTTTTTTTTTCTTTATTTCTTTAACACTGGGGATGCTCATTTGGCAGAATGTTTCCAAAAATCTTTACTCTGAACTATTTGATATCGTATCGGTGTCAAAATAAGGGCAGGTACACATAACTCAGATAAAATGAAAGAGTTTGAAATAATGTATTTACACAGAATCATGGAATAAGCTTACAAACCCACAAATACATCACCAGAGGAGTATAAAGGCGTCCTATCGGGAGACGGACCTTAACCCATGTTATAGTGAAATACTCCATTGGTATAAGGTCACACTGGCTTGTTTTTAGTGCTGTATCAGCATCCACTTGTTTACGTTCCAACTGTTCACCTGCCCAGTAACAGAGATATGGATCCAACATCTCCCTTCTACATCCTATATGTTTTTATGGACAACACAATTGTCGGGGGACTCAGTAACTTGTATATAGACCCATCACCCTCCCTTCTACATCCCGTATGTGTTTATGGACAACACAATTGTCGAGGGCACAATAACTTGTATAAAGACCCATCACCCCTTACTTTTACATCCCGTATGTGTTTATGGACAACACAATTGTCGAGGGCACAATAACTTGTATAAAGACCCATCACCCTCCCTTCTACATCCCGTATGTGTTTATGGACAACACAATTGTCGAGGGCACAATAACTTGTATAAAGACCCATCAACCATTACTTCTACATCCCGTATGTATTTATGGACAACACAATTGTCGAGGGCACAATAACTTGTATATAGACCCATCACCCTGCATTCTACATCCCGTATGTGTTTATGGACAACACCATTGTCGAGGGCACAATAACTTGTATATAGACCCATCACCCTCCCTTCTACATCCCGTATGTGTTTATGGACAACACAATTGTCGAGGGCACAATAACTTGTATATAGACCCATCACCCTCCCTTCTACATCCCGTATGTGTTTATGGACAACACAATTGTCGAGGGCACAATAACTTGTATAAAGACCCATCACCCTCCCTTCTACATCCCGTATGTATTTATGGACAACACAATTGTCGAGGGCACAATAACTTGTATAAAGACCCATTGTCACCCTCCCATCACCCTCCCTACATCCCGTATGTGTTTATGGACAACACAATTGTCGAGTGTACATTAACTTGTATAAAGACCCATCACCCTCCCTTCTACATCCCATATGTGTTTATGGACAACACAATTGTCGAGGGCACAATAACTTGTATAAAGACCCATCACCCTCCCTTCTACATCCCGTATGTATTTATGGACAACACAATTGTCGAGGGCACAATAACTTGTATAAAGACCCATCACCCCGTACTTCTACATCCCGTATGTATTTATGGACAACACAATTGTCGAGGGCACAATAACTTGTATAAAGACCCATCACCCCTTACTTTTACATCCCGTATGTATTTATGGACAACACAATTGTCGAGGGCACAATAACTTGTATAAAGACCCATCACCCTCCCTTCTACATCCCGTATGTATTTATGGACAACACCATTGTCGAGGGCACAATAACTTGTATAAAGACCCATCACCCTCCCTTCTACATCCCGTATGTGTTTATGGACAACACAATTGTCGAGGGCACAATAACTTGTATAAAGACCCATCACCCTCCCTTCTACATCCCATATGTGTTAATGGACAACACAATTGTCGAGGGCACAATAACTTGTATAAAGACCCATCACCCTCCCTTCTACATCCCATATGTGTTTATGGACAACACAATTGTCGAGGGCACAATAACTTGTATAAAGACCCATCACCCTCCCTTCTACATCCCATATGTTGTTTATGGACAACACAATTGTCGAGGGCACAATAACTTGTATAAAGACCCATCACCCCTTACTTTTACATCCCGTATGTGTTTATGGACAACACAATTGTCGAGGGCACAATAACTTGTATAAAGACCCATCACCCTCCCTTCTACATCCCGTATGTGTTTATGGACAACACAATTGTCGAGGGCACAATAACTTGTATAAAGACCCATCACCCTCCCTTCTACATCCCGTATGTATTTATGGACAACGCAATTGTCGAGGGCACAATAACTTGTATATACAGGTGGCAGAAGCAAGGGGTGAAGGATCTTTGAGAAAGGTTCTATTGTCAGAGACCGAATAACAATAATGATTATCTATTATCTAGTCTCAAGATCATACCCCTTATCTCCCTTGTATAACGACATATCCCGCTATTTCTAGATCACAAACACCCTCATCTCCCCCGTATAACCACATATATCACTATATCTAGGTCAAATGCTCCCTTATCGCCCCTTTTTATCCACACATCTCATCATTTCTAGATCAAATATCCCCTTATCTCTAATGCTTAACATCTTATCTCACTATTTCTAGATCAAATGCCCCCTCTTCTCCCCCGTATAACAACTTATCTCACTACTTCTAGATCAAACGCCCCCTTATTTCCCCTGTTTAATCACATCTCACTTATTCTAGATCCACTTTAATCTTGATCAATCCTGGATATAGATCGTTAGGTGAGAATGCCTACCAAGTAAAGATAAATTAATTGTGGAAGCAAATACTTGTAAGTCTATGTTGGGAAAAGACAATGGTAATGTAGCGATTGTTCCTTGCATCTTTATTAAACAACAAAAGGAGAAGGCAATTTCCAAACCGATTATTTTTGGGAATCTAAAAATATAAATACTTCAGAATATAGCAGAAGTTGTTTCCCCTCTTAAAAATGAAATAAAACGGAAATTCTTCATCGTTAAATGCAGTTTATCTACTGATATATAATGTTGAAAAACAGCCAGCTAAGACACGCAGTTTTACGCTGTTTAGCTTTAGCAAGCAGCGACAACAACCATTCAAGATATAAGTTAAGAGTATGTTTTGACAATTTTAAGATCGACGAGAGTTTAATATACACTCAGTCAAAACTTCCGTCGAGTGCCTTGATGGCATAATTATATAAGATTAAAACGACATGATGTAGGGACAGGATGCCGAGCTAAAGAGGGTTGTACAAAACACACAAGTGAAAGACAACCTTTAGCGAGTATTTAATTTGTATTAAACAGGAATGTATAGAACTATATTATCCTGCTAAGACCAGTCCGTGATGCTCAATTGCGGAAATAAAGAAGGATTGCCACGAACCTTACAATTGTTCTGAATAGCCGTAATCATAACGAAAGTACATTGATTTAAAATCCTTAAAAACATTTAATGATTATATTCAAATTTACTAGAAAAAACTTGGATCAACTTAATGTTATGTTCTGTAATAAGATAACATTTTATAAAAGTTTGTCATTAATTGTTTTCAAAACTATCTAGTATTTTCTTTGTAATGCTATCGTCCCGATAGCATGATCAGTTGATTATTAAAAGTCCACTTTTCGAAGGATCTAAGTGTCGTTAACTGTTAAACAGCATCGAAAGTATGTTTCTGTCTTATACTATACATTACATCTCTAAGTCAAATTTCTGGAATGGTCTGGTAAATGTTGAGTTCAAAGTCCACTATAACAACCACCCACAATTAGGCACGGACATTGTTTGTGCGTTATGGCAAACAAAATATGTAAAAGAACCACCCATGTTTGGGACATGAAGGGAGGAGATATTGATATAACAAAAATGTTGATATTACGACACGAGTAGTCTAAATACCTGCGATCACAAAGTTGTTAGGAAAGCCTGTCCTTTTGACGTAAAGTCTGAGATGACCACGAGAATTGTTGAAATGCCAACAAAAACCAGAATGATCATCGTGTGTCTCGTGTTTGACTACTACAGGGCACATAGACAAGAGTGGGCGGCAGAGGGATCATCAAAATAGTTCAAAATGATATCATCGATACGTTCGTGGGTTGATCAGAATATATATATAGGAAGCAAGCTCAGAAATATTAACCAAACTAAGAAATACTACGACAAGACGGAAAGCCTTTGAAAATCTGCCAATATGAAGGTGATGTTTTTGTTATCAGTTCTGTCAGTCGTATCGGCTTTGGAAGTCAGTAATGAGTGTCAGAGTAATACCGGTGTCGAGTGGAAAGAAGACCCGACAGATTGTTCCGTGTTCTATCTTTGTTACAATGGACACCGCACTCAATACTCGTGCCCCGGAAACATGGTTACAGATCCCGACAGTAAAGCTTGTGTGCCAAGAGGCTCGAAGCTGGACAAATGTAAGTAAATATTATACAGATTGGGACAGAACTTACATTAACCTACAATGATTTGGCTAATTAACATAATTCATTTCATAGTTCATAATCCATTATTTACAAATCTTATTTACTTTCAAATACCTTAGAAAGAAAAGAAAGTCTTAACAGATACCTTTTCAAAAACATCAGGAAATACCAGTATGTGAACAGATTCAGAATATAAATTCAATAAAACTTTGGTAAAATATGAAAAAGATAAAAGATTTACATGAGGACACCTGAAAAAGCGCAAGAAGAATAAGATCGGGTGTTAAGTTAAGATTTTCCATTATTTTCTAGGCTCAAACAAAAAAGTACATGTCCCACAATGCAACGCTGCTTTGAAGGAGTCCTGTGCCAGATATATTGCCTGCCCCGTTCCGAAAGAGACGGGGACACCAGTTATACCAGAGGTAAAAGAGTGTCCCTACCCACTACTGTATGACGAGGAGAATCAGCGGTGTGCCTACCCAGAAACTGTCAGATGTGGAGACAGGACCGAACCCAAGGATCCTTGTAAGTACACACACTCTATAAGACAATATAGTTGTTATATTTGTGTTCGGTGTTTGTTATGACGATATAAATATATATTTAAATCATTTTGTTAATATGTTTAACACTCATGATGATATCCAAAAATGATTCTCCTATTTAGTGTTTACTTTTGGAAAAATGATGAGTGATATTTTAGACAAGTGATTGTTATTAATAATGTCGAGCTAAATGTTTCCTGGTTTTGTTCGATTACAAGGCTCTATGATTCGTAAGAATTGTCTTATTTCTTCTGGGCACTCATTAAAGATAACCTTCTACATTTCTGTGAAATGTACAATTGATTGAAAAGTAAGAAAAACAATGAAATGAATCACTTAATGTTTTAGTCAGTCTAGAATCGAGAAGTAAAATGACCTGATTGAAACAGAATATAGGATCTATATTTTTAAATGTACCGTCATGACTCCTGATATTATAACTTATAGTAAAAAATGTGCTCTCCCTCTCTTACAGGTGATTATAAGGCTAACCAGTGTCAAGGTCCTAATTGTGTGCCCTGCAGCGCCCGTCACCCCAGTTGTTCCGGACGACCGGACGGTCTTAATGTATGGAGCGGGAGAGAGAAGTCTCCTTATTTTGTTGTTTGTCGAGGCGAACGTGTAATGTACCAGGGTCTGTGTCCCCAGGGCAATAAGGGACGGATCTTTGATCCCGAGATAAAGGGCTGCACGGATATATAGGGAGACATGGAACGCATCTTTGACCAAAAGTGAACGTGTGGACCTGTAGAGCGAACAATTGTAATGAATACATGTTGAAGTGTAAATGTATTTCGGCAAACTGATATTATATTGATTCTCCACAATGATATTTCTTTTCTGATATTAAATGTTATACTGTACACATTTACAACATTTTGTAATAAAAAATGGACACTATTTCTTTCTTTGATCCTGAATTAAAGGGATATTTGGACTTGTGTGAAGAATTGTAAAAATACGTGTAACAGTATAGACTTATTTCGATGTTACATTTATTCTCTCCATCTTGATATTCCGTTTACTGAGATTAAATTACACTGTACATCTTTACAATATTTTGTAATAAAAATTTTTTTTCAAATTATTCCCCTTTGTTTTGGTTATTGGTATGAAGCGTGCGCTTATTTGACATGAATGTTATGATGCTACAGGTCTCGCAATCAAAAGTTACAATTAAGCATCATGGTTTCAGGACAATATATCGACAGCTGACAAAAGAAACAAAAACCAAAACTCAAAGAGAGTATTCTAAGAGATGAAGGTTGAAGAAGATTATGGCCGTTATAGTGATTTCATTGGTATTAACGCTATTTGTTTAATGCGCGTTGATAGGCCTGTTAGTCCCGTTATAGTGAACACTCATTTGAGATCAGGGCATTCCTGGTACTAAGATTTACATGTCGGGTGTCGTCACATTTTCTATGGTTTCTGTTTTGCTTTTGCTTTGTTACATTATGTTGCTATATCGACGTTTTCTGTTTTAATGTTATCATATGTGTCATGATTTATCTCACATCTTATATATTAAGTTTTAGTTCATTTCCCTAGTGGCAGAGTTTAGAATTTTCCTATTTTGAAATCCTGCGCTTCCTGTCTCTATTTTGATATTGATCTTGGACAATTTAGATTGCTCTCAGTCGCTTCCTGATATTTTAGGCCCCTAGCATCACGGACGAGTCGCAGAACGACCTAACAACTGTACATGTGCAAAGATTAATTTATCTCACACGTTACATATTACGTTTCAGTTCATTTCCCTATTGACTGAGGTTGAAATATTCCTGTCTCTATTTGATATTGATCTTGAACAACTCACTTCCGAGTCGCAAAACGATCTAAGAGCTGTACATATGTAAAGAAGATTAAATCTTTTATTTAACTTTACTGTATCTATATATGATTTTTGTGGAAAGCATGCTTTTGTCTTTTATACAGCCCTTTTGGATTGCAGGTGATAGAATCTCCTGGTATGGCTTTTGCCCTTGAAGTTTGATTTTATTTTAATGATAGTGCGGTTCAGAGAATTTAGACATGTACGTTATGAAATTATCCGAATCATAAAAAATATATGCTGACTATACATCCTCATCTATATTTAGATATATGTATGCTTCATCCAGTTCTATATTTGAAAGATAGGCGCTGTTCACTTGTGTCTTCTTTGTGGAACAAATTGTACTTATCGTTAAGCGTGTCCACTTGTCGTACACTAAAACTTAAATGTGTCAGAGGAACAAGTTTATGAAACTTTTCAAACATATTCAAATGCGTTATACAATAGACAAATACAAATTCAAGATCGTTTTTCATTACAAACTTTTGTTCATAATTCATTGTGGGTCATGCAAGGACAAAACACCTTCATGATGCCTTTGATTTATACTGTTGTTTAACAGTATGTACTAGATGATAAATCAAAGGTATCATAAAGCTGTTTCACTTGAATCACTGAAAAAACAGTGATACGGTCTGCTGTTCCGTTAGCTCTAGCCATAAGAGTGTTAGGTAGAAATGAGGTGGGTTTTTCATTAAGGAATAAAACATCCAAAAGATGCCATTAAAAAAAATTTTAAAAAACCCTTTAGTACCGGTAGAAGATAAGCTGCTTACTTAATGTTAAATTCGTTAAAAAGAAATAAAAATGACAAATTAAACAGAAAGATGTGGAATTTCGTAGAAGTTAATAGGAGTTGTCCCCCTTCTTAACTTTTCTCGTTTTTTCTTTTAAAATTGCAAATGTATTCTACATCTGTATTGTAGAGACTATGAACCGACATGCTAGGTAAATGCTAAGTAATGTTGTAGTTGTTAACGACCACAGGTTTGAAGTATAAGCATATTTTGTTAAAACATTCAACAACATAAACTGATTTAGGTTAAAAGCATGTTTCACGAATTTAATTAATTAATTGACCAGGGTTTGCTATATACTCCAGCAACCATGTTTGATGACAGCATTAAAGAAGGCCTATAAGGGAGCTAATCGGGACAGTTACCGGAGTCTTCGCAAAACCAACCCCACATTTGTATTGAATAAGCCATGGTATAGAATATTCACACGGAAACACGATATTTTAAACCATTCAGCAGTTTACTGACTTCACAGGACAGTGACATCTCCATCTATATATCTGACTTTGGCTTTTTGCCAATTTCGATTTTCCTTTGTAGCCTTTTTTATATTCTTGGCGCCATCACTGATGTATCCTAGAAGGATCTGATATATAACACAGTTGAATGCTTTGTTTTCCTCCTTTGTATCTTATTCTGTATAGGAAGGTGTTCTTCATTTTTGTACAATCTTTTTAGCTTTTTGAGACTTTGCAGGTAGACTTACGTCTTCACGGTCTGCCATAAACTGCATGCAATTTTTCAAAATTCATAAGAATAGTGACAGGTGTCAGAATACATACACATGTATTTGGCGTTCTAAAAATTGAACTACGGGGATAATGAACCGACCTAGCCACCCACCCTTCCACCTACCTACCTAGATTTTAACATTTCACGTCTATTGATTTTCCTCAGTGTCGTCCTATGTTACAACATTTCAACAATTTAAGCTGTTGAGTCTTACAAGGACGATTCATCAATATCATTTAGATTGCTTTATATCTTGGCTCTACTGTATCTGATTCTAAACTTGAGGTGCTACTCTCTTGTGGGTAAAATTCATTTGTGTTTCGTTGGTAACATTTGCAGTAACATTAGGAAAGTGGCACGATTTAGCATATATACATTTATCTCACATTATTTTGACATTATCAGATACAAGTATTTAGGTTAAAAAACAAAACTTATTGATTTATTGTGTAATGTACCTCCAAACCTAATTTTTTACATCTTTTTCGATTATGTCTGGCTTTTCTCAGTCGCTTCCTAGGTATCAAAAGTGCATTATGATCTCCCACAGTTACTGCAATTGGTTTCACTTCGCCAGGCCGATGGAATACGAGAATGTAAACGTGAGGCTATTAGCATCACTCACGAGTCATTGAAACACAGCTATGTGGTACAATTTTATTCATTGTTGGCCTCAATTGGATCTAGTTTTTAATCTAGATTAAATCAATTCATTCATAATTGCATCACGCAAGCTATCGGTAGATTCTTCTAGCATGCATGGGTGATTTATGTTAGTTACACGGTCCTCACCTAGACATCGTGTCATTGTCTACTTTTGTTCTTCCATTTTTCAAGAGTCACCGTATTTACTGTTGACTGTTTTACGTAAGAGTTTGATTCTGTGTGAGAAATATTTTCGTTTTGAATTTTATTTACATGGTAGATGTCGCCTTCTTTCTTAAGATGACTTCCCTCTTATCGTTTTATTTCTCCTATGGTCGTCATTAGAATCTATTAATGAGAAAAAAATTAACGATGTCTTACTAATGACCAATTATAAACTGGAATAGTTGATAGTAAGAATTGGATGTTGATTCACCATGCAGAATAAAATATGTAAATATGATATAGCAATTACAAAATGATGTAGAATTAATATTTATTTGAATGTTGTTATTCGTTATGCAGCAATATCATGTCATATTGTTTTGTAATTGATAATGTTAATTTGTAATCTGTGATGTCAGATAGAAAAAGTTTGAAATGATCATAATATTGAACAACAACATAAACTCTAACATTGTAAGCGATAAGTCAGATGTCATATTAATAACACTGTTATATTAACTTTGTCAGATTATTGTATTATCACTTCAAATAAAACAAATACAGAAAGAAATAAAGTCCATTTTTTATTACAAACTGTTGTAAAAATGTACAGTGTAACATTTAATCTCAGAAAAGAAATATCATTGTGGAGAATCAATATAATATCGGTTTGCCGAAATACATTTACACTTCAACATGTATTCATTACAATTGTTCGCTCTACAGGTCCACACGTTCACTTTTGGTCAAAGATGCGTTCCATGTCTCCCTATATATCCGCGCAGCCCTTTATTTCGGGATCAAATATCTGTCCTTTATTGCCCTGGGGACACAGACCCTGGTACACTACACGTTCGCCTCGACAAACAACAAAATAAGGAGTCTTCTCTCTCCCGCTCCATACATTTAGTCCGTCCGGTCGTCCGGAACAACCTGGGTGACGGTCACTACACGGCACACAATTAGGACCCTGACACTGGTTAGCCTTATAATCACCTGTAAGATTGTGCAAGAAAGTGAAAAAGAGAGCAAATATGTTACTATTACATTTTAATATATATATATATATTATAATTTTATTGCAGTTTTCATATCATTTGATGATATTTAGTCTTTTAAACCTATTACCGATTGCTTATGTAACAGTAAAGTGTCAATGATTATCAGCACATAAAAAACAACCGAGTTTTGTAATTAACAAACATTCATCTTGATAAATAATCAACCGAAAGTATAAAATATAATATTTCTATGAACAAGCCCGGAAATATGATTTAAAATTACCAGAGCCCATGTTACGTGTATTAAAACTAAACTTACATCGTCATAACAAACACTGAACACAAATATAACAACTATCTTTTCTTATAGCGTGTATGTACTTACAAGGATCCTTGGGTTCGGTCCTGTCTCCACATTTGACAGTTTCTGGGTAGGCACACCGCTGACTCTCCTCGTCATACAGTAGTGGGTAGGGACACTCTTGTACCTCTGGTATAACTGGTGTCCCCGTCTCTTTCGGAACGGGGCAAGCAATATATCTTGCACAGGACTCCTTCAAAGCAGCGTTGCATTGTGGGACAGGCTTACCTTTTCCAGAGCCTGTAAAAATTCAACCACAATTAAAATCATATATCAACCTATTAATAAATATTAAACAGTAGCTCCATTAAAAAACAAATTATAACTGTTTCAAGATCAATTCATTGACAATACGTTACTTTGAGATACCTACATTTATCCAGTGTCGACCCTCTTGGAACGCAACTCTGGCTGTTTGGATCTGTCACCATGTTTTCAGGACAGTAGTATCTAGTTTTCCGACCATTGTAACACAGATAGAACACGGAACAATCGTCCTGGTCTTTTTTCCACTGAACACCGGTGCTACTCTCACATTCTCTGGTTATCTCGAACGCCGATACCATCGCGAGAGTTGATAGTAAAACAAATCCATTCATGATGATTTCTGTTGTTAAATTTCCCTCAGAACAGTGAACACTAAAGAAATTTTAAGTCTATGCTCCATCGTCTGATAGTTCCAGTATAAATACCTTTTTAGAACTATCCCAAAATTGCAATGATGCTATAAGAATCACTTTACAGGTCACAGGAAATGACGAAGTAGAACGCCTCGATCCCACGTTGTTGACAAACTCGCCCTCGCCTCCCCCTCTCCAGTTGATATCTCCGGAAATAGAATTACACATTTCATCAACATACATACTTAGCATATTTTCTTGATATGATATCGACTTGGAGGGTCCCTAAATCTGCCCCTTCCCATATCACGTGAGAGTGAGTCCGCCACTATTGACTTGGCACTATATCGTTCACCTACTGGGCAGTTTAGCATTTCATGTGCACCATGTTACAAATACGTGACAAGTTTGTGTCGGTAGGTAGGTCATGCATACCCAGGTATCCGTAATTTCGTGGGCGTTAAAATTTACGTGTAGATATATTTAGAACTTCGCACATCGCCCTGTTTTCATTTTAAATTTATTTACGGTGTTATAAAGAGAGAAAGAATGGTGAACAGAAAAGGAATGGGAGAAACAAAATAAATTATTTGAAAAAGTAATTGTAGAAAAATAAATAAGCTTTTTTCATTTTTTATTCTAATGAGAGTTTCAACGTGATAGATAACAGTAAGATATCAATAATTGCAGAATGCTTTACGAATGTTTGTCGACTGTTTCCTTCACTAAATCACGTATTATACCAAGTGTGGGCTGTCTTGATTGGATAACTTTAAATATGAATGATATTGGTACAACTTGCACCACTTTGTTTAACCGATACGGGTATTTAGATGCTTCTGGATGTTTCTGGTGTCATAACCACTAGCAATACCAGCATCACGATCTATTGACGTCATTCCTGTACTTTTTGAATTTCGGGGTCATCCTAGGAGTGGTCAGTTTCTATAAAAGGTACATAACCGACTCCATACCACATAATACCAGTGTTAAGTTGAATCTATCATCCTTTGGTGCATTAACAAGGAGTCTAACACAAAATAGTGATATATTAAAGGGCATTTCTTTTTATAAAAGACAGATTCACTTTGAAGTTGTATCTAAGTGATATGGAGAAGTTGATTGTTTTGGTGGTCGGAGCGTTTGTTCTGTCAGAATCTCGCGAGATTTGTGACGGGAATGTTGGTGTTCGATGGATAGGGGATCCTAAAGACTGTTCTGTGTTCTACATGTGTGTGGGGACCGTGATGTCACAGTTCCGCTGTCCTAAGGGTAACGTTGTAGACGTCAGCAGTAAACGATGTGTTAAGGAGGGATCCATCCAAGACAGGTGTACAAGTGAGTTTGTAATTATATCAACATCTACTTCATTAATTATTACTGGTTATAGGCATGTTTCCGACATGATAAGCAGGAAGTATAAAGTAGAAGATTGGGTTCGTTATTTAATAATATCGGTAGTATTTCGTCGTATTTTAACTTCCACAAACTTTGTCATTTTGTCATCAAATGTTTGAAGATAGAGCTGCTTTAATTCTTCCAACGCGAATATTAACATCGGACGAAAATAAATATTTAAACCCTGGGCGATCTTTATATAGTATACAGTAGTTCATTTATCGAACAAGTAATTGGATTTTTTTTTAATTATTTACGATCATCTTTATTTCTTCATTAATCTTACAAATTTTTAAAGTTTTTAGATATTAATTTTCATTTTATTTATACCAACACCGTAACAATACAAAATAAACCAGACTGACCATCGGTAAAAAGGCACAAGACAGATTAATAAAAGACAAATAATAGGTAAACAGGGACCATTTTAATGTAGAATATAAGAAACGCCTGTTACTGATGAAGTAACGTTAAACTTATCAAAACTAAAATCGTGGGTTTTATAAAACAAAATTGTAAAATCATGGGTTTTATAAGACAAAGCTGTAAAATCGTGGATTTTATAAAACAAAATTGTAAAATCATGGGTTTTATAAAACAAAATTGTAAAATCATGGGTTTTATAAAACAAAATTGTAAAATCATGGGTTTTATAAGACAAAATTGTAAAATCATGGGTTTTATAAAACAAAGCTGTAAAATCGTGGATTTTATAAAACAAAACTGTAAAATCATGGGTTTTATAAAACAAAACTGTAAAATCGTGGGTTTTATAAAACAAAATTGTAAAATCGTGGATTTTATAAAACAAAGCTGTAAAATCGTGGATTTTATAAAACAAAATTGTAAAATCATGGGTTTTATAAAACAAAATTGTAAAATCATGGGTTTTATAAAACAAAATTGTAAAATCATGGGTTTTATAAAACAAAATTGTAAAATCATGGGTTTTATAAAACAAAATTGTAAAATCGTGGGTTTTATAAAACAAAGCTGTAAAATCGTGGGTTTTATAAAACAAAATTGTAAAATCATGGGTTTTATAAAACAAAATTGTAAAATCATGGGTTTTATAAAACAAAATTGTAAAATCATGGGTTTTATAAAACAAAATTGTAAAATCATGGGTTTTATAAAACAAAGCTGTAAAATCGTGGATTTTAAAATAATAAAACAAAATTGTAAAATCTGTAAAATTGTAAAATCGTTGGTTTTATAAAACAAAATTGTAAAATCGTTGGTTTTATAAAACAAAGCTGTAAAATCATGGGTTTTATAAAACAAAATTGTAAAATCGTTGGTTTTATAAAACAAAGCTGTAAAATCGTGGATTTTATAAAAGGAAAGCAATATTATATTGTGGAGAGAATGAAACTGAGAGAGAGCACAATGAAAGCAAAACCATCATATTGAACAGGAAATTTATATTGATATACATATAAGATAATTGTCTAAGTGGGTCCCCAACAGAACGGAAACTACAATATATACTAGCAGACGTAACATATCTTGGTTTCTCGATGAGATTTTCAGTATATGCCGTCTAGTTTATGGTTGTATTCCCGTGTATTTTCTGCAGATGCTACACACGAACTGGACACCTGTCAAGGCGGTCAAACTTACCTGTCTGTGGCGACATCCTGCGCCAAGTACATAGACTGTCCAGCCTCCCGTAGGACCGGGATCATCGTGGAGAAGGAGTGTTCCTACCCCCAGTTATATGACGAAGGAATGGGAAGGTGTAGACAACCAGATAAGGTCACGTGTGGGGACAGAATGGAGCCCAAGGAACCGTGTAAGTGTTCCACATCGTGTAGCAAATACACTCATTCTCAATGCATTCATTTACCACCACCCCCTCACCCGCCCACCCCCTCACCCGCCCACCCCCCCCCCCCCAAACAAAAAACAAAAAAAAAAAAAACAAAAACAAAAACAAAACAAAAACAAAAAACGACAACACCTCCATGTTTTAAGTGCGACTTAACCAGATCACATAATGACATCGATTTATGTTGTTTTCTCGTTCGTGTGTGTTTTTTCCCAATGGCATTGTCCGCCTCAGTCGGCCTAGCGAAAAGAGACATTTTTGGGAATCTTGTCATTCTACCTAAGCCGTTCAAGATGTCTCGTGCTCATGATCTTAATCGACAGATACTATGTTTTCTTTGATATACGGTTCTTTACATATCTTGCCGTGAAACCTCCAACAGCATATGTCCACCGAAGCAAATGGCTTAATGACAACCGAAGTTTTCCCATAATTTGGTCGAATCGCTATACCGATGGTGTTTGCGATTGTATTTGTGTATTAACCTAGAATAGCAGTTGTCGTTTACATGTGCTAATCTAGAACAGCAGTTGTCGTTTACATGTGCTAACCTATGTGCTAACCTAGAACAGCAGTTGTCGTTTACATGTGCTAACCTAGAACAGCAGTTGTCGTTTACATGTGCTAACCTAGAACAGCAGTTGTCGTTTACATGTGCTAACCTAGAACAGCAGTTGTCGTTTACATGTGCTAACCTAGAACAGCAGTTGTCGTTTACATGTGCTAGAGTTTTCTATTAAAACGTAGGCATGTTTTCCATTGTATTTAGAATTCTTTAACTATTGTCACACACTTTTAGGGATGTCCCTTACTTACAGTCAGAATTACCATGCTCGGTCGCTCCTCTCATAAATAAAGTGTCACGGAGGACGAAATGAATGCATGACGCATATTTATTTATTATTCATCATAACTTAAGTGAAAATTTCTGGAAATAGCTGAGTGATAATCTAATTTTTATATTTATTTTTTTAATGTTTTTAGGTTTAACGTGTTTAAGCATGTCACTTCTGAAGTCTCACAAAATGCCGAATGAAAACACCCAATTGATATTCATGAAATTTATTTGACAAACAGAACAATTTAGCTGATTACATGCGATGTTTATTTGACCACGCCCATTCCAACTTCTCAATAAGGCTGAGATTGATTTTTTTACAAACTTTTTTACCTCGCCATTGAACACCATAGGACAGGAGGTGGTCTAATAAACACCATGTGTACTCAACTTGATTGTTTTGTGTATCACCTCTATTTTGATGTTCGTTCTGTTACTATCTGAAACTGAAACTATGGAACAGTTGATTTATAAGTCCGATAACACAGCATTAGTGGTTATAACAATACTATAACGTATACAACAAATATTACGTTTTTAGGAAACTTGAAAAAAAACATAAGTACATGGCGCTGGCTTGGCTCCACTATTCATTTAGAATGTTATACAGCTGTTGTATTAAATATTTGTATTTTGAAATTTTGAATTTTGTCATATTTTTTTCTTCTTTTTGATCGTTGGATACATTCAAAGGAAAATTGCAAATCTGTTAAATTCGGCTTGGGTGAATTATCGTGTCTAAAATACTATTTATATCTCTTTTGCTTGGTGTTGCAATGCATCTGGCCGTTCATTTATAATTTACAATAAATCTGATTCTTTTGAAAGTTTTCCTTTTGTCATATGTCTTAACTTTAAATTCTAGTACTTGTTTCTAAAGGGTAATAAGGCGTATGTATGTAAACATGGTTTGTTATGTTACAGGTGACTATGATGCCAACAAGTGTAAGACAGCTCACTGTATCCCCTGTCATCTGCGCATGCCCAGTTGTGACGGATATCCGGATGGGCCAAACGTGTGGTCCGGAAGAGAAAGGTCGCCATATTACGTTGTCTGCAAAAACGATCGTGTTGTCCTGCAGACAAGATGTTCCGGAGCAAAACCTCAACTATTTGATCCTGTTCTAAAGAAATGTGTATATTTCAGTCCTATTATTGTGTAAATATTATCTTTCCGTGTTTTATTTTATCTCCGTCTAATTTTTTCCTAAGCTTTTATGAGATTGTTTGCACTAGATATAGCTTTGTTTTTGTTTGCATTTGCATTTGTGTTTTTAGAATGCTTAATCATAATTAAATAAATTGTTATTATTATGAAAAAATATTTTGTGTTTTTTTTTTTAACAACGATCAGTAACAAAAATTAATTTTACATTACAAACACCTGTTAAATTGGTTCATATTTTACATGCTTCTTTTCTGGTGTCTATGTATATTTTTCTTTTGTTCACATAGTTTCATTGCGTTTGAAATAAGATTCTATTGGCGTGTTGGAATTTTCCTGTTGTTTTTAGACAGCTGGTGATTGACCATATCATCTGATCCATCATGAATCATCATAAAGCATTTGTTTGCCTTATCATACACGTTCGTAATGAGACAATGGCTAGCTATAGATTGAATTATGGAGACGGAAGACCTGTAACTAACAAACACATTTGTTTAAGTCACTTTTCTGACTGACATACAATTTGCTGTGATCTACATTTTATTCATTACCGTCATATACCGTTAGAAAATCCTCAATAGTCACTTGACAAAAGTATACGTGTCAATAAACAAGCAGTTATGATTTTAATCACATACATAGGTAACAAATGCATTTTGGAAAAATCTCATTATTGGATTCAGCTTCGTGTTGGAAAGTGAACGACTCAACTTCATATTAGTAATTACCAGTATTAATTACTTGACCTTGAAACGAATTTGCATATGATTACACCAATGTCGTACGGGTTATTGGAAACGTCGACAATATCCGTGTTTAATAGTGATGTAACATCACGTTTACATAAATATAATTCAGGTCAGGATAGTGTTAGGTAATGGTGTTTAATTAAAATGTATATGTATTCTAAACAGGCTACAAAGGCGTTAGAATACAACAGTTAATGAAAACATCCCACTATTTTATTCATGTCGTGTTACTTGTATATGACATATGTCCTGTCTAGTGTAACCAAGTAATAACACCTTCCTCACCAAAACTTCAAACCTAGCGCTCCTTAATGCATATCTTTGTTATACCTCGTGACGTTAGACCTGTTCTATATATTTTTACATTAGTTACATAAAATTAAGTAATAGCTTTAACACTCTTTGAGGATTCGAATTCTGTATAAAAAAAACTAACTAGAGAATAATGTAAGCAAGCTAGTTATTATCGCGTTTGACCAATCTAATATTTACATGAAGACACTTTTGATAAATAGATAGTATGGCTGAATCAAAGTGCCGCGAGATATGGCTAGAAAGGCCGTGTATTAAGCAGAAAAATGTGCAGTGTCATGTTATGTTACTACATTTCAATAAGCACAATCAATACAATTGTTTTCAAAATTTAAAATGTGAAATTGAAGGACTTTTAAAGCTCTTTGCATCCTATTTAGTACCAATTCTATAAAAAAAAAACTTTGTATAAACGAAGACAGGTCTGGCAATATTTCCTCAAAATACTAAATTGATGTATTTTTATTGTCAGATAGAAATTTAAGTATTAACACGACGTATATTTCATCTGTAATTTTTCACAAATAAGAAATAATCTTTAGTATTTATCACGGTAGTAAACAGAGTGAAGAGTTAAGTATCATTAACGTTCTCCTATGTTATATTGTCGTTATGGCGATCGGATTTTAGTAGCTATCCAATATCGAAATGTGACTAAAATTTTACAACGTTGAAAATCATGTGATCGCCTATGTGTAATCATAATTCTATAAATCACGGAAACTGCCAGGAACATTGACAAACGAGATACATATAGGACTATCAGTACTATTGTACCGGAACGATAAGTGCCTACAATTTCACTTGAAATGAAAACCTAGGAAAATCCAAGTACTTACATGCTCTATCTAAACAATGATTGTAGCGTGTATTTATTTCCGATCATGTAAAAATAAATTTGCTGACGCTGTGATTTTATTGACGTACATATCACGGACAAGTCCTTGTGTTATTACTTTATTGGTATTTAGTATAAGATATCACATACTCAACAATACCATTGAAAACCATTATTTATTATCAACCAAATACTGCTTTTGATGTTAATTGGTACAAAGGACATACGAAACAACTCCAGTCCAATTATGAAAAATATAATTTAATGCCTTTTGTAACACCTTATTTTGATTGAGAGGTCCTTTGAGAGAGTTAAGGGAATTTGTAACCATCCTTGGGCTGGAGACAGGTGTGGATGACTGGATCGAACACAAATTTGTACCCTGGGGTCGGGGACATACATTTTCCATGGAACACAACGCGTTGATCTTTGCAAACCAAAAAGTGTGGTGTTTGTTCCCTGTTCTTCCATGGATGAAGTCCATTCGGAAGGCCTTTGCATGTTCCGTAACGCATGATACACGGAGGACAAGAGATCGTTCTACATTGATTGGCAATGTAGTCACCTGTCGAAGAGAGAAGAAAATATACACATCTAATAACAAAATTAAACAAGATAGACTCAACTCCACAAACGTTATAACATACTATAATTATTCCCAAACATAAAACTGTAAAGGCGGTCCATAGGTAATGGACAGGTTAGATACGAGGAGAAAAAAGACATTAAGATATATGTTTATTATAAGAAGTGAATTTTCTTATACAGATGAAGTGAGAGCAGGTGAAATATGGCTATTTCACTTTAAAACAGTATGTGGATTGATTCTGTAGGTTAGTAATGTGAATTATTTTTCGGATTGTTATCCGGAAATGACCTTAAACTTAACGCCCCAGATTCCAGAGTGTTGTAAATTTCTGGGCGTTTCTTCAGTCTCTGAAGAGGAAACTTATAAAAATATGGAGAAAAAATATTAGCAGCTTTTAAAGTAATGACATTAAACAATAGCTTAATGGTTTGAACTGGTGCACAATAAATGGGTTTTGTTTCCATTTGGCTTTTCGAATGTAGCAGAGGGATAGATATAAGAAATGAATCTGGCGACAGAAAGGTCATCTATAGTTAAAAGATAAAATCTCTTAACTTTAACAGCGTACAGATTATATCATAGAACTTAATCAATTGAACGTGTCACGCAGTTGACTCCCATTAATTCCAGTTTGCATAACAGACTTACTGAAAATGTGCAAATATGATTTATTTAACATATAACGCATTCTTCATATCTAAATTGCATTCTAGCAGACTGATAGCTTGAGGGTAATTGATTTATAATCAAATAATTTTATTAACATGGATTCATAAGAATTCACATCAATCATACGACAGCTTCTCTTCTCTGGTGGCTGATCTTTATTAGAAAATCGAACTGTTTTGTCATCAAATTAGATATTTCCAATTGTAATTTGACGGCTCTTGTTTGGAACAAAGCAATGTAGTTGACGTGTTTATAAGATTCATTCTATCAATCATACTGACATAGGGCCCCGGCGAACAGGAAAACACTTATATTGTAGACATTGTCTCAACTATTTGTATTTAATACTGTTTTTCCCCCTATTTTTTATAAGTGAATACACATATAGATATATTTCGAGGCTAGGTCCACTGAACATTGTTCTACACTTACGTTTGTAGTTGCATATAAAGTGGAAAGTAATGTTGTTTTCAAGTAGATATATTATTCTATAATGTACAAGTATATTCCGAACATCGTGTCACACCGTCAGCTATATATCAAACTGTCTGCCATCAGTGAAGAGATATACAGAACTTGACAGAAACAGTTTAAGCCCAGGACGACGCTTAATTCTAATACTTTTAATTGACGCCAATTAAGTGTGCGAGCTAACATATGATGACTCACGTGACAGGCACATGCGGGATATTAATTAATCTCTACCTGAACACAGGAGATTCATAGTTCGCATTGATACGTCATTATATTGGAATACATTAGAAGCTAGAATGACCTTTATGAGTAAATGCATTGTTAATACTACTGCGAATTAAAAGTTATAAAACCATTATGAGGGATAAATAAAAGTTAAGTACTTCAAAGCTGTTCTATATGACATTTACAGACATTTGACCTTTCGGAGCGGTCAATTTCAGGTAAATGAAAAGAAAGAATCCGCTTGCCAAACGAGAGTGTGGAAGTTAATTTTACACATGAATGCCAGCTTAGTGGGAATGGCAATATGATGCGATAAATGTTTACCTCTACTTTTCGCATAAAGTTAAGGAATTTCAAATAGGTGTTTTCACCTCATTGTGATATTCGACATGGTAGTTAACAATGCGATTGACTATCTTTTGTAACGTTTTTCCTTCTGAAGTATCAGTCTCCAAGTTCAGAATTACGCTTGCAGCTCATGAACAATTAATGCCCGAAATTGGACTGTTCGTTGAAGATGATACCAGGTCACAGTCCGTTATCAGACTAAAGTGAACCTGTAGAATTTTCATTCCAGTATTAGTTGTGACCGGTTAAATTGAAATCCTTGTTTGTTTGTTTATTTGTTTTTTTCCAGTCACTTATCATCTCTATTCCCTATATTAACTAATTGATATTCACATATTATCAATTTGCACATTTGAAACATTACAACTACAATATTACTTATGAGTTATGTTAAAAGTATATATATATACTACTATATGTGTTACACGGTCAAATATATAACACGTTTACATATACTAGACAGCTAAAGACATATTATTATCATAAAGTTACATGAAATATTCTTTATTTAAATACATCTCATGTAATTAAATAGACACATGGAAAATATCTTTCTGATTGTCTGGTTACATATATTGAAAACATTCATATTATCATCTGTTAATTTTTTTAGCATATAAATATGTGTAAATGTTACCGCCATATTACAAAGAACTCAGTTGTTATTTTTAAATCAAAATATTACATACCCATATGTATGTATTTGTATGATTGCATTGTCATAAGTAATACATTTTATAAAGGTGGACGAGTCTGTTTAACTCTTGTGTTATGTTCATACAGTTATAAACAATGTACTAGTTTTATTGTTCTTTTTGTGTTAATTTAAAGTTTATCTTTAATCAGACAAGTGTATATTTTGTCAAAATTGAAATATTGTATTAAAAAGTTCAAACAGATAATGAAATTTCAGACATGAAAGTTTTATAAGCATTGCTCATATTAATCACAAACCTGACAGTCGTATAAAGATATTTCAAGCTTAACATACATTTATACAATTACGTATTAATAATGAGACTACAACATAATCAAATTGAAAACCAATTAAATGAAACTCCACTAGAAATGACTTGTCCCTCTCTACATGGCTTAGGTGACTTGTATAGTTGTTATAGAATATATTAAATGTATTATCATAAGTAATGAGGAAACAATGGCTCCAAAAAACGCGTTATGAATATCCAATTAGTGTGGCAGGTTGTATATTACATACATCAGCAAACACACACACAGATATATATATATATATATATAGTGTTTCATCGCTTTTATGAGAAAAATCAAAACTGAGTTACATGCAATGTTGAACCGTTTTAAACATTTTATGTAAGCAATGAGACACACTCCACCTGTATATCAATATAGAAAAAATCATTAGAAAATACCATTTTAGGGGGAGGTGGTCAAATTCACAAGCAATGAGCCATAATCTGACATATAACTCCAACAAATGAAAGGGGTTTCGTACATAAGAAATTGAAATATGTAAACAAGAGGTTACTATAGAAGGGAATGTTCTTCAGACATTAAAAATCATCTGTCTTTTTTTTTGTTTTGTTTTTTTTATCTCCAAAGCTACAAGACTAGAAGCGACAGGAATATTTCTGTGTTGCATGTACAATGGAATGCCTTTGATATCTATTACGATAGATCCAATTGTTCTTATTTGTGCCAAAACATTAATAATATTATGAAGTATTCGAGCAAGTCTCGAAAGGTCAGGCACATGTATGCATCAACTGAAGTTGTTACTAAATGTATCATGATGTGTTTTTAGAAATAATTTTCTAATTGAATAACATTTTTCCTATTGCTTCATTTCTGTAGTGGTACTGACAGATGTCGACAGGGATTTTCCTGATAGAAGGACGATTCGTACAGGGATCGAGAGGAAAAAGTACTTAATAAGGATACAAACTAATTGTAATTGCAGTTGTCGAGATGGTTTCACTTGCATGGATAGAAAGCTACTGTACCTGCTGTGGTCGAGATAGATTATAGTTATAAGGGGTGTGGAAAATTATTCTATTATTGGTAGAGAGGAATCATGCTTACAGTTTACATAACGATTGCTGTGAGAGACCATACTTACAGGGATCGAGGGGTACAGTCCTGCGTCCACACCTAACGTTGGAGTAATGATCACACTGGGCGAAACGAACATTAAAGAGAAGAGGATAGGGGCATTCCCTGAGGTTGGTTCCCCACCAGTCCTCCTGAGGGTTCGAACCACAGTCGTAATATTGCGCACATTTACTCGGATGGGCGATCCTTCGGGTCGATCCAGCAGTACACACGGGCTTGGCAAACCTCCATTTAGCGTTACGTCCTCCAGGTACCTTACGTGGAGGGGACGCATATACCTGAGGTGGACCCCATCTCTTAGCTGTGGATATAAGAATAGGTTGCTTCACAAGAAATTGGATAGAGATTTAAACAGATTACCTTTCAGGCGAATTAAAGACTTAAACATCGTTACAATGTATATCTCAAGTAACTTAAACACAAAGCAACAATTAAATTGTATGACAGTTTATATCTGAAGTAATTCATAACCACAACAACACCAAGGGGAACATATCATAGATTAAAGATAGGAAACGTATATTAGACAGAATATTAGAATCTACCACTTACATCAATAGTAATACGGGATCAAAGATATTTTCAGACCTTCATAAGTATGTATAGACAATTTAATCACCATTAAAATGTTACCCTATAGTTTGTATTATTTTGTTTATTTAAATATTGTTAATTGTATCGTATTTAGTTAAAATACGTTCTGGTAATTTTGAGCAACAATGATTACTGTCCGGAACTGGACATGAATAATGGTCGCCTTGTCACTGATCAAATGAACGGCTGAAAAGACGGCTTCATTTGTCATCCTTTTGTTTCAGAATATGTTTTAGAGTTACGACTGTAGTCATTACCTATAGCTCGTGTTTTAGAATATGTTGTACTCATTTTATAAACATCGTATTTAGGACTGTTTATACTCACTATATGAACCCAGTCTTTTAGGACTGTTTATACTCACTATATGAACCCAGTCTTTTAGGGCTGTTTATACTCACTATATGAACCCAGTCTTTTAGGACTGTTTATACTCACTATATGAACCCAGTCTTTTAGGACTGTTTATACTCACTATATGAACCCAGTCTTTTAGGACTGTTTATACTCACTATATGAACCCAGTCTTTTAGGACTGTTTATACTCACTATATGAACCCAGTCTTTTATGTTTATACTCACTATATGAACCCAGTCTTTTAGGACTGTTTATACTCACTATATGAACCCAGTCTTTTAGGACTGTTTATGCTCACTATATGTACCCAGTCTTTTAGGACTGTTTATACTCACTATATGAACCCAGTATTTTAGGGCTGTTTATACTCACTATATGAACCCAGTCTTTTAGGACTGTTTATACTCACTATATGAACCCAGTCTTTTAGAACTGTTTATACTCACTATATGTACCAAGTCTTTTAGAACTGTTTATACTCACATATGTACTATATATACATATGTGTTTTATATTCACTATATGTACCCAGTCTTTTAGTTACTATATATGTACTCTTTTACTATATGTACCCACTGTTTATATTCTATATGTACCCAGTCTTTTAGGACTGTTTATACTCACTATATGTACCCTGACTGTTGTTATTCACTATATGTACCCAGTCTTTTAGGACTGTTTATACTCACTATATGTACCCAGTCTTTTAGGACTGTTTATACTCACTATATGTACCCTGACTGTTGTTTTAGGACTGTTTATACTCACTATATGTACCCTGACTGTTTATATTCACTTTATGTACCCAGTCTTTTAGGACTGTTTATACTCACTATATGTACCCTGACTGTTGTTATTCACTATATGTACCCAGTCTTTTAGGACTGTTTATACTCACTATATGTACCAAGTCTTTTAGAACTGTTTATACTCACACTATATATACATAGTGTTTTAGAACTGTTTATACTCACTATATGTACCCAGTCTTTTAGGACTGTTTATACTCACTATATGTACCCTGACTGTTTATATTCACTATATGTACCCAGTCTTTTAGGACTGTTTATACTCACTATATGTACCCTGACTGTTTATATTCACTATATGTACCAAGTCTTTTAGGACTGTTTAAACTCACTATATGTACCAAGTCTTTTAGGACCTGTTTATACTGTTGTATGTGGTATAGGGCCTTTTTGTACTAACTGTATGAATCTAGTGTCTTATGATTTCTTTGTGCTACTAACAGAACTTAAAGCACTGGCCACATATAAAAACTACATTAATCAGTGTTTATGAGTATTTTTAGGATATGTTTGTAAACACAATAGGTAACCAGCGTTTTAGGATATATTGGCAGTCAGTGTATATAGCCAGTATTTTAGGATATGTTGGTAGTCAGTATATATAACCAGTGTTTTAGGATATGTTGGTAGTCAGTATATATAGCCAGTGTTTTAGGATATGTAGTCAGTATATATAACCAGTGTTTAGGATATGTAATCAGTATGTTTAGCCAGTGTTTTAGGATATATTGGTAGACAGTATATATAGCCAGTGTTTTAGGATATGTTGGTAGTCAGTATATATAACCAGTGTTTAGGATATGTTGGTAGTCAGTAGGATATGTTGGTAGTCAGTATTTATAACCAGTGTTTTAGGATATATTGGTAGTCAGTATTTATAACCAGTGTTTTAGGATATGTTGGTAGTCAGTATTTATAACCAGTGTTTTAGGATATGTTGGTAGTCAGTATATATAACCAGTGTTTTAGGATATGTTGGTAGTCAGTATTTATAACAGTATTTATAACCAGTGTTTTAGGATATGTTGGTAGTCAGTATTTATAACCAGTGTTTTAGGATATGTTGGTAGTCAGTATTTATAACCAGTGTTTTAGGATATGTTGGTAGTCAGTATATATAGCCAGTGTTTTAGGATATGTTGGTAGTCAGTATATATAGCCAGTGTTTATGATATGTAGTCAGTATATATAACCATTGTTTTAGGATATGTTGGGAGTCAGTATCTATAGCCAGTGTTTAGGATATGTTGGTAGTCAGTATATATAGCCAGTGCTTTAGGATATGTTGGGAGTCAGTATCTATAGCCAGTGTTTAGGATATGTTGGTAGTCAGTATATATAACCAGTGTTTTAGGATATGTTGGGAGTCAGTATCTATAGCCAGTGCTTTAGGATATGTAGTCAGTATATATAGCCAGTGTTTAGGATATGTTGGTAGTCAGTATATATAACCAGTGTTTTAGGATATGTTGGTAGTCAGTATATATAGCCAGTGTTTATGATATGTAGTCAGTATATATAACCAGTGTTTTAGGACATATTGGGAGTCAGTATCTATAGCCAGGGTTTAGGATATGTTGGTAGTCAGTATATATAGCCAGTGCTTTAGGATATGTAGTCAGTATATATAGCCAGTGCTTTAGGATATGTAGTCAGTATATATAGCCAGTGTTTAGGATATGCTGGTAGTCAGTATATATAACCAGTCTTTTAGGATATGTAGTCAGTACATATAGCCAGTGTGTAGGATATGTTGGTAGTCAGTATATATAACCAGTGTTTAGGATATGTTGGTAGTCAGTATATATAACCAGTGCTTTAGGATATGTAGTCAGTATATATAGCCAGTGTTTTAGGATATGTTGGTAGTCAGTATTTATAACCAGTGTTTTAGGATATGTTGGTAGTCAGTATTCATAACCAGTGTTTTAGGATATGTTGGTAGTCAGTATATATAACCAGTGTTTTAGGATATGTTGGTAGTCAGTATATATAGCCAGTGTTTTAGGATATGTTGGTAGTCAGTATATATAGCCAGTGTTTATGATATGTAGTCAGTATATATAACCAGTGTTTTAGGATATGTTGGGAGTCAGTATCTATAGCCAGTGTTTAGGATATGTTGGTAGTCAGTATATATAGCCAGTGCTTTAGGATATGTTCAGGCCAGTGTTTAGGATATGTTGGTAGTCAGTATATATAACCAGTGTTTAGGATATGTTGGTAGTCAGTATATATAGCCAGTGCTTTAGGATATGTAGTCAGTATATATAGCCAGTGTTTAGGATATGTTGGTAGTCAGTATATATAACCAGTGTTTTAGGATATGTTGGGAGTCAGTATCTATAGCCAGTGTTTAGGATATGTTGTTAGTCAGTATATATAGCCAGTGCTTTAGGATATGTAGTCAGTATATATAGCCAGTGTTTAGGATATGTTGGTAGTCAGTATATATAACCAGTGTTTTAGGATATGTTGGTAGTCAGTATATATAGCCAGTGTTTATGATATGTAGTCAGTATATATAACCAGTGTTTTAGGATATATTGGGAGTCAGTATCTATAGCCAGGGTTTAGGATATGTTGGTAGTCAGTATATATAGCCAGTGCTTTAGGATATGTAGTCAGTATATATAGCCAGTGCTTTAGGATATGTAGTCAGTATATATAGCCAGTGTTTAGGATATGTTGGTAGTCAGTATATATAACCAGTCTTTTAGGATATGTAGTCAGTACATATAGCCAGTGTGTAGGATATGTTGGTAGTCAGTATCTATAGCCAGTGTTTAGGATATGTAGTCAGTATATATAGCCAGTGTTTTAGGATATGTGGGTAGTCAGTATATATAGCCAGTTTTTTTAGGATATGTTGGTAGTCAGTATATATAGCCAGTGTTTAGGATATGTTGGTAGTCAGTATATATAACCAGTGTTTAGGATATGTTGGTAGTCAGTATATATAGCCAGTGTTTAGGATATGTTGGTAGTCAGTATATATAGCCAGTGTTTAGGATATGTTGGTAGTCAGTATATACAGCCAGTGTTTAGGATATGTTGGTAGTCAGTATATATAGCCAGTGTTTAGGATATGTTGGTAGTCAGTATATATAGCCAGTGTTTAGGATATGTTGTTAGTCAGTATATATAGCCAGTGTTTAGGATATGTTGGTAGTCAGTATATATAGCCAGTGTTTTGATTGACATGCTGACTAATTAGCGTTTTACAGACCATGGTTGATAATTAGATACACAAGGAAATACACGTCATTACAATACATTTACATTTAAGTCCTTGTCGGAGACGTTACGAGAAGATCATAGCGCTATCCACGTCAGCCACACCAGAAAAGAATTAGATAAATGGTGGTTAAAAGGCTTTAATTAATTAATAAAGTACTATGATGAGTTTTTGAACACATAATGATAAACAACATTAGCGGCTTGATGAGAGATCTAATCCATTTTGATATGAAAGGCATACAATCTTAATTATGATTATTATAGGGACCTGCTTTCACCTAATGACAGGACTTCTATGATAGATGTTATAATATATGAGTGATAAAAACAAAGGATATTGGGAACGTAAGTTGATGAAGACTATGAGAAAATTAGGATTACCACGGTGATATTATAATCACGGGAATTTTTTTTCGAAACTAAATATGTTGATTTTGACACGGTTCTCGTTAAGAAAACGTGATATTTGTTGGAATGACATAGTTTTACATGGTGGATACAATTGATGAAGCAACTTCCATGATTCTGTATCCATCTTATCTTTGTTTTTTATAATCTTATATTTTTAGACAAAATCTTACATGAAATCTTCACATAGCCTTGTGGAATGTCCTGAATATTAAAACGCGGGGTTGCTTTGAAGCACTTTCAAACATTTAAATACTCCCGTGAATATCACGAAAAATGATCTTGCTTATTATTTTTGTAAAGATAGACAAAGGATAATGAAAACACATTCAAAATGATATCTGAACCACAGTGATGATCTTAGCAAGTCTTATCACATCATTTCTTTCATCGTCTTCTTATGAGTGAATATACCCAGAAAATATTTGGGTTTAGATTTCAAAGTGTTTGCATCCATATTTCCATTAACGAGGAAAGATCTACAATTCAAAACAATAATACCAGGACAGAATATCTACAAAGATTGAAAAAGTAACCAAACTTCATTACCAAGAATATAAAACCATGTTATTTTTGTAAAGGTAGGCATCTTTTGTTTCATCGCTTGCGCTTTGGTTTTATTAGGGTCAACTTTTAAATGCCTGGTTCTCAAAGCAAGAATCGGGGTGGAAATAACGTAACCACGTGGCAGAAGCCTTACCGTTATTGAGGATCAAATCTATTGAACGCCACATCAGAAAAAGGAATACAATAATTCACAAGGAGACAATGATAGCGACTGTATCTACAACAAAATGCATCTCCAGAATCCCTGTAGGTCTCTCCGTCATAGTAAATGCTCAGACTATAATCTTTAGTGATAAGCTGCCAAACTCGGCCACATTGTCTGAAAATTTATTGGCTGGTGAAAAATAGTCTATAGTATTACTGATTTGAAGTTCAACTGGTACATGGGGGTGACAAGGACAAAATTTCTTGTAATTTTACCTCAAGCACATATTTTCTAAATGTTTGAAAATATAATTGCACTTGATATATTTTCACTTAACAAAAGAATGAAATGTCGACCTTCAGAATGGGAGTATTCCTATGGATTTGGCAATATATTAAATACTTACGCTTTTGACATGGGTCGGGACCTATGGTCGTGCCTTTCTCAACACATTTGCGGTCCTGGTCGTCCCAGACCTGATTTCCACAGCTAAGATCGTGAAGCGTTGTACCAATACACAATATGTACCTGGAACAATCGTCAGGGTTGGCGAGGAAATCATGTCCGACTACTTTCTCACACAGGTTCGTGACTTTGCGCGTGACAGGTGGTGGAGCTGGTCGAGTATTTGGTATATGTGTCCTGTGATGCCTTTGTGGCCTTCTGCGACGGGTGGCAAAATTTGAGTTCGCATATCCAACGCAGAGAAGAATAAAAATGAGGAGGACTTTAGTGTACATATCTCCTGGCGACGACCGACGTCTTAACCCAAAAGCAAGTGCGACGAAAGTGTAGAGGCGATGAACAGCTAGGTCTAACAATTTTCTTACATCACACACTTAACGTGATCTGACTGGTTGGTTATAGAAGTAATTTACATAGGACAGGTAAATCGAGAGATGACAGCTCCGTAATATATCACATTTCTGACACATTCACTCTACTTGTTCAAAGTGGTGTAGCATCGACGGCAGATTAAGAAAGTAAATACGTTCATGATTAATTAATATGTTTCATGTTGGAAAAAAAGAACTATATGATGGCCATGGTATTGATAACAAAAGATGATGCAATGATTTTATTTCCACTCTGAAACAAATATAGATTCCACAAAAGTATTTTGTCCGCGCAAGTTAACAGCACTTTTTCAAACTTTGAACCTACCTGTTATTTTCATATTTACCATTGCATCCTAATTGTAATTCTGAAATGTAATTATGGTCGACGTATACGAGGCACACATGGAGATAGAAAATAAGACTTGGGGAATTATGGAATTATAGAAAAAAATATCTTGAAATACTTTTACTTTTCGGCTCAAGAACAATTAAAATTTATAACGGTCATTAAATCCGCGTGTTCGTTTAGATATCTAGAGTGAAGGACGTACAAGTGCTGCTCCGCAGACCCAAAGCCTTGTATATTAATATAAGGGATGTAGGCATGAGAAACGATCCACTGACATTAATGTATTTGTACTGAGTTATGAAATCGGCGATGCGTCAAAAATAGTATATCGAAAATATCAGTGACGAATTCTAATGCTAGTGCTTGCTATTGACAAAAATAGTTGTAAACTTAACTAGGTCACACGTATTTCTGTGACATATGGATGTTTATTGATGACTATGACGTATCAGTATGCTTCACAGACTATTTTGCAAGACTATAGGTATATCATGACAGCATTCGAAATTCGAAACATCTGTCTGGATTTCAATCATCTTAAATGAACTCATTGACTAGGATTGCCTCACCTTCCCACAGTTGTTATCACATCTCGGCGTAAGTCACATTCTTAACACGTAACAACCACGCTACAAAGTAAAAGTGGCAGTTTTGGTTTTCCTACCGTGAATTTTCGTTTTCTTGGTAGTAATATTTTTCATCTTTGAATTAAAAGCATTAAATTGCCAAAGTTTCTTCGATAAGAAGACGTATTCTAGATATCGTGATTGCCGTCATTGATATGGCAGGCGGAAGGAAAATCTTACTGTAAATTATAATGCGTTCGGCAGGCGAATATGATAGTGCCAGATTATGACCTTAATGATCTCAAAATTACATAATGGGGCCCTAAGTGCAGATGGTGTCAACAATTTGAGATTGAAAATGCTTACAATTTGAGAACGTCTTGGAATTGACTTAGACATTTTATAACCTAGGCGGTGTCGAAGAAGTAGAAAACGCTAGATTTTTCAGTACACCTGGTCTTGCTCGACTTTTGTTTTTTCTTTACTTTTGTTGAATATGTGTTCAACTTATGGCAATATATATAATGAATTCTGGAATCATTTAGTAGTAAATGAGTCTTGCCAAATACAGGCGAGTAAATAACTTGAGTGACTATTGATGTCGGTTGACGAGGTGTAGAACACAGTAAAGGACTCTTTTTTTTTGCGTGCGACCAAGTATGTTGCTTTGTCAGATCGAAAATTTGTCAAGAATAAAAGACGTAAGAAAGAATTATTATGATTGTTACGTTAGAATAAAGCTGGGGTGGGGTTTGCCGATCTGATATATAGGCATATGATACTCAACGCAGTCCAATAAGGTTCGTTTAACCAAGATACCCAGAAATGACTGATATGCTTATCACAAGTAATTTTTTTTAAATTTAGAACAACATTGAGATGTTAATGTCAGGAAGAAGGATCAGTCTGTGAAGTTACTCCATAGATGCCTGTCCGGTAACATGTCATGGGTCGTCATAGTTTAGTTTATACATTATACATTATGAAGGAACATCATATTTATCGATATAATGGTAGGTTATCATAGAAGCAGATCATACGTAGGATTAAGACATGGGTTAGGCTAAGTCACCTTCAACAAAAATGAGACTTAGTTGAGTGATCCTTTTCAGATACAAGGCGTGTTGCATATTCCCATCTAGATTTCCTTTCTATCATTTTGGATTTTCCTCAGTCACCTCCAGGGCTTCAAAATTTAGGCCCTTAGCATCACAGACGAGTTTTAGAGGGACGAAACGGCTGTATGATGCGATTTTATTCATTGTTTGGCTCGACTGTATCGAACTCTGTATTAAGGATGCTATTCACTTGTGTCTTTCATACTCGCTCCACATTGTTGCTTAAACATTGCTTCTTGACGCTGAAATCCAAGGCAGAGCAAGACAAACAGTATCCTGTGTGGGAAGTCCTCAGTTTTTGTCACGTCGTACATAAACACAAATACCATAGCATTAACTGAAGTCATCATCATGTTTATTTATCCATATTGTCTGCCCAGACATACAAAGGATACACTAGAGCACATCAACCTTATACATACAAACGTGTCAATATATATACTTATGTGGTGCAATCAAACTGATAAAGGACTACATATTGTCGCAGTCTCGGATCTGATCAAACAACGTGTTCTTCCTTTCAAGTACAAATGTGTTTTAAAACTACGTGTACCTTTTTACGTCAATTACTGTTACCTATATCTTAACATATTTATGAAAATTTAGGAAAACTATTCCTTCACTTCCATCATAAATAAAAAAGTGATGATTTTTTTGCATTTTCAATAATTGATATATATATATTTATGTAAATAATGATTCACAAAATATTAGATATCTTAAATTTAATAATTATGTTTTTGACAATAAACGACATAACTTTGATAATTATTATACATCCCCACAGACTATCTATGACGAAGATTCCGGCTACACCTGACAGAGAGAGTGGCCGATATATTACATCACAAAGATTATACTCATCTTGAAGCCATTTCATGGACAACAATCATTCACGTGAGATTCTAAATTCCATTGAAATTTATGTTAATTAGTTACATTTCTTAACTGAATTTCTAATTTGTTGAAATATATTTTACGGAGCATATGATGAATTTCTAATTTCATATTAAATTCTAAATACATGTAATGTTCAAAGTATATTTATTGCAGACATGTCAGAGTTGAGAACTAATTAAAACAAACCTGTTCCTCTACATAATGCAATGTGTAAGACACTTACTGATAGATTTATTTAATCAGACCCAATGTTTTGCAACTCACTGATTAACAATATTGGTGGTCAAACGCTTGGAAAAGGCATTAATATGACTTCTTAACTTGGTTTCTCATCCTATATGTCAACTCCACAACATGACCTAAAGAGAGTGGACAAGTATCAACCGTGATACACATTGTTTTTTTATTTGATGACTTACTGCAAAATTTAAACTACAGTTGTTACCGACACACGAGAGCAGTTGTAATTTATGTGTAGTTGTTGGAATAATAAACATTAATGAGGACTTGAACTGTTATAATGGTCATGAAAAGAAGATATAAAGTTGAACCATCAAAAACAGAAAATAGAAGAATTGTATATTACAGTCTAAACAATCACTCATTTGTTATCTAAATATCAATATATTTGAGGCAATACAATGTTTGTCAGTGTACAGCGTTTTTATCATTAGATATTCAAAAAAGACACAACAGCATAAATTTATCAAGTAGGCTATATGGTGATATTCTGAGAAAGGTCGCTTGCTGTCAGTAGTTGGAAGGCTTTAACTGGGCAAGGCAAGGCGCCAGGAACAATGTACAATGAAAGGAAGAAAGAGGAGTAATATTGTGATATAATGTCAAAGTCGTCACATGGACTCCAAAGCAATGCATATCCTTGGCTTTGTGGAATATTTGGTGACGTGTATGATTCGACACGGGTCATCAATGTCGCATGATTTTCTCAATACAGCCCTAGGTTTGTTAATCTTTTTTTTTTTTTTTAATTTTTGATGCAACAACTCTATTAACAAATGATATGAAATTTTGTGGTAACTAGATTTTTATATCTTGGCACTTTAGCCACGAGCAATAACGCCAGTAGAAAGAACACAGGCAGGAACAATTAATGTTATCCAAATGAAACCACTCTTTCAAGTGCTATGTGCCACCTCTCAAATCATGGGCACTACATCAGCTGAAAGGTTATACAAAAGACTGGTGAACAATAATTTAGAATATGCCATTATGGTAAGTTTCAACGACATGGTATAATGCTCGTAGCATGGACAGTCTATATGGAACTACGTGCTTTTAGTTATCAAGAATTGGATAGAAACAAACATACTTGAAACAATAAATGATTATTAAAAAGGAAGTTGTTGAAAATCAAAATGATAAAGAATTCAATCAGGAAAAGAGGTTAGTAATGACTCGTGACACATCTGTTGACTAATGAGGAAAAAGAAATTAAAAAATACTTTTGTAGACGTTTAGATATCAACGTAATTACCTGTAAATTTACATTGGTGAAGGGATCAAGAAATACAGTGTATACGAAAAAAATTAAAACTTGGAAAAGATCAAAAGGATAAAACACCATAAACCAATCAAAATTTGCATAATTATAGGACTATTTTCATTAACCTTTTTTGACAGAAGCACACATTATGAAAGTCTTTAACCAAACCTCATATGGTATATTTGTAACACAGAAAACATCATGCTTATATACATAATGACAAACAGAATAAAGACAGAGATGTTAGTTGATTGAGATTATTTTGTGAATATAGTCTACCTATATATGTTAACACTGGGCAAACTAGGAACAAAAGTCCAGTGTTTCACAACTCATCATAATGGGCATGATTTGTTTATCAACTGTACAGGTGGAGGGGTCCCACGAATAGGACAGAATTCTCAAAACTCTTGTCCAGTCAATCTGTAGACATGATTACAATCAACATATCTGTTTATCTTGTAAACATGCTATCTTCCAGAATGTAGTCACTAGAAAACAGACAGTTAGATAAAAGTTGACAAATAGTGGGACAAAGTCCAATGTTTCTTAATGTGCTTCGTCATAATGGACGGTTTAAAGGTAAGTTCTCTCTTCATCAGTGAGGTAGACATAGCATTTAATCTCAAGACAAGAGAGGGTGGAGAGCTTTGAATTCTATAGAGACTCAGAAACACCATTTTTTGTTTGGTTAAAGTACCAATTTTGTCTAGGCACCTAATAGGTCTAACAGTTGTCAAACTACTAAATAAGTATACTAAAATTAATAGCATGGACTTGTATCTATATCTAAGTATATGTGAATATTACCAAATCTCTTCTCTAGTGCTGTTACGCCTATATGCTTGTAGTCCCCGCTAACATTACAAGTATCTGGCAGAGGTCTCCTAGCAACTTAACCTCTTCACTACTACAACATCTGATAGCTTCCACGTATATAATGTAGTCCCTACTAACATTACAAGTATCTGGCAGAGGTCTCCTAGCAACTTAACCTCTTCACTACTACAATATCTGATAGCTTCCACGTATACCATGTAGTCCCTACTAACATTACAAGTATCTGGCAGAGGTCTCCTAGCAACTTAACCTCTTCACTACTACAACATCTGATAGCTTCCACGTATACCATGTAGTCCCTACTAACATTACAAGAAAAGCATGCTTTCCTCTAGAGATATATATCATATATTATATGATACCATGAATTAGAATAACATTAACTGATAATTTTTCAGAATGCAAGAGAATTATTAGGATATATGTTAATTTGTTTTGATGTAGTGAGTGAATTATGTCAATTTATATCGAGGAGCTCGATTAAAAGAGAGTCCTGTCTCTGGTGATACACTGGATATCCCTGTCTTTATTGGATTTGGGGTGATGGTGGGTGGGAGTGGTTAGTGAAGGTTGGGGATGAGGTTGAACAGAAAGTCTAATTTGCCACTGGAATTTACCAGTTACATGAAAGGTCGGAGGAAATCATACTCAACTCCTCTCAGTCAAAATAACCACACAAATACAAAGTAAGCCTGGTAAACGGAAATTAATCTTAATGTCATATCTGTACTTAAAGGATATTAAATAAAAAAAATGATACAAATACCGTTAATTTATTAAAAATAACATAAATTCCGCACTAATAACACATAATGATAACCGTCAAAATAACAGTAAGATGATTATATACAGTGAGGAAAAAGGGATTGTGTCCTAAAGGTGAGTGAAGAAAGACATTGCTCTTGAAAGCATTTACACCAAACACAAGTTTTAACCCTTTTATAAATAGCTCAATACAGCAATATGGAATGAATGTTAGAACATGCATTTGGAAGGATAAACTCTTTCATAAATAAAAATTTCATAGCAGAGGACAAAGTGAAGACATTTTATTTATCATCCGCAGTAGAGTGATAACAAAGACAATAAGGATACTACTGAGGAGTTGGTATGCTTGATGCAAGACTCATTTCTGTTTTAATATGGGTATTAATATCGTATTTCAGGCATATCATACAGTGCATTACTGTTAATGATTAATTTGTGGGTTAAAATGTATTGGACATTAAGTAAAATATGACATAAAGGAAAATGTGACAATAACAGAAAATTTATATAAAGCATAAGAGAAAATTTAGAGAAACTGTATGTTTCTGCAAACGTAAACCACTGAAGAACACAATATACATAAATAAACATTTAAAATATATAAATAGCCAGCATCATCAGTGGGAAATCTAATAAGTTATTTTTCATCATCACTTCCAGTGATTCTTGTCCATTATCACAAACTGATCTCACACTTTCAAATCATGATGTTTTTTGTCTGTATACATTAACTCTGAACAAAAATGGACCATGTGGATCATTTCCTGAGAAAATTTCATCAATTTAATTCTGACAAGATTTTTCTTCCCATTTAAACATGTTTTTTTTGTGATAAGAAAGTTATAAAACGAAAAATGATCATATATCACAAGATATACTGCAAAATCACATGATATAATTATATTATTTGATTTATTATAAATCACATGGTCTAAAAATATCATTTTAACTATCAGACAGAAAGAAGTGTTAGGCAAAAACAAAACATAAATGGAAAATAACATATCAAGTTATAATAATAAAAATATCATTATTTAGTGTATGTTATCCTCTATAACATTCCTATTTTCCATGTCTGAAAAAAGAGTTCTACACAGTCGCTTTATATCATTCATTCATTTTAGGTAATAAAATGAAATTTTGTGAATAACATTTCCTCTGTGGTGGACAAGGTTGAGGAAAGTGATGACATTCTGCTACAGAAACTGCCGTATGATCTACACCAGGTTTCACCATGTCAGATTTTCAACCATCCTTCCTCTAGCTGCTCATATTATTTCTTTCTTTCACAAGTTCCAATTCTGCATTTCCTCTCACTTCAGCAAAAGTGTAGTCTTTTAGTAATTTTCCATTTTCAAAAACTGTAACCAAAGCGTCCTGAAACAAAGAATAATGTGATCATTTAGTGGTATACTGTGAAATTATGGATACATCTGTATGTAACACTACACAAAACTAGAATACTGGTTGGTCAGCAAGTGCACCCCTGTGTACCTAACAGTGTATCTCTCTTATAAGAACAAAGCAAGATGGTTGCTTGCAATTTTGCTCCAATTGATCACCTACTATGTTTGGATTGACAAGGAGGCTACCTACCATATATTGTTAACCTTAAATGTTTGGATTGAATTCCTTCCATATTTGGAATGACAATCTACCATATTACGATTGACTACCTACCATATTTGGATTGATTACCTACCATATTTGGATTGATTACCTACCATATTTGGATTAACAACCTACCATATCTGGATTGACTACCTACCATATTTGAATTGACAACCTGCCATATTTGAATTGACAGCCTGCCATATTTGAATTGACAACCTGCCATATTTGGATTGACCACCTACCATATTTGGATTGACCATCTACCATATTTGGATTGACCACCTACCATATTTGAATTGACAACCTGCCATATTTGAATTGACAACCTGCCATATTTGAATGGACAACCTGCCATATTTGGATTGACCACCTACCATATTTGGATTGACCACCTACCATATTTGGATTTCCTTTTCCTTCCTCCACAGTCTTATATTCTCCATTTTCATACTCTAAAGTCAAACGTCCCTTTTTACTCTTCTTTTTCAGGTCTGTGATTGGCTCCTTAAACACATTTACCTACAACAGGTAAGAAAAAAATCAACATTCCATTATTCAATCAGAACTTTTCACCCTCTATAAAAATATAAAACTGTTCCATTTGACTAGATATTAAGGAGGATTGAACCTGTGACATTTGACCTGTGTCATGAAATATTATATTCAAACAAAAGAGTTTGAACAAAAGCATAGCAAAACTCCTATTTTATTGACAAATCATTGTGTTGACAGTCATTAGATGTAAGACATAAGAACTGTCAGTGACATGAAAAGGCCCACAACCAAGGAAATTTTTATAACTTTTTTGAGCTATTCATGGCTGTGTTAGGAGGTGTAATCATGACTCATGAAAAGTAAAATTGAAATTCTGCCTGCAAATTTTCTTCTTAAACTTTCCGATGGAGTTATTATGAAAGGATATGGAATATCATAGTTTTTGTGAAAACTTAAATCACAATTCTTAAAGATTGATCGACTATATAAACCAAATGAGAACTTGACCTTGATATTATTATACTGCTACATACCAAATTATTTATCTGTTCCTGTTAAAGAGTAAGTGAATGGAAACATAAACATGAAAGAATGACTGCCAAATATAACTGTATTCTAAATTTATATTCTAAGTAATCTTTTATAGTCTTTTTAAGCAGATCATGTGTGACTTCAGTAATCAAGAAGTTTTAAAAATCATTGGTAACAAGATACATGATTAATAGTGTGTACCTCTTTGCCCCCTATAACAGCGTAGCTGCACTTGTAGGCACATTTCTGAGTATCCCTGTCCATTCTCTGTAACAGGGCCCCTCCGCTCCCGAACACCAGGTTGTCTGCACTCCATTGATTTTTCTTCATTGCCTCCAGAATCTTAGCAAGACTTTCGTAGCTGATACCGTCACCCTGAATCACTCTCAGGTAAGGAGGTAACATCTTGAAACCCTTTTTGTTAGTTGTTTGACCAAATTTCTTTTCTAAAATAGTCAGCACCTGTGTTGTAAATATTTAGGGAAATATTTTCAAAAATGAAGAATAATAATCTAATATAAAACAAATGGTTTATTCTTATTAATATTTTGATAAAAGGTGACATGTTGAGACACCAGAGAAACATTTCTATCTAAACCTTACCATTTTTCAATAACAAATGAAGATGTTTTTGTGGAAGTATTATCAAATTATACTCTAAATAACAGTACGATCTAGATTCTATAGCCAATGGGACCTTGATTAAATGGTCTTAAGATGATTATGCTGTAATTTGCATCAATATCACAACATTACAGAACCTATCCAGTTCCCTCCCTTTATCTGTGATTAGTAAGTGGATGATTTTGCAGCAATTTGCATCACTATTGCTACATCACAGAACCTATCCAGTTCCCTCCCTTTATCTGTGATAGTAAGTGGGTGATTTTGCAGCAATTTGCATCACTATCGCTACATTACAGAACCTATCCAGTTCCCTCCCTTTATCTGTGATAGTAAGTGGATGATTTTGCAGCAATTTGCATCAATATCGCTACATTACAGAACCTATCCAGTTCCCTCCCTTTATCTGTGATAGTAAGTGGATGATTTTGCTGTAATTTGCATCAATATCACAACATTACAGAACCTATCCAGTTCCCTCCCTTTATCTGTGATTAGTAAGTGGATGATTTTGCAGCAATTTGCATCACTATCGCTACATCACAGAACCTATCCAGTTCCCTCCCTTTATCTGTGATAGTAAGTGGGTGATTTTGCAGCAATTTGCATCACTATCGCTACATTACAGAACCTATCCAGTTCCCTCCCTTTATCTGTGATAGTAAGTGGATGATTTTGCAGCAATTTGCATCAATATCGCTACATTACAGAACCTATCCAGTTCCCTCCCTTTATCTGTGATAGTAAGTGGATGATTTTACAGCAATTTGCATCACTATCGCTACATTACAGAACCTATCCAGTTACCTCCCTTTATCTGTGATAGTAAGTGGGTGATTTTGCAGCAATTTGCATCACTATCGCTACATCACAGAACCTATCCAGTTCCCTCCCTTTAACTGTGATAGTAAGTGGGTGATTTTGCAGCAATTTGCATCACTATCGCTACATTACAGAACCTATCCAGTTCCCTCCCTTTATCTGTGATAGTAAATGGATGATTTTACAGCAATTTGCATCACTATCGTTACATTACAGAACTTATCCAGTTCCCTACCTTTATAACAACTTCTGCTGGATCTCCTGAATCTGGTCGCACAACCAATACACCATCATTTTTTCCTCTTTCAACAATAATGTCTTTGAGTTTCTCTCCCCACACATTTTCACACGCATTCCAAATATCATAGCTGTCGCTGACACAGGCCATGGGACCTGAAGGGAACTGTGTCAGCATGTTACGGAAGGCTTGTGTCTCACCATCCTTGCCCCAAGTTGTTATTGTACTGAAGGTATGAACAAAACTCTGCTAAAGTATCAAATGTTATAATCAACAACGGTCTTATCAGGCACTATAGTAATAGTATTACATGACCAGGAATATGTCCACAGCTCTCAGAGACAACTGCATTAGATATTATCTACTGACATGATCCTTCCTGATATCTACTATTTAAATATGGAAAATAGTTAAATCAATTGGAATGGTGTTGCCTGCCATCTCACAGCCATATCTCTGGCTACTAAAATCTAGCTCTATAGTAATTACCTGTGTTCAGCTGCAGGTATGGAGTAACCTGCCATCTCACAGCCATATCTCTGGCTACTAAAATCTAGCTCTATAGTAATTACCTGTGTTCAGCTGCAGGTATGGAGTAACCTGCCATGTCACAGCCATAATATCTCCGGGCAGTAGCAATGGCAGCAATTGTATCTGTACCACAAAAATTCACCAGGTGTGCAGCTCCGCCTATCCCTGCAGACTGAATTGGAAATAAATCATTTTACTTTCATATTTCTATGTTATAGATAGTCTTGGTGAACCCATTCCAATTCTAACACACTGGAGGGGAGATAACTTGTCCTATTTTGACAAATGTGGTTGTTTTATCCTTGAAACACCAGCACATTAGAAGGGAAATAAATCCTTGTTTACTGAAACATTACTTTTCAGTCTCTCCAGCGAACTGCAGGGGGGATAATTCTTCTTGCCCCAAGACCATTAAATAATTCGGAGGCTGTGGTATTGGCTACAATAGATGTGCTGTCACAAATTAAATTTCAATATGCAAAGACATTAGCTAAACATGGATATCTTTGGAATTATATAAATTTGTTATAAGTTTATTACCTCCACAGATGTTGATCCACGGAAACCAAAGTCATGAAGTTTTAAACCAAGGAAAGCCAAATCATCAGCAGTTTCGTCAAGGTATTTGGCAATAATTTCCTTCTGGTAGCGTGAGTTTGTGGCCACTGTCATGGGGTACCAGACCTGAACTAGCAGGGTCTGCAATCAATCATTATTAGTCAAGTTACCAAAATAAACTCATATAACTCAGGACATTTTCTTTGAAAACAAACAGGTTACTAAGTGACATATCTACTTCATTTATAATTAGAAAATTAGAATACCTTTGATCAGGTTTCTTTGACAACAAATTTCGCTACAGTCCATTCTCATTTCAGAAGTCATGTAAAAGAAAGTTAATGGAAGAGCACTTCACTTTTATAGATCTCCTGGGTATAGAACTTACCTCAAAATAATTTGTTAGCCAAAAACACTTTGGATCTGTGTTCTCAACAGTGAAGAGAACATTTTTGGTGGGAACTACAGATCCCTCAGGGACTGCTTTGATCCTCATCGGAAGTTTGCCATCATGGTGCTATAAATGAGAGGACATCTATATGAAGATAATCTCTACTGAAATGTGTGTGTACCTTGGTACTTCATAAATCTGACCAATCTAACCAGCACATAGTAACAAAAAAAAAACCCAGTCTTGACAGCTACCGCAACACATCAACACCAATTATACTATAAAATTATCTATAATTGTGAGTCTCAATTCTCATGGTTTTCCAAAATATACCATTTCTTGTTCACTTGAATATGCCCAATAAATCTACTTGTACTAATTTTAACAGATGTGAACAAAAGAATGTGTCAAATCAAATCTGTAAAAACCAATTTCATATAAAAATCAATGTTTCTACAGTATGTCAAAATACCCAAAATAGGTTTTCTATAAAACACATTTTTTTAAGAATAAGGGGGATGATCTTTCATTCCTATGGACAATTTCACTGCTATAAATAAATTGGTTAGTGTCCTTCTTGTTTGTGTCACTATCTCCCGGACTTTCTACACAATACTCATATGATATGACTATCTCCGTCAAAAAAAAATTCCGGCATGGTTCAAACGAAATATCCAGTTTAATTATTTTACTCATTTTATTAAGTAATTTTCCTCTACATAACTTTATCTTTTGATCATTCTGATTTCAGTAATGTTTACATTAACGACAATTTAATGTTTCACTCTGTTAGATATATGATGTGTTTATCAATAATGTATCGTTTGATTGGTAAACATCTGATCTGCCTGAGTGAACAAATTTGTTTTCCACTTGAGGCTTCTGCCTCACCTGTACATGGAGCTGCCTGGTGATCTGAAGGGTTCATGTTTTCAGTATATTATTAGTCAGGAGTGTGTTTTTTCACCTTGCACATGTTCAAGTTACCAAACTCATTTGTGTCGCAACCAGCTTCTGATAACAAAATTTCATGTAATATCACAATTCATGATAAACGTCACAGTTTTTTTTAATCATATTTCTAACTTATTTATTCTATATATTGGGTTAAATTTATTACAATCTCAGTTTTGCCCTGACTTCACTTGGCTGTGTTTCATAGTCCTGTGCTTTAGTCAAAGAACTGAAGCACATCAGTAGACTATTAGAAACCTTTGTCTGCACACCTTTATTTTTCTATTATATTTTTATATTATCTTGAACACACCTGTAAGTTTTGTACATCCGTATGTCTGTGTAATTAATTATTTACATGTGTGTGCTCAACTGTAAGTAGACAGTTTTAATACCAACCCAGACAAGACTTTCATTATTAGTAAATCCCTCAATATCACAGTAAGGTGGTTTTACAATTAAATGCTCTGGCTATTTTAGTAATACTTAATGAAAACAGAAAATGAAGCTCTTTCGAGCTGTGAATGTAGATCAATACTACAATGTGAACTACACAGTTCCACCAGAACTGTTGGTTTCCTTAAAAGCTCAGGATCAAAGGGTGTGTATTAACATGCTACAAAGCCTCTCCATGAGTTTCAAAGTACTACTGAGCCTCTAGACACTCCCTGATAGGATGCAACAGCCATATATATAGATCAGCACCAGTATCAGGCATTTGTCACTTCCCTTCAACAACATAATGATAAAATTTGGTCATTGGTTGCTATCAACAGTAGGTGTTATTCACTGGTCACAATCAGTAACTAATGTGACTTTGGTGATGGCACAGATATAGTTATTAAAGTGTTGATAATGGGCAAACTAAAGATCAAAAGAAGTAAGAGATAGATACAGCTTCTCTGCTTCAGATTTGCCCTGTCTTTATAATGGAGTATACAGCCTAAATTACATTAGAATGTATATAGAAATGAAGACTATACAAATATTACACAATAAAAAGAGGCCAATGAGGCCTGTACTGCTTGCCTGGCAAAAACAATTGCTCTTCATTCAACAATGCGTTAGACCAAATATTGTAAGAACCTAATCATTCCTATAGGAGGAGTAAGATTTTAAAGAATCTAATCTGTTTTCCCTCTTGAGCCCCGCCCCAGAGGACCATGACCCTCTTCACCCAAAATTGCTTCGGACCAAATTTGGGAAAAATCCAATTATTCCTAAAGGAGAAGCAGGACTTTAAAAGAAATTGCTGTATTTTCCTACTGAGCCTGTCCCTTCTGTGCAAGGGCACTGTGACCCCTGTTTATATAAAATTAATTTCCCTTCACTTAAGAATGCTACAGACCAAATTTGGGTAAAATCTAATCATTAGTGCAGGAGGAATCGGATTTACAAATTTTCCTTCTGGTCCCATCTCTCAGGCCTCTGGGAGCTGAGACCTACCATTTATGTAACATTTGTTTTTCTTCCCCCAAAGATGCTTTTGACCAATTTGAACTATTTTTCATTTCAAAAGTAACCATGATTGACGTTTGACCCTTCAACCTAAACCAATTACCACCAAAATCTACAAAGGTGTAACTTTGGTTTAATGATAATATCCTGTGAATTTGAACTAAACCTGAAAGGGGTTCATGAGATCTTGTGTACAAGATTTTTAATTCAAAAGAAACTGAGGGTGACCATTTGGCTGGTGGAGGAAAGTTCCCACAGTAAAACCACCAACCTGTATCAAGTACCTGGCTAACACCCTCCATAGGCCTCAAACCAGAAGCCATGACTTTGGTAAGGTGAAGCTATATTGTGGATATATAAAATATACTGGGGAGAAGTTCATGAGATATGTTGTACACCTTTTTAACCTTTATGGTTTGGTGGTTATCGGTCAATCAGGTGTACACCTTGGAAAGGTGATACCATGGTGAGAATGTGATTTAAATCTGTCCAGTGGTTCATTAGATATCTTATACATATTCATGGTTATCACAGACATGCACTAAGTGATTTACATTAATGGTACTATATAACACACACATCCCTCAACCTCCTCTCAAGATCCAAGATTTATTCAGAGAAGCTAAATCATCCAGCAGATGACCCTACACCATGGAGGATGTGCTACTGCATGTAATAAGTAGTCAAAGCAAACCCAAAGGGTCAGGATTATGTAAAATGACCATAACTTCTTAGTATAAGTTTGTATTTGTTGAAAAGTGAAAACATGTAATGTGATTACCAGTTACCAATAATTTAGAAAATTTAAGCGATGTTCTATTAAAGTATGAAATGATCTATAGTTAGTTGTCTTGGTAATTACATGATTGACAATTAAAACATTAAGAATTGAGATATTTCTATCTGGGGTCGAAGATTGAGAGATTGATATTGAAGGGCATGTACTGATAGATTCCTACCAAGGTCAACCCTTGAGATTTATACTGGGGGTCAGAAACTAAGATATTGATCCTGAGGGTCAAAGACTGAGAGATTTACGTTGAGGGTAGGAGGTTGAGAAATTCTGAGATTCATTTTAAGGGTCAGGGATGGCAAAATTTTTATTGAGGGTCAGAAAATGAAAGATTCATACTGAAGGTCAGTGATAGAGAGATGTACATTTTAGGTCAGGGATTTAGAAATCGATATCGAGGGTCAAAAATTGAGAGATTTATGTTGAGAGTTGGGGATTGAGAAATTCCTCCTGAGGGTCAGAGATTGGGAGATTCATATTAAGGACTTTATCTAAGATATTAAAAAAGACGATCAATGAAAAACTGACTTTAAGGACCAATAAATTGGAAATGCTTCATCTTTGATATTTTTGAATACTAGTACACACGTAACTGTTAGCAACTTTGACTCCTCAGCTTAATATACATGATATTCAATGAAACCTAAATGCTAAACCTATGTAATACACTGTAGTTAAGGTCAGCCACAAATCAGAAATCTTCAATCATCACATGGATTGATTTTATGCCAACAGACCAAAATCATACTATGTATTGCCTATTTAATTAAAAAAATCTCTTTTTCTGTGACACAATTTATTTTCAATGTTTAATTAATGAACACAATAAGTAAAGGAAATATAAAGCACAATTCAAACAACATGCAGAAAAAAAACTTCTCTGAAGTGTTTGAGATGAAATGGTAGCAACCATGAGGTCCTGAATTAATCAGAAAGACTGCTACAGCAAAACCATCAATGCCTATTGATTACTGTAGTCAATGATGTTTACTCAGTCACAATCAACTCCAGCTTCATAATATTTGTCCTTTATGAACTCAAGCATTCTTCATTGATGTGTTTCTGTCTGAATTACAAATCAAACTTGATTAAGGGTCTGGGGGTTAGTTAAAGGTTGTGTGAGTAAATACAAGGCTAATATTACACTTGGTATTAAACAACCATGCATTACACCTGTATAAATACACCACTTATTACATCTATTAAAATACAACAGGTGTTACACCTGCTAAAATACACAATGTATTACAACACATGTTGAAATACACAAGGTATTAAACATGTTAAAGCATAACAGGTACTACATCTGGTAAAATACACCATGTACTACGTCTGGTAAAATACACCATGTACTATGTCTGGTAAAATACACCATGTATTACGTCTGTTAAAATACACCATGTACTATGTCTGGTAAAATACACCATGTATTACGTCTGTTAAAATACACCATGTATTACATCTGATAAAATACACCATGTATTACATCAGGTAAAATACACCATGTATTACGTCTGGTTAAATACACCATGTATTACGTCTGGTAAAATACACCATGTATTACATCTGGTAAAATACACCATGTATTACATCTGATAAAATACACCATGTACTACGTCTGGTAAAATACACCATGTATTACGTCTGGTTAAATACACCATGTATTACGTCTGATAAAATACACCATGTATTACATCTGGTAAAATACACCATGTATTACGTCTGTTAAAATACACCATGTATTACATCTGATAAAATACACCATGTATTACATCTGGTAAAATACACCATGTATTACATCTGATAAAATACACCATGTATTACATCTGGTAAAATACACCATGTATTACATTTGGTAAAATACACCATGTATTACATCTGGTAAAATACACCATGTATTACATCTGGTAAAATACACCATGTATTACATCTGGTAAAATACACCATGTATTACATTTGGTCAACTATTTAAGATATTACATCCTGTTATACATCTCATGTTATACCTGGTTTTACACCAGTTAGTGATATATGTACTTCATCAGTTTACTTACACAAGAACCATGTAATATGTCATGTAATAAATAAAGTATTACATTATATTATATTACACAAGGTACTGCACATGGTATTAATAGAATATTACATTATGTAATACGCTAATCATAAAAAAACTCAAATTGTACTGGCAACACAATTATTAGGATATTTGTACGGTAATATTGACTGGAAATGTTCCAAATGAAACTAAAATTTTAAATCATTAACGAGCCAAATGTGTAATACAAGTGAAGAGTGTTTGAAGGACATAAAAAGGTTTAGGTTCCTAGGCCTATGTACAACTTGTTGTTACAGGGAAACAGAAACTTGTTTAATCATTCAAGTCCTCAAGTTAACAGTATGAATGCTATCTGTCCAAAACTCTTTCACTTCATTTCCTGAATACCCAGAGTAGACAAAATGTACTGTATGTAGAGGTCACTAACTGGGAATTTGCGGACTTTGATGTTCCAGGAATGACTCCACTAAATCTATCAGTAACTGCAGACTAAATCCCATGGCAGATTGTTTTATTACAGATTGTCGGTAGATTGGAATATGGTTAGATTCTTTCTCATTATAGAAATTAAATTACCGGTACATGGATTAGCCTCCTGGACTCTCAAAGTAGGAGCAGATGACAGCTGAGTTTATAGGATACTATTGGTGTTAGTACATCTTTTTCATGAGATATTCAATAATTCAAATTTTCAATTTCATTTTTTTAATATATATAAATCACTCAATATCCCCATCATTCTCCCCTCCCTTTTTTGAAATTGTATAAACATTTCATGTTTTATTTTCAGGTAATCCAGATGAATGCCTGAGTTCACAATAAATTTCTCAACAGCTCTTAAAACCCTTTTAAGCCATAAAATATTAAGGTAAATGTTCTGTTCTGATTAAGATAATGTTTAATAACTGAAAATATGGCACACATAACTAGGACCTATACTGAATATCTGAACACACCGAAAACATGGCACACATAACTAGGACCTATACTGAATATCTGAACACACTGAAAATATGGCACACAGAACTAGGACCCATATTGAATGTCTGAACACATCGAAAACATGGCACACATAACTAGGACCCATACTGAATATCTGAACACACTGAAAATATGGCACACAGACCTAGGACCCATATTGAATGTCTGAACACATTGAAAACATGGCACACATAACTAGGACCCAACACACTGAAAATATGACACAGATCTGAACACACATGAAAATATGGCACACAGACCACACATAGGACCCATACTGACATGAAAATTGAACACATGTCACACATAACTGAACACACTGAAAACATGGCACACACATAACAACATGGCACACACACATAACTAGGACCCATACTGAATATCTGAACACATCGAAAACATGGCACACATAACTAGGACCCATATTGAATGTCTGAACACATCGAAAACATGGCACACATAACTAGGACCCATACTGAATATCTGAACACACTGAAAATATGGCACACAGAACTAGGACCCATATTGAATGTCTGAACACATCGAAAACATGGCACACATAACTAGGACCCATACTGAATATCTGAACACACTGAAAATATGGCACACAGACCTAGGACCCATATTGAATGTCTGAACACATCGAAAACATGGCACACATAACTAGGACCCATACTGAATATCTGAACACATCGAAAACATGGCACACATAACTAGGACCCATATTGAATGTCTGAACACATCGAAAACATGGCACACATAACTAGGACCCATACTGAATATCTGAACACATCGAAAACATGGCACACATAACTAGGACCCATACTGAATATCTGAAGACACTGAAAATATGGCACACAGAACTATGACCTACACAAAACAATTTAAAATTAGAGGCGATAGGAAATAGTTACTGGCCGCCATAGTTTGAATATCCCACCAAATCCAAAATACAGCAAACACAATTTATAGGAACAACCATGAGCATGTTAATGAGCCTTGAAGAAGATCCTTTAAATTATTTCTGAGAAATTATTAGCAGTCACAGTTGTGATATGTGACAATGAATCAACAACACAAGTAATCTGAAAAGCCAACCATCTTATAACGGTGGACTCAAAAGTAGTATATATTTATGTCTAATTGTTCTATAATTTTAATTACCTCTAAGATATAATTCCATCCCTCCTCGTTAAAATAATTATGGCCAAAATGAAGAAAGTACAGGTCACGGGCTTCTTCAATCTTTTCTTTGGTGACCACTGAACCTTCTAAGAAGCGCTTTATGATATACTGGAGACCAAAGAAAACTGTCTTTTCAAACTTGCCTCCTCGACTTTCAAAATAGGAGCAGACAACAGTGGAGTTGGGCGGATACTGGTAATGATGTGTCACCTGTTTAAGAGAATAAAAGAAAGAATTCATAGTAACATTGGTTTCCACAATGAAATGAAACAAGAGGCCCATAGGGCCTGTATCTCACATCTGGATCTTAAAGCCCAGCCACAGTATACTTACCTATAGGTTGGGTATTTCAAATATTTCTAAATCATAACTCAGTCACTTAACCTCTTTGGTAGTGCAAGATCAATGGGTAAATTCTTATATCATGACTGTCTTTCTCTTTTGATGCCCGTTAATATGTTTATATGGTTATCGGGTTGGGATCTCAACTTTGTCAAAAATATAACCCAGAAATTTTCAATTTAACATGATTGAAATTTGTTAAACCAGATTTTTGATAAAATCAATGAGCAAATCATTTTTGTAAGGTGAGTTTCTCGGTACAGGTACTTTCCACAAATCAATGTATAAGTGGTCAAGAAACTCCTGAAAATTTCTTTTAGAAATATATCTGACCTTTCTGAAGGTAGAAATTCAGCATTTTGTTTTCATATTGGCATTACCTTCAATGCCTTCAATAGCAATAGCTTTGATATTGACTTTTAATCAATTCTGTAAATAGCTGTATAACAGAATATATTTAACTCATACAAGTGGATCTTTCATATTGAAAAATCAGGTTCATAGCTGGTTGCTTAAAGAAATGAAAGTGTTTGTTTGTTGCCCCATAAACAGTCCAGATTATTCTGAGGTAGGCTCTTAATTTAATAGCTGGCAGGTCCCTCAATGAACAACATACAGGAAACCCGTCAGCAACTAGGGTAAAGTGTGTAGTCTGGGGACACAACCATAACAGCACAAACTTGTCCAAATCTCGGCTTCCTGATGAACATAGCCCGCATTGAACTAAATGCCTCTGACATGTGTAGGTCAATGCTCTCACCTAATGCAGCCCCAAATTAACACACTTGTTAATTATTATAAAGAGTATTATGAATGAAACTTCAGCCTAACAATAAGATCAAAATATGTATGAGACAATGTATTTTTTTATCTAAATTGTACACTTTGCATTGCTCTTTTTCAAATTAATTTTAATTCTCATAAACGTCGATATCTAATGAATCAAGAACTATTAAATGATAATGATTTTAATTTATTATGAAACTACACTTTATTGTCTGTGCTACACAACTACAACATTACTAATCTTTAAAAACTGCTTATTATACTCGTTTGTGAATAATCACTTTAAAAAGTTTGTTTTAATTTTCACAATTTTTTTAGGAGCATATCATTTTCAGTTTAATTGTTATCCTTTTCTTCAAGTCTTTCATTCAAAATAGGTACTTCAAACTGCTTTTCACTCAATTAGTGGAATTTCTTTTCATGAAAGGATAGTGGAGGAGAGGACAGTGTATTTGGTAACCTACAATATAAATTCTTTATCTAGTGTATTTTTTATTTGATTATTTTTGTCTTTAATAACTGTAGCCTTGCTTTACTTCCACAAACTGACAACATGATGATCTTGCTAGTTGAAGATTTCCATCTGACAAGGAAATAAAATTTCATCTATCTATATCTATACTACGAAACATCAGAATTCTACATTTGAAACCCAAATGAAAATCTTACAAACAGTAATGCAATTGTTGTATTTGTATATTATGAAATAATTAAAATACTGAACATAATATCTACATAATACTGGGACAATGATCAATCATATCGATTTTTTTTTTAGCAGGTAAAATGTAACATTTTTTCACACAAATAAATCATTCAAATATATTGCTAATTAAATGTAAATTTGAAGAATTATGGAAATAATAAATAGAACATTACATTCATTATTTTGGTTCCAGTATCAAAGCAATACATTAATTAAATATCAAGGACACAAATATACAATACCTGAATATTCAATAGAACAATATTCCATGCAAATGTGAAACTCTGATTTACTAGTACTTGCTTTTGAACATCGGTCTGACACATGACCTCTTTTTCAAGAACAACAGAAAAAATTGCTGAGAGAACTACAAACAAAATAATGCTAATATTCTTGTGATTAATAAAGAATGAGTTCCTTCTGTTTTCTTCATTAGAAATGTGAATATCAAATGCTGGTCTCACAAAGGTGTGAATATTACAAGTTACGAGCAAAAATTAAACAAAAAAAAAAAAAACAAAAACAAAAACAAAAAAAAAAAGTTTCATTATTTGCACATTTTCATTTTCATAAAATATTAAGCATGTTTACACCTAAGAATATCAACAAAAAGAAAATGATTGCATTTGAATTAAAATTTTACACATTTCCCCTACTGTTTCTGGAGTTGTACGGCAAACTTTTGAACAATCATGTGTAATTATGTATACTTTAAACCACTATTCAATATAATATTTGATGTGTTTTTTTCACAAATGAAATATCTACCACAAAACAAAATTTCAGTAAAGGTAGTTCCTAGAAAATGAATTTCTTTGTCAATTAACTTCCTGTAATGCCTTCCTAGATTTTCTTTTCTACTTTCATTTTCCATTAAAATCAATTCCGCACACTTATATATCATAATATCGTACATCTTCACAATTTCTAAGATCAATGACGAAATTAAAGACATAAAAATACATGTTTTAACATGCACGTTGTATGTCTTGGACACTAATTCCACTAGTTATATATGGTGGTGAAATAGCTGATTTTCTGTAAACACAACCATCGCTGGTTTCGAGATGTTTGTGTCAGCAAAAATTACCAACTGATATTCTGAACATCAAACATATCAGACAATGATCTTATAACAACTACGAGTTTTGGCGGCAAGTAACACAATCGGATTCAGTTTAGTTACCTTGTAAGAGTCAGTGATAAGCAGAATGTTGTCCGTTCCTCCAGCCGGGTACGCCATTTTGTACGCTTAATGCGAAATGTAGTGACGTCATAGCAACGATGCGAGTCGGTGCTCGAAGGGAGATCACTCAGTGAACAAGCCAAAGCAAATTGTCAATAAATGATAACAAATGCCATAAAGCTTATCCACAAAATATCTTTTAAGATTCTTCATGAAGTTATGACGGTCAAAGATATATTGTAAATATGTCCATAGTACACATTTGTGTCAACGTTCATGTTGACACTTGTGAAAATGATTGGGTTAGGGAGAGGTTTTATCTGCGTTCCGTGGCACACGTGTGTATTGCGTATAAACATGTATCACACTCCCGAGCAGCGTCTTCAGATTTTATATTTTAAGATACTTAATAAAGTAAGCGACATGAAAAAAAAATATTTTAAGAATTTGATAAAGTAAATGACATGTTTATCATAGTTCATATATATACTGGACTACAAATACCATGATAATCCTATATCTGCATCTCATTTCTACGTTTTGAAAATTACAAAGTCAACTAGAGATTTTGAACATTAATGAAAAGGAAAGCGTGATATATCCAAATATTGGGCAAAACACATATTCTGATATACATGATAATGCGTAAAAGGCCATACAATGTATTTCTGTTTATTGCTTCTTTGTAGGCATGTGTTGCTGAAAAAGAACCTTCATGTTATCTACGGTCCAGTGGTTAAGACAGAGTAACTTGACACAGTCACTAAGACGTTGTTACTTTTTTAAACACAATTTTGACGGGACAAGAGAAGTATCGTTTTCCTTGTTTTGAAAATCCATATTTATGTTGATACTGAAATCATGAATCGTAGTATTTCATAAATCAAATAGATTTAAAATGCACCATGTGAGATTCTTCTATAATTGGTTGTAGTGAAGGGCTACATGTAATTGCAATGTCGTAAGACTATAAAGTGTTTTACACCCGATAAATTCACACTTGATTGTCGTTTAACATGATGTTGTCGTTTAAGGCATGTTATTAATGGTATGTCCGCGAAGTACTCCTTTTCTATGATCTTTAACCGTAGAGAAACCTTATACATTCAGGAATGTGTAATCAGAAGTCACTTGGAAAATCATTACATATTTTGTCTGATTGGATTCCCACGATTTGTCTAGTGAGCCAAGTTACACTGGACCTGAAACAGACCAATCCATGAAAATGAACTTCGGGTAAAGTATATACCAAATTTGGTCAAAATTGGACAATATCTAAATTTTGACCAATCAGAGGCCAGGATTGTGTTTCCGCGGTAACAGTTTGGGAAACGTCTAATATATCCAATTATTGGCCTTACTGGATTACATCTTTTTACTAAGTTTGAATACAATCGGTCAAATAACTGAGGAGTTATGGACATTTATTAGAAAACTTGTTTATAGTGACCAGTTACCATGGCAACCAAAATTTTCAAAAAAAGAAAGGGACATGCATATCTACACATGTTTGTCATGGCAACGAAACCTATTTTATAATGTTTGGCATCCCCTAATAACCCTATATACCAAATTTGGTCAAAATTGGACAATATCTAAATTTTGACCAATCAGAGGCCAGGATTGTGTTTCCGCCATAACAGTTTGGGAAACGTCTAGTATGTCCAATTATTGGCCTTACTGAATCACATCTTTTTACTAAGTTTGAATACAATCGGTCAAATAACTGAGAAGTTATGGACATTTATTAGAAAACTTGTTTATAGTGACCAGTTACCATGGCAACCAAAATTTTCAAAAAAAGAAAGGGGCATGCATATCTACACATGATCCTAAATATTCCTGTAAAGTTTCATCAAAATCGGTTCGCAGGTTTAGGAGGAGTTAGCCGGACAAAATGTGTCTACAGACGGACGGACAGCAGGACGGACGGACGGACAGACGGACAACCTGATTCCAGTATACCCCCCTTAACTTCCTTGCGGGGGGTATAATTATTATTGTGGAATTAGACCTAAAGATTCCTCACACTCAATAACTGACTTGACTGTAGACCTCCAGCTCCTAACACATAATTATTATTGTGGAATTAGACCTAAAGCTTCCTCACACTCAATAACTGACTTGACTGTAGACCTCCGTCCTATATCATTGATATCACAGGAGAACATATACGATAACAACAACAATAACACGCATATTGTTTTAATAATATTGTTAAAATAATCCAACATACAGATACACCATGAACAACATGGATGACCATCATATTTGACAGTTCATCTGGATTTCTACCTAATAATGCTTTCAGCACAACATAAACCTGACATTATAATCCATAATTGATGTACATGTAGATAGATATTAGTTCCACAATGAAGGACATTACTAGCTTAACCATGTTCTGTTCTTATACAAATCACTGAATTTATAACATCTTTATACCAGATCCTGAATGGAAATCAAAACATGTAAATCAGGATTGCTGTGCATATAATCAAATTGCTTTTGGCAATGTAAGAGGCAGTCTATTTAACCGGATTACTCATAGTACTGCATATATGAATAACTCAAATTAGAGATGTGAAGATAACCATCAGAATGGATTAGACTATGACTGAGGTATGAGTTTGACAGACATGAAAATAATTGTCGTCAACATGTTCCTGATGTCTCTTACAAAGCTGACATTATGACATGTGGTCCATATCAGAAACAAGTTGGTGACAATTGTATTCACGTTACTCAAAATTACTGAGATTACATAATCACTGAAAGGCAAAATAATAGCAGATGAAATGAATTTGATTAAACAACGTAAACAAAAGTGTTACAATATTCTGAAATACTTTGAGAAGTTAATACAAGTTTCAGTTATAAGGAATAAAGAAATTTTGTTTTTCATATGTAATCAAATCACTCAATCTTTCATTAATTATAGACTGACACACCTTAAGAAAAATGACATATTGGTAAATAAACAAAATCATTTCACTAATAATTTGAAATGAAATAATAACAAAATCCTAATTGTTTGGTTGTATGGTTTCTAGCCTTGTTAAAGTTCTATCCATTTTGCTGCAGTGATACCAACTTCACTTTCTTTTTCATAAAGGGATTTTTTTTTCTAAATTTCATTCAATGACTCAAAGAAAAGATTAGTAATTTTATGTTAATATATTTCACATTTGTATTTTCCCTATATACAAAAAGACCCACTCTATACATTATCTATTAAGTCACCATTCCATTACCAGCTTACAAAGACAACTGGTTGTGTAGCCTACTATCATACTCCTTTGTGTTCAGTTACTTTCAGAATAGAGCAGTCTCCCACATGATATTCATGTAAAATAGAATTAGTAACAATACATTTAAATTTTGTTTGGATATAATTGTATGCAAGTCAGCAAGGATTTAAACTTGTTGTTACGTTTAGAGTGTACCTAAAATATTCGCCATCTTTCCAATAAAAGAAATATATCTCGTTGAAATTAATGGATTAAACAATCATGTAACTCATAAGGTACATAGAAAAACTGAAGTTTTTTGTGTAAATTTCTAAACCCAAAAGAAAATTTGGCAAAGGGAAAAGATATTTTTTTTATTAAATTTATCATTCCATCTGAGCTTTTTCATAAAAACAAGGTAGGTTAACACTGAAAAGGAAAAATCATTATCTGATTTCAAATGAAATAAAACCAATTTTGAGACAATGAACTAAAATATCACATAATACTTACTAAATTGAAGTATTTCACCTCTACCATATCCATGTAAAGGTGGAATAAGTACAATTTCTCTAAGCCTTCCCATCAATATGAGCATAAATATGCCTTCCCATCAATATGAGCATAAATATGCCTTCCCATCAATATGAGCATAAATATGCCTTCCCATCAATATGAGCATAAATATGCCTTCCCATCAATATGAGCATAAATATGCCTTCCCATCAATATGAGCATAAATATGCCTTCCCATCAATATGAGCATAAATACGCCTTCCCATCAATATGAGCATAAATACGCCTTCCCATCAATATGAGCATAAATACGCCTTCCCATCAATATGAGCATAAATACGCCTTCCCATCAATATGAGCATAAATACGCCTTCCCATCAATATGAGCATAAATACGCCTTCCCATCAATATGAGCATAAATACGCCTTCCCATCAATATGAGCATAAATATGCCTTCCCATCAATATGAGCATAAATATGCCTTCCCATCAATATGAGCATAAATACACCTTCCCATCAATATGAGCATAAATATGCCTTCCCATCAATATGAGCATAAATATGCCTTCCCATCAATATGAGCATAAATACGCCTTCCCATCAATATGAGCATAAATATGCCTTCCCATCAATATGAGCATAAATACACCTTCCCATCAATATGAGCATAAATACACCTTCCCATCAATATGAGCATAAATATGCCCTCCCATCAATATGAGCATAAATATGCCTTCCCATCAATATGAGCATAAATACACCTTCCCATCAATATGAGCATAAATACACCTTCCCATTAATATGAGCATAAATAAAACAAAAACACCCCATGTCTTAACATAAATGTCAACAAGATACCATAAGAAATGAAAAATGAGCAATATTAATTAGAAAGAACACTAATCATGTTGCGAAATATTGTATGAACGTTGAACATGCTCAAAACATTCACAGTAAAACATGTCATATGTTCAAACAATTCACAGTAAAACATGTCACATGATCAAACATTTCACAGGGTAACATGTCACATGATCAAACATTTCACAGTAAAACATGTCACATGATCAAACATTTCACAGGGAATCATATCACATGATCAAACACTTCATCATAAAAGATGTCACATGCTCAATCACTTAACAGTAAAATATGTTAAATGCACAAACACTTCAGTTATACATTTCACATGATCAAACACTTCAGAGTAAAACATGTCACATGCTCAAACATTTCACAGTAAAACATGTCACATGATCAAACATTTCACAGGGAATCATGTCACATGATCAAACACTTCAGAGTTAAACATGTTACATGATCAAACACTTAAGTCATACATTTCACATGATCAAACACTCACAGTAAAACATGTCAAATGATCAAACACTTTGCAGTAAAACATGACATACGATCAAACACTCAAGTTATACATGTCATATGATCAAACACTTCAAAGACCATCTGGACAAAATATAGTGTCAGCAGCCTTCAGGGAATTGTTTATGCATAAATTCTGTCAATAGTTCATAAATGGGATTAGGAATAACTACAACCAAACAATAGTCACAATATCTTACTATCTAACAGTGTTGTGCCATAACTAGAGTTAAAACCCTTTATTACACTATCATCATACAATACTGTAGTCTCAACCCTTTATTACACTATCCTTATACAATACTGTAGTCACAACCCTTTATTACACTATCCTTATACAATACTGTAGTCACAACCCTTTATTACACTATCCCCATACAATACTGTAGTCACAATCCTTTATTACACTATCCTTATACAATACTGTAGTCACAACCCTTTATTACACTATCCTTATACAATACTGTAGTCACAACCCTTTATTACACTATCCTTATACAATACTGTAGTCACAACCCTTTATTACACTATCCTTATACAATACTGTAGTCACAACCCTTTATTACACTATCCTTGTACAATACTGTAATCACAACCCCTTATTACACTATCCTTTACAATACTGTAGTCACAACCCTATTACACTATCCTTATACAATACTGTAGTCACAACCCTTTATACAGTACTGTAGTCACAACACTTTATTACACTATCCTTGTACAATACTGTAGTCACAACCCTTTATTACACTATCCTTATTTAATACTGTAGTCACAACCCTTTATTACACTATCCTCATACAATACTGTAGTCACAACACTTTATTACACTATCCTCATACATAACTGTAGTCACAACCCTTTATTACACTATCCCCATACAATACTGTAGTCACAACACTTTATTACACTATCCCCATACAATACTGTAGTCACAACACTTTATTACACTATCCCCATATTACACTATCCCCATACAATACTGTAGTCACAACACTTTATTACACTATCCTTATACAATACTGTAGTCACAACCCTTTATTACACTATCCTTATACAATACTGTAGTCACAACACTTTATTACACTATCCTCATACAATACTGTAGTCACAACCCTTTATTACACTATCCTTATACAATACTGTAGTCACAACCCTTTATTACACTATCCTTATACAATACTGTAGTCACAACCCTTTATTACACTATCCTTATACTACTGTAGTCACAACATTACACTTTATTACTGTAGTCACACTATCCTTATACAATACTGTAGTCACAACACTTTATTACACTTCCTTATATTACACTACAATACTGTAGTCACAACACTTTATCACTATCCCCATACAATACTGTAGTCACAACACTTTATTACACTATCCTTATACAATACTGTAGTCACAACACTTTATTACACTATCCTTATACAATACTGTAGTCACAACACTTTATTACACTATCCTTATACAATACTGTAGTCACAACACTTTATTACACTATCCTTATACAATACTGTAGTCACAACCCTTTATTACACTATCCTCATACAATACTGTAGTCACAACACTTTATTACACTATCCTCATACAATACTGTAGTCACAACACTTTATTACACTATCCTCATACAATACTGTAGTCACAACACTTTATTACACTATCCTTGTACAATACTGTAGTCACAACCCTTTATTACACTATCCTTGTACAATACTGTAATCACAACCCCTTATTACACTATCCTTATACAATACTGTAGTCACAACCCCTTATTACACTATCCTTGTACAATACTGTAGTCACAACACTTTATTACACTATCCTTATACAATACTGTAGTCACAACCCTTTATTACACTATCCCCATACAATACTGTAGTCACAACCCCTTATTACACTATCCTCATACAATACTGTAGTCACAACACTTTATTACACTATCCTCATACATAACTGTAGTCACAATCCTTTATTACACTATCTTCATACAATACTGTAATCACAACCCCTTATTACACTATCCTTGTACAATACTGTAGTCATAACCCTTTATTACACTATCCTTATACAATACTGTAGTCACAATCCTTTATTACACTATCCTCATACAGTGCTGTAGTCACAACCCTTTATTACACTATCCCCATACAATACTGTAATCACAACACCTTATTACACTATCCTCATACAATACTGTAGTCATAACCCTTTATTACACTATATAATAACAGTCGTCACTTTCCTTAATTGAACTGGTCTCATTCAATAGAGCAGTGATATCCCTAAGTTACACATATAAGCACCAATCTCAAGAAATATATACCCCTGGTACACATGAAATTTAACTGAATTCAAAATAAATAATAATTTAAATAAAGAATGTTATAGTGTCAGCCAATCGCTGGTCATGGTGTACATTTTTTCATAAAGCTATATCATGATTTAAAGGTGTCATGTACTATACATATAGAAAATATATACCTATTTATAATCATATCACCAGAACAATGTATCGATATCAACAAAGTAATGCCTATTTCAGCTTAAAATAGCTCTCATTGGTGGAAGTTTCACAATTTTGTCACCGGTGAAAGTTAAAATGTATTTTCACTAATTTCATAAGTTAACATGAAATTATGTTCAGCATCTATGGAAGTCAAAACCTGTTCAGTTGTATGGTGAGTTAATAGTAAGTTAACTAAACATTTTCTGAGATGGGTATTCTACATCAGGCACCTGTCATATGGTAGGATCACATGTACAGTGATATTCACATCCTGTATCACATGTGATATCAAATCAATTGTATATACATGTATATATATATATATATATATATGTGTGTGTGTAAACAACAACCCTGATAGATTATCTTTTCAGCTATCTGTTATAGATATGATCAATTATGATAAAAAAAAAAATGCAAACCTAATGGCATTTTAAATTACAACACATGAATCCTTTGTGTCATAATCTCATTTCAATTTTACCTAGCTGATTAAACGTGAAACAATAACAATCCAAATTTATCAATTAGCAGAATAGATCCAATATCTACCAATAATACACAGCCCATCAAAATCAGCCTGATTAAGATGAAGAGCTTGTCTGTGTATGACTGTAGGTAATATTACCTACTAATCTATCATTAAAAACCAGTGATAATGTTAAAATAAATAAAAATGAAAATTCATCCTGCCAATTTACCAACTGAACTGAGCTTACACTTTCATCCATTCACCAATTAGTAACCTGTCGTTCAGACTCTGTAATTTGTACTCTTTGCTTCAGAAAAGAAACAATCCTTTTAGAAAGATCTCAAAATACATTTTTCAATTGCTGTTTGTTCTAAAGAAAAACATGTTTGTTATTTGACAAGTAAGGTCCCCATGAAATAAAATGCTGTTAAACACTAATCTCTGTCTGTTTGGATAAAAACAGGTGTCCTGAAGGTTTAGTTCCACTGAAACACAGGAGTAGAGGTAAACATGGAAATATTGACTTGAGTAACCAAGGCATCACATCTGGGAATGGGTACTCAGTCAATATAAAAGTACATGTTGACCTTGAAGGTCAGATTCTTCAGAGGTCAATGTTGAGAGATCATAACCTGGGGGCACTTTTGTCAACAGTCACTGTTTTCTTTAGCTTTGTTCCTTGTCTGATGGCACCGAGCAAAGCTGTCCTCCCTGATGATGATGGAGGTGGGGCAGAGGAGCTTGGTGGGGGTGGAGGTGGAGGAGGCCCAGGGACAGGGGGACCAGCAGGAGGGGGAGGAGGAGGAGGTGGGGGTACCCCTGAGGGTGGGGGTGGGGGTGGGGGTGGGGGTGGTACTCCAGATGAGGGAGTTGTACTGTTGTCAGAAGGTGTAGAAGTTCTCTTCTCTGCTGTCACAGAAGGTTTCCTTTTGGATTTCCTGGAAACCAGATCACAAAAAATTAGCTCTGCTGTGAAAGGTCAAACAATCATCCCGACATATATATCAATCCACTACAAATGAAGATCCAACACTACAATCAACAAAAGCAGCGTCCCAGTGGTTTTATAGCCACGAAACTGTAGCTTTTTCTAATAAAGCAACATCACATAGTCAACACAATCTATAGCAGTTCTGGACATTTTTAATGGTTCTATAAACCATGTAAACAGAAAGATCTGTGCTTCAAAGAACATATGACTAAGATAATGAAAAAGTACCAAAGTCTGACAGTTACTTACTTAGTGGGGATCTTGCCTTTACGTACTGACTACCCAAGTCTGACAGTTACTTACTTAGTGAGGATCTTGCCTTAACATACTGACTACCCAAGTCTGACAGTTACTTACTTTGTGGGGATCTTGCCTTTACGTACCGACTACCCAAGTCTGACAGTTACTTACTTAGTGGGGATCTTGCCTTTACATACTGACTACCCAAGTCTGACAGTTACTTACTTAGTGGGGATCTTGCCTTTACGTACTGACTACCCAAGTCTGACAGTTACTTACTTAGTGGGGATCTTGCCTTAACATACTGACTACCAAAGTCTGACAGTTACTTACTTTGTGGGGATCTTGCCTTTACGTACCGACTACCCAAGTCTGACAGTTACTTACTTAGTGGGGATCTTGCCTTTACATACTGACTACCCAAGTCTGACAGTTACTTACTTAGTGAGGATCTTGCCTTTACGTACTGACTACCCAAGTCTGACAGTTACTTACTTAGTGGGGATCTTGCCTTTACGTACCGACTACCCAAGTCTGACAGTTACTTACTTAGTGGGGATCTTGCCTTTACGTACCGACTACCCAAGTCTGACAGTTACTTACTTTGTGGGGATCTTGCCTTTACGTACAGACTACCCAAGTCTGACAGTTACTTACTTTGTGGGGATTTTGCCTTTACTTACTGACTACCCAAGTCTGACACTTACTTTGTGGGGATTTTGCCTTTACGTACCGACTACCCAAGTCTGACAGTTACTTACTTAGTGGGGATCTTGCCTTTACATACTGACTTCCCAAGTCTGACAGTTACTTACTTTGTGGGGATTTTGCCTTTACTTACTGACTACCTTAGTCTGACAGTTACTTACTTTGTGGGGATCTTGCCTTTACGTACCGACTACCCAAGTCTGACAGTTATTTACTTAGTGGGGATCTTGCCTTTACGTACCGACTACCCAAGTCTGACAGTTACTTACTTAGTGGGGATTTTGCCTTTACTTACTGACTACCCAAGTCTGACAGTTACTTACTTTGTGGGGATTTTGCCTTTACTTACTGACTACCCAAGTCTGACACTTACTTTGTGGGGATTTTGCCTTTACGTACCGACTACCCAAGTCTGACAGTTACTTACTTTGTGGGGATTTTGCCTTTACTTACTGACTACCCAAGTCTGACACTTACTTTGTGGGGATTTTGCCTTTACGTACCGACTACCCAAGTCTGACAGTTACTTACTTAGTGGGGATCTTGCCTTTATGTACTGACTACCCAAGTCTGACAGTTATTTACTTTGTGGGGATTTTGCCTTTACTTAGTGACTACCCAAGTCTGACACTTACTTTGTGGGGATCTTGCCTTTACGTACTGACTACCCAAGTCTGACAGTTACTTACTTAGTGGGGATCTTGCCTTTACGTACCGACTACCCAAGTCTGACAGTTACTTACTTAGTGGGGATCTTGCCTTTACGTACCAACTACCCAAGTCTGACAGTTACTTCCTTAGTGGGGATCTTGCCTTTACCTACCGACTACCCAAGTCTGACAGTTACTTACTTTGTGGGGATCTTGCCTTTACGTACCGACTACCCAAGTCTGACAGTTACTTACTTAGTGGGGATCTTGTCTTTACATACCGACTACCCAAGTCTGACAGTTACTTACTTAGTGGGGATCTTGCCTTTACATACCGACTACCCAAGTCTGACAGTTACTTACTTTGTGGGGATCTTGCCTTTACGTACAGACTACCCAAGTCTGACAGTTACTTACTTTGTGGGGATCTTGCCTTTACATACTGACCACCCAAGTCTGACAGTTACTTACTTAGTGGGGATCTTGCCTTTACGTACCGACTACCCAAGTCTGACAGTTACTTACTTTGTGGGGATTTTGCCTTTACTTACTGACTACCCAAGTCTGACACTTACTTTGTGGGGATTTTGCCTTTACGTACCGACTACCCAAGTCTGACAGTTACTTACTTAGTGGGGATCTTGCCTTTACATACTGACTACCCAAGTCTGACAGTTACTTACTTTGTGGGGATTTTGCCTTTACTTACTGACTACCTTAGTCTGACAGTTACTTACTTTGTGGGGATCTTGCCTTTACGTACCGACTACCCAAGTCTGACAGTTATTTACTTAGTGGGGATCTTGCCTTTACGTACCGACTACCCAAGTCTGACAGTTACTTACTTAGTGGGGATTTTGCCTTTACTTACTGACTACCCAAGTCTGACAGTTACTTACTTTGTGGGGATTTTGCCTTTACTTACTGACTACCCAAGTCTGACACTTACTTTGTGGGGATTTTGCCTTTACGTACCGACTACCCAAGTCTGACAGTTACTTACTTTGTGGGGATTTTGCCTTTACTTACTGACTACCCAAGTCTGACACTTACTTTGTGGGGATTTTGCCTTTACGTACCGACTACCCAAGTCTGACAGTTACTTACTTAGTGGGGATCTTGCCTTTACGTACTGACTACCCAAGTCTGACAGTTATTTACTTTGTGGGGATTTTGCCTTTACTTAGTGACTACCCAAGTCTGACACTTACTTTGTGGGGATTTTGCCTTTACATACTGACCACCCAAGTCTGACACTTACTTTGTGGGGATTTTGCCTTTACATACTGACCACCCAAGTCTGACACTTACTTTGTGGGGATTTTGCCTTTACTTACTGACTACCCAAGTCCGACACTTACTTTGTGGGGATTTTGCCTTTACGTACCGACTACCCAAGTCTGACAGTTACTTTGTGGGGATCTTGCCTTTACGTACCGACTACCCAAGTCTGACACTTACTTTGTGGGGATTTTGCCTTTACGTACCGACTACCCAAGTCTGACAGTTACTTTGTGGGGATCTTGCCTTTACGTACCGACTACCCAAGTCTGACACTTACTTTGTGGGGATTTTGCCTTTACGTACCGACTACCCAAGTCTGACAGTTACTTACTTTGTGGGGATTTTGCCTTTACGTACAGACTACCCAAGTCTGACAGTTACTTACTTTGTGGGGATTTTGCCTTTACGTACCGACTACCCAAGTCTGACAGTTACTTACTTAGTGGGGATCTTGCCTTTACGTACCGACTACCCAAGTCTGACAGTTACTTACTTAGTGGGGATCTTGCCTTTACGTACCGACTACCCAAGTCTGACAGTTACTTACTTAGTGGGGATCTTGCCTTTACGTACTGCCTTCAGTAATGACTTCATTTGAGATGACAAACTAATCTGTAAATATCAATGAGAAGGACATGATATTCTAAAATTTAACAATTACAAAACAAGTTTTTTCTTTCTCTATATCTCCTGTATTTTTTAAATACTTTCTGACATAATTTCTAACACATCTAAAATTGACACATTCTTCCTTGCAGTTTGTTTAAATATTTCTTTACTTTTACAAATGTATTACCTTAATGCCATTAATTAAATGAATTATTACTTCTTTCTTTTGTATTAAATGAACTCACAGGAGCTGGGTTATATATATCCAACTCTGGGAGGTGTACTTGGAAAAAGGACTGATGACATATCTGGAAAAATATCAAAATTAAATTAATTTGATCCATACAAACATACATCCTGCTGATATTTAATTGTACACATCTTTATAGTTACAGATAATAAATTGATATGGCATTTATCTACTTATAGTATTGATGCAAGAAGTTTAGCTGATAAAGTTGACTTTTACAAGTTTGTCTGAACAGTATGAATATCTGAAGAATTCTGTATTTTAAAGGATACTGGCGTGTAGTAATTTATGAGTTATACACCACTTACATCTTGTAGACTGGGATATTTTCCAGAATCATTTCTAAATATATAATTCAGCATCTGTAAGCAAGGAAATACATGTAAAGATGTAAAGAAATGTAAAGATGTAAGATGTATAGAAATGTAAAGATGCGCTTGACAGTGTCCTTAGGATTAACTTTATGAATTGAACAATTAAACAGCATTATCATAATTCCTTCAAGTTGCTTTAGAACAACCGACAATTCCCAACCGTAAGATTTTTCATAACGATGATTTGCACATATGACTCTCCTAATTTCTTTTTTGATTTTCTTGTATTATAAAGCATTTTTATCTATTTATCTTTTCTTTTGGTTGGAGGGGGTAGGGGTCATTTTCGATTATTTTCTAATACTGTAAATGTTGGTTTTTGGATAGTTTTCATAATTTTACAAACAGCTTTCAAGCAAAATGATATACTTTTCATGAAATAAACTACACTTTTCAATTTTAATTAACTTGAATAACTACTGACAACAGGTAGTAACAGAGTATCAGTGAAACGAATGGAAGTCTTTATCAGACACAAAAGTTTAACAAATGATCCTGCACATACTCTTAGTATGACTAATGCATACACCAAGCTCCATTATCCTGGTTTTAATACAAGCAACGCTACACTCATGATACAAAATTTTAACAAGGACATAGTCATCAAGATCCCCCGCCTATGTTCATTTGTAAGATATATATATTGAAAGTGAGCAACTCTGAAGTATTGAAACCATTTGTTGTTTATGTTCAGTTCTGTTGAAAGTGATCAACATAATAACAATTTTGAAGCATAATACTGCGAATATTTAATTTCAGAAGATATCCTGCAGAAAGCAATCATGCCATCAGGTAAGAGCAGCCTTATATAATTAGTTTCCATATATGATAAATTTATATATTAAGTCCCATCTAAAGTTCATCAGAAGATGTCCAGTGCAAAGCAATCAGCCATTCAAGTCACAGCTGCTTCGTTAGATATTCTCTGAGTTAGCTTATAATCAAACTTAAGAGAGTGGTTAAGGTACTAAGTCGCATTCAGTTTGGGTGTTGAAAGATATCAGCCAATCAGGTCACAGCAGCCTCATTAAATATGTGCAGAACTTGACAATAATCAAACTTGAACAAGGGGTTAAGGTAACAAATCTACCAAGCAAGTCTAATCATAATTCCTTTGTGCCTTCAACAGATAATGTGTGGTAAGCATTCAGTTAACTTTGTTGCGCAGGGGATAACAAAAGGCCTAATGGCCTTGACAGTCACCTGAGATAAGCAGTATTGAATATAAAGGTTAAAGGTTAAGTAGCTTTCAAGTGTCATGAAAAAGAAATTGTGACATTGATGATAGTAAGCCTGTCATCCTATAGTAAGAATTCTTACAAATTCTTTTCTAATGGGAAATAAACAACATTTTACTCAAAAACGTAATTTTTCTATGAATTAAAGTAAAGTTAACCTCTCCAGGGAAAAATATGTTTTTCCTACATAAACTAAATAAACTTTAGCCCCTCCAGACTGGGAAATGTGAGACCCTGGAGCCATGTAATCTATGATTTTGGCAGAGCACCTTCAGATGGACATACCATCAAGCTGTCGTCCTTCGCTCATAATTCTAATCAAATTTGAAATATTTACCAATAGAAATAAACAAATTATGCTCAAAAATCTATTTTTCCTGTACAAAATATAGTAAACTTTACCCCCTCCCCATGTGGAATTATGAGGCCCTGGGGTCATGAAATTCACAAATTTGGTAAAACATCATTAGACACTTTCATTCATGAAGAGCATTTGAATCTACCATATCTGGGTGTTGAGAAGAAGATTTTTTTGAAATTTGAGTAAATTCCACACTTTTGGCCCCTCTAACCAGGCCTCTGTGGTGTGAGGGAATGCATAATTCACTATTTTTGTTCATCTTATGCCAGGGAAGGTTTCTGCGAAATTTTATTGAAATTAGTTCCAGAATTTTGAGAAGTAAAAAATGTTAAATTGTTGATGGACGCACAAGGCACGATGCCAGACAAAGGTAATCCCAATAGGTCACCATGAGACTTTGTATCAGGTGACCTAACAAAGTGCCATAACTCTGTACTGAGGGATCATGAGCCCTGACTTTGCTACACTGCACCTTGGATGACTGATGTATACATTATGTTTCAATATCCTAGCTAAAAGGCAGGCAAAGCAATGCTCTGGACACAAATTTTTCACAAAGGGCAATACTTAGATAAATAATTAAGGGGTTGCGTGCCCTAACATTACTACACGGAACATTGTTTTTGTATGATAAATGTTTACAAAGTTTTACGATCCTAGCTTCAAAGTTATGCTACAGACAAAAAGATTTAAACAAAGGCAGTATCTCTGTAATTAAGGGGTCAAGGACCCTGGCTTTGGTATACTGCACATCCCCTAAGTATGACCAATGTATACACCATGTTTCATAATCCTTGCTTGACTATGTACAAAGTTATGCTCCGGACATGGAAGGACGAATGGAAAGACAGATGGACAAATGGATAGACGGACAAGGTGATGAAAATTTTGGTAGCATAAAAATAAATGTATTAACTCACCTCAACTTGTTCATTAGTACATCTATCCAGATCGTTTGGTTTGGGGTGGGCTGTGGGCAACTCACCGCCAGTACACATCTCATATAATAAATGGCCTACAGTAGGGAAAAAATAATAAATTAATATATTGTAAAGAACATTCAACAAATTGAATGGAAAGCATGTGAGTAAAATTACTGGAATTCTAAAGTCAATGTTTTAGTAGAGGATAAGTGATTATCATTCATACTCTGAATAAACTTCAATTAAAAATTATGAATTACAGCTTGCAGTGACACATGATTTTAATGAGGCAATGAAAAATTAACTATATCAACATTCAGGTTTGTTTTGGGTAAATCAATATATATCCCAGCACTGGGAACTGGTACAGTACTTACCAAAACTAATAACATCTACATCTTTTTCTTCCTTAATTTTTTTCTTGATAACTGGGTAGAGACGTGAAGAAAATCCTAGAAACATGTTTTCACAACTTCCAAGTCTGTAGAAAATTTTAATAAATATTTTATCATCACACTTCATGCATAAAACAAGCCAAATTAATGTCCATGGATATGATCAGATTTGTTAAATATCTTACATTTATTCATCAGAGGATATTACCTCATTTCCTATGATTATCATACAATAAACTGAACTAGATTGTCTCCCTTGATTATAGATGAATACCTCATCCTCTTATAACTACCCTACAATAAACTGAACTAGATAGTCTCCCTTGATTAAAGATGAACACCTCATTCGCTTATAACTACCCTACAATAAACTGAACTAGATAGTCTCCCTTGATTAAAGATGAACACCTCATTCTCTTATAACTACCCTACAATAAACTGAACTAGATAGTCTCCCTTGATTAAAGATGAACACCTCATTCTCTTATAACTACCCTACAATAAACTGAACTAGATAGTCTCCCTTGATTAAAGATGAACACCTCATTCTCTTATAACTACCCTACAATAAACTGAACTAGATAGTCTCCCTTGATTAAAGATGAACACCTCATTCTCTTATAATTACCATACAATAAACTGAACTAGATAGTCTCCCTTGATTATACATGAATATCTCATTCTCTTATAACTGTCATACGATAGACTGAACTAGATTGTCTCCCTTGATTATAGATGAATACCTCATTCTCTTATAACTGCCCTACAATAAACTGAACTAGATTGTCTCCCTTGATTATACATGAATATCTCATTCTCTTATAACTACCCTACAATAGACTGAACTAGATTGTCTCCCTTGATTATACATGAATATCTCATTCTCTTATAATTACCGTACAATAAAGTGAATTAGATTGTCTCCTCTTATTAGAGAATATTACCTCATTCTCTTCTAATTAGCCTACACTAGAGTTAACAAGATTATCTCCCTTGATTAGAAAAAATTGCCTTATTCACTTGTGTATCACACATTCAAGTGAACTAAATAAAGGACACCTGGATTGATCAGAAAGATTGCTTCATTCACTTGTATATTTTCACCTAGAATGAACTAGACTGTCTCCTTTAATTTGAGAAAATTACTTTATTTATGTGTATACCCTACATTGGAGTGAACAAAATTGTTGCCCTTTGTTACAGAATTTACTTGAACAAAATGTACACCCTATCCACAAACTCACTTACATACACTTAAAGTATTCGAACTGTTTCTCTTGGTTAAAGAAAATTCACAAATTTATTTAAATCCTTACACAAAAAATTGTCTTCTTTGATTTAAGAAGAATGATTCATTCCCTTTTTCTACTATAGTCACTAGACAAACTGCTTCCAGCCCTTAAGTGACAATTTGTAAAAACTTACCTGCAGCAATCTTTGGTGAACATGATATTACCAGAATGTACATTGCCATGCGGTGGGAATCCTTTGTCCTCCAATAAGATCAGGGCCTGGATGATGAGACTATGTATTAGTGTTCACAATAAGAATACATATTTGTCAGTCTTTTTGTCTCAGTGGTGTGAGAAGGAGGGGGGTGGGGAGGTGGTGGAGGGTGGGGGTTGGGAGTGGGGGGTGGTGGCAGAATTTAGTTTCATATTGATAAGCAAACGAACAAGAAAAATACTGGTAACAAAATTGGGATTGACTCACATCGGCTTTTAAACACCACTGCATTTAATATCAAACATTATATGCATTTTGCCTTTATCTTCAAAATACTCAAATTCTAAAAATATCTGTCAGGTTTAACTGATGTTGTTGAAATATTATAGGATTTGAGAACAGTCCCAACAGTATACAAAATGTTTACCTCCAGCACCTGTCGACCATACAGCTGGACTTGACTCTCACTAAGGCCTCGGCTCCGATTTTTGTATTTTACAGAATACTGCTCATTGAATCTACACTGGTAAACAGAGAAACAATGGAGATCCAGGAAAACAAAGATTTAAAAAATGTTAGACCTTGATTGTTTATCTGACCTCACAATTTATGTAAAAATATAAAATGTTAATTGGATTTAGATATGACAGAGAAAGTCCTTGAATCAGTTTTTGTCATAGACATGGGTACAGCTTATATAATTACTTACATGACAAATAAAGGCCCTGATTAGACATAGGTACAATTTATTTACCAGATAAATAGACACAGGTACAGTTTGCTTACCTGTTAAATAAAGACCCTGATCAAACAATCACAGGTTTTGTACCTGCTTAATCAATTACAGGTACAGTTTACTTACCTGTTAAATAAAGACCCTGATCAAACAATCACAGGTTTTGTAGCTGCTTAATCAATTACAGGTACAGTTTACTTACCTGATAGATATAGTCCTTCAGTGATCCCCGATTAGACACAGGCTGGACAGTGACAACAAGACGCTGATCTACCACAAAGTCTACATCTGATAGTGGAAACACATATGGATGCTAAAACAAAAATTGTTCTATTAGATAAAATAATACTATTGTGTATTACTAAAGATACTCCTTCGTGAAAATACATGTATATAAAGCTTCAAAGGATATGATGTTTCTTGTTATAATATTTCTGAATAACTTATTTCCATGAAAAACCAAATCACAAATATTTTCAACACAATGAATGAATTGTTAAAATCAATGAAATCCATGTTTGATCTGGTAAAAGCACTTCCAATGTCAGGCTTACCTTGATGAGAGTTAGTAGGTCTTTCAGTATTTTGCTAGTTGTTAAGTTAAACGAAGGAATCATGTTTGGACTTAATTGTGATATTGCCAGAATTTTCTCCGACTTTGATCTCTTGTCAAGTACTCTGAACCAAAATTTGTCAGATCTAGAGCCTGTGAAACAAAAGCATTAGTTTACTGTGGTGTCAATTATATTTCCTTAAGTGCAGTAACTGCAGCTTTCAACAAGAGATCATCCCAGAGGGATATTGGCGCCCATCATTGTTTAATCTTTATATGCTCTTTGAAAGTTGGATCTTTTCCCTTCTTTTCTTTTCTAGTCCCTATTTTTGCTCTGAATGATAAGACATTCAAACATTCCTTTGCAGAAATAGTGATGATAATCTTTACCTGCCCAATCCAAAATGGCCACCTAGAAGCCATTTTGTTTCTTCTGATCAGTTCCAAAATCTTAAATCACAAGGAGAGACCAAAGGGAACATACCTATGAAATTTGAGCGATATCCATTCAGTACTTCTTAATAACAATAACAATATTTACTAGGTAAAATCCAAGGTAGCTGCCTGTTTGCCAGTTCTTTTTTCTGATCAGACCCAAAATCAAATGGGCACAACTATGGACCAAGGGGAACCTACATATGGAACTTCAGAAAGATCCATTTAGTACATCTCAAGAAAAAAAGGTAACAAACTTTCAAAGTCAAAATCCAAGATGGCCTCTTTTCAGGCATTTTGTTTGTCTGATCAGTTCAAAAATCAAAAGGGCACAATGACGGACCAACGAGAACCTTCATATCCAATAAATAGCGATAACAAAAATTGTTTACAGATGAACGCCCGGACGACGGATAAAAGGATAATAGACCAACCACAGACCATGGACACATAGCAATATGAATAGCCCACCATCTGATGATAGTGGACTAATAAGATACAAAGTGATCAATAGGTCTATTTAGCTCAAATATTTGGAGTAAGTGAAATATCTCAGGTTAAAATTGATTATATAAAAAATGTCCATAGAGACATCATGAAACTGCAAACTAAAGACCACAAGTAGCCTTGGATACTGACCCATATCCTCTAACTGCTGAACTCTGTCATACTGGGGGTGTGATCTCATGTAGAAACTGCAGTTCATCCAAGCTTCGTCTAAGGGGAGGAAAATACAATGTATTATTTCCAGGGAGATATTTCTGGTACAGTCCAATGTTCAATCATTGAGGTATTTTGTAAAATAGAAAACAATCAAAATCATTTTTCTCTGGCATTGTGAAACAAACTTTGTATTTCCTCTACTGGCAATCTGCCAAAAAATGACACCTGAAAAATTTGAAAGTAATGTTTGAACAAAACATTGTAGGATATATCTAAAGGTAGAATTTCTAAGGAGAAACTGTGACTAAATCATACAACCATGAAATACATTATATATCTTAAATCAGGACACCAAAGGAGAGATAGCAACACTTTGTTAAATACATGTATATCTTAAAGGTAAGTTATCTTAAAGGAGAAAACCACACAATCATATATTGTTAGCCAAATCTAAAGGCAGGAGATCAAATGGGAGACAATCAAACAATCATATAATGTGAGGTAATTTCAAAGCAAGATATAAGGAGGTGACCAAACAGCCATCTTTTGTTAAGCACATATATATAAGCAATATTTTATTAGGGGAGACAACCACAGCAACCAACTGTAGAATATGCTATGAGAGTTGCAAGGTAAGGGGAGACAATCACAATCAGGTGCTGCTGGGTATATCATGTAAGACGGTAACTACAGTGAGGTCTTGTTGGATATACTATCTAAAGGGACACAACCATACTTGGGTGCTGATGGGTAGGTATAACATCCAAGGGGAGATTACCACAGTCAGGCATTTCTACTGTAAAATATGTTATAATTGTTTTGTCCAACTAGTACCTCGAAGACTGTTTTGCTGCTCTCGTCTTTCCAGATCCATTTTTTGTGGCAGTTCCATATCACTGCGTAATACACTGTAGTCATATCTTGACCTACAATAGAAAAAGTAAAGGGTAGATTTGACATCAGTTTTACAGATCGATTTTCTGACAAGAACAGTTTTTTGTTATAGACAATTTTGACTTCATCAGGGTGTACAATTTCATCAGAAAAGGAAACAGATGTATACATATATTGGGAAATTTTTACTATCTCTAACATTAAGCTAGCATCCTCAGGGATCTGAGCCTTTAAATTTAGACAGAATATTAAATACCTAATGATTTCTTCTGATGATTGTCATAACTTACCCACATCTCTTACAAAGGCACCAGATGAGTACAACGATCAGCACAACAACAACAATACCAACGATGATAGGAACCTGCCAATTAAAAATCACAATAACTTTGTCATAATCATTGACTTAGTAATATCAGTGTTGGGTAACTGGAATGTTTGGGAACATAAATCTGGTGAAAGTAGGTTAGGTGTAGGAAGTAGAGGAACTACAAAAGGTGGAGGTAGGTACTGGATGTGGAGGTAAGATACAAAAATTCAGGAAAGGATACAATAGTTGAGGGGTATGAGGATATAAAAAATTGGGACAGGATACAGGAAACAGGAGAAGGATAGAGGAGATGGAGGTAGGACACATGAAGTGACGGTGGATTACAGGATGTTAAGCTAATGTAAGAAACAGGTAATGAGGGAATGTGTAGCATAAAGAAGCTGATATAGGACATGTACAGGAAGTGAAAGTAGGATACAAAAAGTAAGTTAGGATACAGGAGGTAAGGTAAAATACAAAGGATGGGGCTGGAAAAAGAATCTGGGTAAGATATAGGACATTGTGGTAAGATACAGGTGAAGAAGGATATACAGGAAGGTTGGGTTGGACACAGGAGATGGGATAGGATACAGGTGATGGAGCAGAATACAAGAGGTCGTCATACAGTTTAAGATACTGAAGGTTTGAGTAGAATTCAGCAGGTGGAATAGGATATAGGTGATGAGGGAATGATACAGAGTCAGAAGTCATAAGTTTAGGATACAGGAGGTTAGGGAAGGATACAGGAGGTTGAAGCTGGATACAGGAAGATGGAGCAGGAAACATGTGTTTTAGGGAGAAGGATGAATTGATAGAGACAGGTTATTGGGTAAGATATCAGTAGAGAAGGTGTGGTAATGAATCATGAATTAGGGGCAGAATAGACAAAGTTGGAGTGGTATACCAGTATCGGCGGCTGAAATGATCCTGAGGTAGGGACTGGGTGGTATACCAGTATCGGAGGCTGAAAACATCCTGAGGTAGGGACTGGGTGGGTATACCAGTATCGGAGGCTGAAATGATCCTGAGGTAAGGACTGGTTGGGTATACCAGTATTGGAGGCTGAAATGATCCTGAGGTAAGGACTGGGTGGGTACACCTGTATCGGAGGCTGAAATGTTCCTGAGGCAGGGACTGGGTGGGTATACCAGTATCGGCAGCTGAAATGATCCTGAGGTAGGGACTGGTTGGGTACACCTGTATCGGAGGCTGAAATGATCCTGAGGTAGGGACTGGGTGGGTACACCAGTATTGGAGGCTGAAATGATCCTGAGGTAGGGACTGGTTGGGTATACCAGTATCGGAGGCTGAAATGATCCTGAGGTAGGGACTGGGTGGGTATACCAGTATCGGAGGCTGAAATGATCCTGAGGTAGGGACTGGGTGGGTATACCAGTATCGGAGGCTGAAATGATCCTGAGGTAGGGACTGGGTGGGTATACTAGTATCGGATTCTGAAGTGATCCTGAGGTAGGGATTGGGTGGGTATACTAGTATCGGAGGCTGAAATGATCCTGAGGTAGGGATTGGATGGGTATACCAGTATCGGAGGCTGAAATGATCCTGAGGCAGGGACTGGGTGGGTATACCAGTATCGGAGGCTGAAATGATCCTGAGGTAGGGACTGGGTGGGTATACCAGTATCGGAGGCTGAAATGATCCTGAGGTAGGGATTGGGTGGGTATACCAGTATCGGAGGCTGAAATGATCCTGAGGTAGGGATTGGGTGGGTATACTAGTATCGGAGGCTGAAATGATCCTGAGGTAGGAATTGGGTGGGTATACTAGTATCGGAGGCTGAAATGATCCTGAGGTAGGGACTGGGTGGGTATACCAGTATTGGATTCTGAAATGATCCTGAGGTAGGGATTGGGTGGGTATACCAGTATCGGAGGCTGAAATGTTCCTGAGGTAGGGATTGGGTGGGTATACCAGTATCGGATTCTGAGATGATCCTGAGGTAGGGATTGGGCGGGTATACTAGTATCGGAGGCTGAAATGTTCCTGAGGTAGGGACTGGGTGGGTATACCAGTATCGGAGGCTGAAATGATCCTGAGGTAGGGACTGGGTGGGTATACCTGTATCGGAGGCTGAAATGATCCTGAGGTAGGGATTGGGTGGGTATACCAGTATCGGAGGCTGAAATGATCCTGAGGTAGGGACTGGGTGGGTATACCAGTATCGGAGGCTGAAATGTTCCTGAGGTAGGGACTGGGTGGGTATACCAGTATCGGAGGCTGAAATGTTCCTGAGGTCGGGACTGGGTGGGTATACCAGTATCGGAGGCTGAAATGTTCCTGAGGTAGGGACTGGGTGGGTATACCAGTATCGGAGGCTGAAATGTTCCTGAGGTAGGGACTGGGTGGGTATACCAGTATCGGAGGCTGAAATGATCCTGAGGTAGGGATTGGATGGGTATACTAGTATTGGATTCTGAAATGATCCTGAGGTAGGGATTGGATGGGTATACTAGTATCGGAGGCTGAAATGATCCTGAGGTAGGGATTGGGTGGGTATACCAGTATCGGAGGCTGAAATGATCCTGAGGTAGGGACTGGGTGGGTATACCAGTATCGGAGGCTGAAATGATCCTGAGGTAGGGATTGGGTGGGTATACCAGTATCGGAGGCTGAAATGATCCTGAGGTAGGGATTGGATGGGTATACCAGTATCGGAGGCTGAAATGATCCTGAGGTAGGGACTGGGTGGGTATACTAGTATCGGAGGCTGAAATGATCCTGAGGTAGGGACTGGGTGGGTATACTAGTATCGGAGGCTGAAATGATCCTGAGGTAGGGATTGGGTGGGAGAAATTGGACTAGCTAGGATACAGGAGGTTGGGGAAGGATACACCATTATGTAATTAACCATTATTTTTGTAGTGAATATTAATGTCATATACTTGATTTTATAACAGTGTTCATAACACAATTGAAGTCATTTAACCTACTTAGTGTATAATTATTTTTAAAACTAAATTGACATTTTCAAAAGGAAGAAAAGACAAATATGTTAATCAGATATGCTGTCATATACTCCCGCTCAGATAAGATACTGTAAAAATAAGAACAAAAGCTGACGTCAGCTGAAGCAGACTGTCTATCAAGCACATCATTCTCTCGTACATTTCTCATTTGTATAGACTATAATGAAATATACAAATATACATATGAGAATGTACACATTGTTACAAATACATTAACTGATAAAGTAACTTGTTTTCAACTCCAACATCATTCCCTTCATATTTCTATTCGCACGCATTGACCTGAGTGAAATTACTGTAACCTGTTAATATACTTAGTGACAGTTGTCATTTCGTTGAAATCGAAAGTAAGCAAATCTCATTCCAGCTAATAAATTAAACTAACTGGATTCGCAGAGTCGTGAATAATATATTGATGACTGAAAAGTTAGTGAAATGGGCGTTTCCGTATTGGTCAAAGATTTTTTTAAAAGTTAAGAATGTGTATCTGTCCGTGATACAAATGATAATAGTCATGACTGACCTTACAACCCACTCAATCCCCACGCGCTGACAGTGTAAACAAAACCAACGTCATCAGCAACATCATCAACTAACTTTAATATTGTCTCTTGTTACCTATGTACCAATGATCTAGGTTCGATGTTTTTAGTTGGTGTTAACTTACATAGATATGGTCCTTAAGCCAGTCCAACACGTCGTCTGCCATTTTGCCGCTGTCATCTGTCTGATGTTTCCATCACATGTAGATGTGAACTGTACCACATGATTTCATGGTCATGTGATTTCGTCCTAGTACATGTATCAAGCGGCGTAACTCTATTTGGATGTCAACTGGGACAGGGGACGTAACCGTGATTAACATATTTACTTTAAGATAAATCAAGTCGTTTTCCAGTCTGTTAGAGTCATTTCGCCGTTCTCTCGATTCTACCAAGATTTTAAAGCACGGACCAGTATTCTTATGGGTCCAAGGGACGTTTAATAGAGATAATATGAAAGAACACGGTAGTAGAATACATATAACGACTCCGAAAGTATTACCAGAGACGTATATAAACGTCTCTGGTAATACTTTCGGATTATATATACGTCTCTGGTATTACAGAAAGATCTGAGTGTAAATATGTCGAATAAAATGAACGCATTCGATATTTATTATATTAAACAGTTTAGATTTAAAAATAAGATCAGTGATGGGATCTCACGTGAATCTTGATTATCGTAAAAATTTAAAAACAAGAAGTTGGTGCGCGATTCAGGTACTAGTATGATGCTTCGCTATAAATCTCTTGTGATCTATATTGTAATATTGAGACAAATTATCGACTTCTATTTAATATAATATCACGTGACAAATAATTACCAGACCAACATTTTCCGTCATGGTTTGATCTGGTTTTATATTTTGGTAATAAAGATATAATTACATAGTTATGTATATAACACGAACATAAAGACATAAGATTCCATTAAAAATACATGGGAATGACCGTAGTTTGTCAACCGAAACACACCAGATATGTCAAAAATCAATGTTTAAAAAACTAATGGGATCTAGTGAAACACACCAGATATGTCTTTACGTGTCCGTACTAATGGGGTCTAGTGAAACACACCAGATATGTCTTTGCGTGTCCGTACTAATGGGGTCTAGTGAAACACACCAGATATGTCTTTGCGTGTCCGTACTAATGGGGTCTAGTGAAACACACAAGATATGTCTTTGCGTGTTATGTACTGATGATGTCTAGTGAATTTTACCATATATAGAGCTTACAATCCATTTTGTGTGATTTCCATGTGTATTCTGAATTAGCGAATTCTCTGACTCAAAGTATACATTTTTGCTTGTATCTTGTGCCCGAAATAAATTTGAAGGAGACAACCTCGAGTCAGTCGTTTTTTGTTATCTTTTTTTAAAAAGAACCCTAATTTCACATGTGTTTAAAGTATTTACACCAAGCATTGCCATTCTTACATATGTCACCTAAACAACCACTAAACTTGAGAGTGACATATTAAAAATATCTCATACACTGGGTTACTCAAAACGTATCTCCGAGGCATACAATCGCAACTATATGTGTATGTGCAAACTTACCAAATTACGAACGACCCAGAACAAATACATTTGGTAACATGGTAATAAACGGGTAGTGACCCGACCGATATCTTTAAGAACGACTAAAGTGCATTTTATATATTTCTTGCCTAGATAAAAGAACTTGTCTTCAAAAAGTATTGGCGTATGTATAGGAGCTTACCGCACGCTTTTCTTGGCGGAATAATGTTTTCATACCAGGTTGAATTCATTTAGGAGAGACTAAGCTTTGGCATGAATTTTCCATTTCTGAATATTACCAACCGGTTTCTTCAACATATGACGCTAAAATGCCTCGTGTTCCTTGGCCTGATACAAGTTGATGAAAACTATGACGTTAAAATGCCCCTTGTTCCAAAGGCCTGATACAAGCTGATGAAGACTATGACGTTAAAATGCCCCGTATTCCATGGCCTGATACAACCTGACAAAAACTATGACGTTAAAATGTCCCTTGTTCCAATGGCCTGATACAAGCTGATGAAGACGATGACGTTAAAATGCCCCGTGTTCCATGGCCTGATACAAGTTGATGAAGACGATGACGTTAAAATGCCCCGTGTTCCATGGCCTGATACAAGCTGATGAAGACGATGACGTTAAAATGTCCCTTGTTCCAATGGCCTGATACAAGCTGATGAAGACGATGACGTTAAAATGCCCCGTGTTCCATGGCCTGATACAAGTTGATGAAGACTTGTCTTCAAAATGTATTCCATGGCCTGATACAAGTTGATGAAGACTATGACGTTAAAATGCCCCGTGTTCCATGGCCTGATACAAGTTTTGAAGACCATGACGTTGAAATGCCCCATGTTCCATGGAGATACAAGTTGATGAAGACATGAATTTTCCATTTCCAATACAAGTTGATGAAGATATGACGTTAAAATGCCCCGTGTTCCATGGCCTGATACAAGTTGATGAAGACGATGACGTTAAAATGCCCCGTGTTCCATGGCCTGATACAAGTTGATGAAGACGATGACGTTAAAATGCCCCGTGTTCCATGGCCTGATACAAGTTGATGAAGACGATGACGTTAAAATGTCCAGTGTTCCATGGCCTGATACAAGGTGATGAAGACGATGACGTTAAAATGCCCCGTGTTCCATGGCCTGATACAAGTTGATGAAGACGATGACGTTAAAATGTCCAGTGTTCCATGGCCTGATACAAGGTGATGAAGACGATGACGTTAAAATGTCCAGTGTTCCATGGCCTGATACAAGGTGATGAAGACGATGACTTTAAAATGTCCAGTGTTCCATGGCCTGATACAAGGTGATGAAGACGATGACTTTAAAATGTCCAGTGTTCCATGGCCTGATACAAGTTGATGAAGACGATGACGTTAAAATGTCCAGTGTTCCATGGCCTGATACAAGGTGATGAAGACTGAAGATTTCCTGGTAGTCATCATTACCTAAATATAAAACGTTTTCTGTTGCAATACCATGTACTCGTTTGGCTAGTAGTTCATACTAATCTGATTTTTATTTTTGAGAAACTTAGCGTTCATTGGATTGATCTAACTTTACATGGTTGGTGATTTCGATAAAGCAGAAGCTGACAATACCTTTTATGAATACAATTACAGTTACGATTCTCCTTTATGAATACGGTACAAGGCCCCATTCTCCCCTTATGGATGGCCTTCAACACCCAAACTGAGAAGATCACCGCGGTACACTTAACATAACACGTTTTCTTGTCTGAAGCCTTTATTATTAAGGATTATATAAATTACAGAGAGTGTAGTTCATTCTAATGATATACAATGTAATATTGGGCATGCGCATAACTATATAGTATAAGACACTAAAACGCATATATTGTCCAGCCTCGTTCTGACTCGGTGAATTATTTCCGGTCAGGAAAACGTTCCAATATAGAGTTTCGTATGATGCGAGACGGATTCCGAGCTAGGTGAACATGTCATGCCACTAGAGTTAAGTTTAAAACATTTTTAGATAATTATCAACAAAATCATTATACACTCATGCATTACACATATTTAAATATATTTTGCATTAGGTAGAAATTATCAGAAATATTCATCAATAACACTTATCTACGTTTAACATTAAACACGTATCACCCTCACAATATGTCTATGTACACTAGGTATATACCCCGTATTAAATATCATGTGTTCGATTTTAGTACAATACTATTATTTTCTTGAACATGATACATAATATCAAGAAGTGACACAGTGTACATAGTTTTATCCTGAAACTGGCACCGCCATTATCGAAATACACCTTCGCATATCATCTGATTGTATTTTCAGGACGTGCATTCATTCGCCGGAATTGATTTCTGAATAACCTTTTAATCTAAATATTTACAACTGTTAGGATATGTGATCTTGTTTGCTGCATTGAATAGGTTTATTTTTGGAAAAATGACAAAACTGCTTTTTATATCTAGTGAAGTTGAGAACTATATTTTCACGCGGGGCATTTATATTTATGTACGTTATCAGGCCTAAATCAGCGTCCGCCAAAGTCAGGTAAACATGTTTTCTAACAATTTAGTACAGAAGTCACGAAAGATCGATAGTTTTAACAAATGTTACAGGAAAAAGATAATACATGGTTATTAAGATAAAATACAAGTTGTATTTTGGCCCGAGACACTTTTGTCTTTCTTTACCTTTGCCAAAATACAGCGGATATTTTATGACAAAGACCATGTATTCTCTGCTCATATCTATATAAAATGCATATCATATGCACATACATATGTGTATAAAAGAACAAACAAGCATTTATGTCTATATATAAAACACACACTATGCACATTTTGTCTATATTTAGAACATGTGCACACGTCACAGTTCACGTTAGAGGATTCATAAGAAATCCTACTGAGGACACACACATTAAGAACAAAGTGAAAGACTTCTGTTTAAGAGTTGAATCAATTGAAGACACATGAAAGACAACATCTGTGAAGTATACTTCACTTAAATCCTCTCACGACTCAAGTAGACCCCTCCCTAACTAACACTGCCCACAACAGCCAATCAGAAACACGATATCTTCTTGGATGTTTTCACATGCCTTTTTCACGACATCTACTTTTACTCCTAACGTTCTCTGTCCAAAGGTCACTTATACCTACATGTACTTCGGTAAATATAAACAAACAAGCACAAGGTCTCATAAACACAACTATATGTGTCATTGTCATTACTACGGCTTCCTAGCTCACCGTGATCCCTCGCGAGCTTCCATTAGGGCCAACAGGATTAAGTTGATATAACATTTCATATAGTCGTTTAATGCATAAAGGAAACAAACAAACGAAGTCCAGTATTGTTTGATCGTCCTCCAAGTACCTATGTGGATTTAACGTGCATATATGAACATATTAATACAGAATATAATAAATACAATATTATATAAATACATGAACAAATATTATATGAATACATAAATATTGTAATATTCCTTAAACTACAAATGTAAGTCACGTATGATAAATTTATCATAGCAGGTCGACAAGTTTTCGGCGTAGCATCGATGACAGGTCAAGAAATTGTGAAACAATTGAATAACAATGAAATTATAACACGCCACACAGTACCTATCCATTCAATGCTGGTCTAACGTTAGTGTAAAGAATGTTTTAGATAAAGCAAGGCATACAAAAAGAACACTAAATAGGCGGCATCGATATCAGTTCAATATATATGTTTCTATTATATAAAATTTTATTCTAACCTTGACAACTAAATGATCGAATGAAGTTCGTGAAGTGTTCGGAACTGCACACACAACTAAATATTAAATCTACCCATCGACCCCACTACAACTTGATTGCCAATGTGACGGGTTAGTAACTCGACACAAATCTGCAGTGAGTTTTAATATGGAGCAAATGTATCGGGTAAGAAACTCGACACAAAGCTGCAGTGAGTTTTAATATGGAGCAAATGTGTCGGGTTGATACCTCGAAACAGAAGTGTGATTACCTTGAAAATGGAGCAAATGAGTCAGGCAAGAATTTCAACCAAATAAACAATGATTTCATGGAGCCAGTCGGTTGCTTTAGAAACTCGACACAAACTTACAAAATTACAATTACCTATCTATATCCGTTGTGTCGGATATGTAATTCGACATAGAAATGATAAGAGCTGAAATAACTCGACATAAAAACACAAAGAGCTTAAATATGAAATTGATTTGTCGTATTAGTAACTCGACGTTTCACTAAGATGACGTGTAATACTAATATGTGAAATTAAGCGACTACAAAAATTATCATACTCGAGGACAAAGACGATTGATACCTAATATCAACGTATCGCTAACTTGTTGTCTCAGACTTATCCTGATGTTGATTTACACCTGACAATTTCTTCTTCTGATGTACATTGTAACATTTTAGAACGCTCCCAGTCGTAAAAAACGACATAACTTGTTTATTTAAACAACGCCAGCGGACTTAAAAGAGCTCAACTTGATTTCCCAGGTTACGGCACGTCGGAATGTTAGTACACTAACTGTAATAGTATTAAATTTAATTAGAGGTCAAGTACACGATGCATGTAACGACAAAGTAGCCAGCTAAGGAGAAATTACTGTTACCTGCTCACAGTTTAATAAAGCTAAATCGTTTGACAATAAAATTTTAATAATAAATACAAGTTTGTCGTTCTATTGGGGACACGCGGGGTCCAGGGATGGGAACTGGTTACAAAGACATTTATTTCCTTATTTCAATTCAGAATTCAGTTTTGTGGGAAGAGGGGGGAGGATTCATGGGAAACTGATATTGACATAAAGTGAAACGTTTAAAGTCAATCATTTGATACATTGAATTATATCTAAACACGTATAAATAAATTCTTACGCGCAAAATATAACTACATGCCAATATTCTTTAACACTTTCAAACATAAAACTGCGAGTAAATTAAACAAACTATTTAGTTACCTGTAAACATACGTACATACATTTCAACGGCATGTTACAATACGAAAAAATGTTGGGAGACGACAACATGAGAACAAGCTATATCATTTACTGAAACAGGTGCTAAATCTCCAAAGATATTATTCACTATGCTACATCATCACTTTTAACTAAATATAATGCGCAGTGTGTAAAACGTGCAGACAAGTCATTATATATGTAACATAAGCGTTATATGAGCAACAATTTAAGATTTACATGTCAACAAAATTTCAGAATATCTCAACACGTATACAAAATTAAAAAAAAAACAATTTTGTTTCTAATGATATAAATGAACGTGTATTTCAAACAACCACGTGATTATTATAGTAATTACATATCTAACAGCAGAAGTCTACACGGGTACTTACGCACTTCCTACATAATATTTACAAAAAATATGACGAATTTATGATTTTGACACAAACTTTATGTAGTATGTTTATAATTTACAAGCAGCCTATGGAAGGATTCGACACTAGTGATGGGAAAAAGGATAAAATCCATGATCAGTTATCGGAAAAAAATGTTTTTGACGTAGTTAACCAATTACATAAGCGACTATGTGTTCAATCTTCATAGAAAAAGAATGCATTTTCCACAGAGGAAATATTTTCATGAAACTTTTACCTAAAATACATCACTTACCCAGAATTTGCATAATAATGAATTTTATTTGCTAATGACTTCTTTATTGTGCATATATAACATGAATACTGATTTTCCTAAGACACAAGAAAACATCAAGGTGTCATGAAAATTACAATCGATCATCACATCAGATAAAGATGAGTTTAAACGATTAGATAATCGATTACATCCGATCATTGTCCAATCACTACCCGACACCAAGTATATGTCACGTGATCAGATGATTACGTCATCACGTCATTGGTCCGTTTTTGCTGACTGCATCCATAGCTACAAATGCATAGTCCAACCCGACGAAGTATGTCCAGTACCGCTACCCAGAGCTACCAGCGGTAAGTGTTACGCTCCCTGCTAGGCAATGTATACGATATCATACTAGTGATGCTATTTTATCCCTTCTTTCTACAGATGCAAACCACGACAACACTGACGTCAGCTCTCACTGTGTATGACATGTCTTTTCACCCCCCGCATCCTCCGCATCCCCCACAACTTCCACATCCTCCTCCACATCCCCCGCATCCGCCACATCCCCCACACCCACCGCACCCACCACAACCTCCTGCCTCTCCTCCGTCGACTCCCGCTTCACCCCCATCCGCTCCAGAGTTCGCTCCTATGTCGGCATCTGCAGCGTTGGCGGCAGTATCCGATTGCATTTGATTGATTTCGCCATCCACTCCAAACACGTCCGTAGCTAGTTCCGCTGCCTCTAAATCAGTGTACATATAGCCAAGTCCACCGTAGTCCGAATCTCCCGTGCATGTTTTTCCTCCGTGAACACGTCGGATGTATGCATTTGTAGGTGTGTCTACCGAGTAACCAGCAGCAACCACAAGGCCAAGGTCATCGGCAGGCACGCGGTTGATTGGCCTAGAACCCCGCATTGGAGTGCCAGGACTAGTGCCGTTCGCAGTGATTGTACTAGGTACCCGAGGTTGACAAAGCACATGTAGCAGGGCGACGCTGAATGCCAGCGCAATGTTCTCGGCTATCTCATTACTGTCAGACTTAATCTGCACGACGCCATGTCTCAGATCGACGTCAGCCTCGTGAAGGCGAAACTTGAAGACGTTGTCGAGATACGGCAGTGCCATCTGTTGCCATTGTGCAGTGTGACTTCGGAAAAAACGTATGCTTAGAGTTCCACAACTACCTGGTACACCTTTCTGTCCCTTTTTGTTTTTGCGCCCTGAAAGAAGTATAGGAAATGTCACTTTCGGTTTTGTAAAACATATTACAGGATATCGTAAAATAAAATTCTCCATATCATAGTCTCTATTAGCTTAAAAAATAATTAAAACACTTGCAAACAATATTTTGTGGGATAACAAAGAACAAGTAGACTTTCCAACATCTGGCGGTGTTTGTATTCTTCTGATCGTGTACTAAAATAAAATAATGCAAACTTGGGGCAAAACAAGAGGCCCAAAGGGTCTGTGTCGCTCACCTAGATATTTATGCCAGTAATGCAAAATTTACATTTCTTTAGAAGGAAACTATTTCCCCTGTTGAGCTTCACCCCACAGATACAGCTTCGAATTCCCAAGGGATGGGGTCAGAGACCAATTGTTAATCTCTTGCTGTCCAGTAATGCTATCAAGTTACAGAATGATAATCAAATGGCCACAAAGATATAATCTGTCCTAGGATGGGACCAGACCCCAGGACAAATTATCAGTTGTTATTGTGTATATCCCCTGACGCTCTGCAATGCTATAATTGTTCATTTGGGATCACAACTGTTTCAATGAACCAAAGATCCAAATGAATCGTTGATGATGCGAAGCAATGTTATTGAAATTATCTAAATCTCCTTGGGGGTTAGATTTTCCCTGTTGAGTCCAGCCTATCTGGCCCAAGGGGGTCGAAACCCACGATTTATACAAAACTGATTTTCCTTCAACCAAGCATGCTTCAGACCAAATAATGCAATATTCTGCAATTCCTGAAGAACAAGACATATTTTACAGAAACTGATAGATTTTCCCAATTAGGCCCCGCCGCTTTAGTCCCAGGGGCCCGAGACCCACTTTTAATCCTTTACCCAAGCATGCTTCAGACCAAATTTGGACAATATCCTGCGGAGCCATCATTTAAAATTGGTTCCTCTTCCCCCTAGGATGCTTCAGACCAAATTTGATTAAAATCCGCTTGTCTTTCATGAATAGTTGCAATATATAGTAAATGTTGATGGACGACGGACGCTGCGGCATCCTGATTGCTCACTTGGCCCTTCGGGTCAGGTGAGCTAATGAAACATTGTGGAGATAAACAACAGCGATTTTGAATTGAAGATATCTCAACGTCATCTTTTTTAACCAACAGGAAATCAGATCTGGAGAACGATAAAATTTCATCAGAAATGTGACAGGTAGTTCAATGACTTGTTCTTTTGACCAGTTTTTAAACTTTTCATTTTATGGGGTGATTGATTGAAAGCAGACGACAGCTATATTTCCTTTGAAAACTACCACACCACTGTTCGTGTCGTTTTCATTCAATTACATTACATGGATAAACAGAAAAAATCACCGATTGGGGTGAAAAAAATTACAACGGCAAAAAACATGTGTTGAACTCGTATGTTATATCAATCAGTTTACTTTTCTATCAACCCGCTCAAGTCTTTAAATATCGTTTTTAACATCAACATTAACGTTTAAGCATGATCTTTCAAGTTAAAAAAATATTAGAACCACATAAAATCTGGGTTGACTGCCTTATTCACGCGGCCAGTGTCAATACGTTGTATCGGTATCATATTCAATACATTGAGATATGTCGAATATTAGAACATACATATTTTATTCAGTAGCAATTGCACGGATCTGTGATTAATGCTACCTTGAATATTCTTTCACTCACAAATATTGTGTATCCTATATGGTGGACATGATAGTAATGATGTCGGTGTCTAGGGAATGTTCGCTGGCAGGTTGCTCTATTAAATCATCGTGCTTCCGCATGTGTGACACGACACTCCTGAATTGCAAACAACCTTTAAACCACGCCATGTGCATTAAGAAATCGAATATGCTAGCGACAGATCAACAGCATGATGAAGGCAACAATCGACGGTTTGGCTGGGCGCCTCGAAACAAGGGCGAGGATTATTCTCAGTTATGGTGCTGTAGCCATTTATACAGTTTAAATTTCATCATTTACAAATTAGATAAAAGTAAGAACTGACCCAGATAGGTGTTTAGCCGATTAAAACACCCAGACCCAGACAGATAGGTGTTTAGCCGATTAAAACACCCAGAACTGACCCAGACAGATAGGTGTTTAGCCGATTAAAACACCCAGAACTGACCCAGACAGATAGGTGTTTAGCCGATTAAAACACCCAGACCCAGACAGATAGGTGTTTAGCCGATTAAAACACCCAGACCCAGACAGATAAGTGTTTAGCCGATTAAAACACCCAGAACTGACCCAGACAGATAGGTGTTTAGCCGATTAAAACACCCAGAACTGACCCAGACAGATAGGTGTTTAGCCGATTAAAACACCCAGAACTGACCCAGACAGATAGGTGTTTAGCCGATTAAAACACCCAGAACTGACCCAGACAGATAGGTGTTTAGCCGATTAAAACACCCAGAATTGACCCAGACAGATAGGTGTTCAGCCGATTAAAACACCCAGACCCAGACAGATAGGTGTTTAGCCGATTAAAACACCCAGACCCAGACAGATAGGTGTTTAGCCGATTAAAACACCCAGAATTGACCCAGACAGATAGGTGTTTAGCCGATTAAAACACCCAGAATTGACCCAGACAGATAGGTGTTTAGCCGATTAAAACACCCAGAATTGACCCAGACAGATAGGTGTTTAGCCGATTAAAACACCCAGAACTGACCCAGACAGATAGGTGTTTAGCCGATTAAAACACCCAGACCCAGACAGATAGGTGTTTAGCCGATTAAACAAACCAGAATTGACCCAGTTAGATTTGTTAGATTGTTTTGCAGCCAGTTAAAACAAACCGGAACGACCGTTTAAAAAATACAGAACTGGCATTATCATAATAATGTGTAGCCGAAATTACTGACCAATCGTATCCCATATAAGGTCAAAATGACGAACTAAAGTAACCCTTGTAAGACCGAAATATCTGACCAATCGAAGTCCCTGTTAGGACGAAATCATTCACCAATCGTATTCTCTATAAGGTCAAAATAATTCAGCAATAGTATCCACTATCAGGTCGCGGTGACTTATTAATCGTAACTCCTTTTGGGCTAAAACCACTGACAAAAACGTAGAATCTTAAAACACCCAGACCCAGACAGATAGGTGTTCAATATGTTTAGCCGATTAAAACTAATACAGTTGAGGTCGATACCATTCCTATCTCCTGACCAATGACAGCCCCTGTGAGGTCGAAACAAACCAGAACTGACCCAGAGATTTGTTAGATTGTTTTGCAGCCAGTTAAAACAAACCGAACCAAAAGCCGAAATTACTGACCAATCGTATCCCATATAAGGTCAAAATAACGAACTAAAGTAACCCTTGTAAGACCGAAATATCTGACCAATCGAAGTCCCTGTTAGGACGAAATCATTCACCAATCGTATTCTCTATAAGGTCAAAATATCATCCCACTGAAATGACAGCCCCTGTGAGGTCGAAACGAATGACCATTCCTATCATCCTGAAAATGAGAATCGGTTTCAGAGGTGCGTACGAAGATGTAATACCTGTGATCCCGGGAATTCCCCGCCGGAATCCCGTCCATTGACCAATCAGAATACCCCAATCTCCGTCGTTGTTCTTAATCAGGATGGCTCTTTGTCCAGCTTTTGGATTCACAGAAGGACAAACCTTTGAATCTCCTAGCTGCAAAACAAAATGTACTTGCAAATTATTGAAGTAAATAACAGCTTCAAGGATTATTCTATATTCCATATGTAGTTTATACACCTTTGTTAGGTTTGAATGTCGCACTTAATATCATACTCATACTTTAATTGTAAATAAAGCTAATTGTATATAAATCGGTAATACTGACCTCGCCATGTCTTTGATTGGTATGCAGCCGGCCAATCGAGGCGTAGATTAACTGACGTGGGGTGAACACTTGTTTAATAGAGGTGTAGCTTACCTGACAAGAGGTGAACAACTGACCAATAGATGCGTAGATTGAGATTGGCCAATATAGGCATAGCTTACCTGGCCTGGGGTGGGCAGCTGGTCAGATCCTATAAGATGACCAACAGCTGCCATTTTGTCTTGGTAAAACACCTGGACCGCTGACATTAACAGTGGTAGACTGTGGATGACACGACAGGTAAACGTCTTCTCACCTGTGTGATTTACAAACCTGAAATAGAGTAACAGTGACCTAATTTATCAAATGCCATTGTATCCCAGTGTATTTGTTGTAAATTATAGCCAGAATACATGACCTCTTTAGCTCGATCGGTTTAGTATAAAACTTGCAAACCAGAGGTCCTGGGTTGGATTCCTAGAGGAAACATTTGATAATTATGTTTGTTCTGTAATAACTGCTGTTTACAGTGAAAATAACTTCGAGTTCAATCGTGAAAGGGGATCGGGATCCGGGTTCGATCCCTAAAGTGGGTGTTTGTAGTGGAAATAAACAAGTGTATACCACAACGAAGATGGTGACTGATATCGTTAGCTTTGCTTTCGTGTTTAGTATAAAGATCAGACATGTCACGTAATGAATTGAAAACCGAGGAAATTATCTCCCTTGCTTGTAATAACTGACGCAATGTGACGTAAAATTAGTCTCGTTCAACCAGACACTTGTTGTCTGCGCACACTAAGATTACAGAGAGTATTCAAGCGGCTAGTTGGACGAGACTAGACGTGAACGCCACAAAACCTGGGACGGGTCTACTCCCACAGAATTTGGGGCTGTATTCACCTTTTATCGTTCAGATCATCGACGCATACATATGTAAATTTCAAACTGAAATATCCTTACTTTATAACCACCTCAGATCAGCTGAGAGTATTTAGTGGCTAAAGCGTACGTCAAATCTCTACATCAACTGTAGTGTTGTTCCAATATGGACAAGTGTATTAGGTCGTACACCAGTACATTATCATGGAAGGTAAGTTGAGCAACGAATTCCCAATCTACGGCCCATATATGTATAATACATATGTATATGGATTGTGGATTGAGAATTCGTGCGAAATCCTTGTGATTTAGGCTAAAACGAACCAGCACTTAGAAAATCATCCTTCGTCTGGTTTCACGTATAATGACGAATCAATCCTCTGTGTATTATATCTGCTGATTTGTCGGAAGAGCATCCTAGTCCGGATATATCTAGTGCCAGCTCCATTTAGTATCACGTTCGATACTTTAAGGTTCGTGGTGGTAAAACTATGATACACACGGATCACTGTGTAAGAGGTAGGGGTCAATCGTTAAGTCTCCCATAAGGCATATAAAACTACAGGCAGCCAACATCTTAATCAAACCTGCAGATGATGGCCGATAGACGAGATCCTTGGGGGGTTTGGTAATCATGGTTTACGACACGAAATCCGTATTTGTTTAAAGCAAATATACTTCGTACAACGACCTCACACCCCCCCACCCTTTCCCCCCATCTTCCATCCCCACCTAATCCTCCCAACTATATCGATTCTATTACGATGACAATAAACCACCTAATGATTTAACTGACAGTACTTTCCCTTGCTTGCTACTGTACAAAGGATTCACTTACAATATGTAACTCTGGACTAGATACGAGAACTGACTGTTAAGTTGTGAGTCTCATATTTAAGGTTGAACTTTCGGCAGACATATTTTCAACTTAATCCCCTTCATTATCTATAAACTTTTGCCAATGATGTTTCAGGGCCAGAATGCCACTTTTAAAGAAGTCTTTTTCCTAATTATTCAGAATGTAGTCATCTGCATATATGACGTCATCATCTGACCAAAAGTGGTTACCGGAAATGACCTTTTTCAATTTTGGACATAGATGGAAGTCTGATGGAGCGAGATCAGGCAAATAAGGCAGGTGCTCAATCAATGCAAAGCCACAATCGTTAATGGCAGCCATGTCCATGGTAGACTTGTGAACGTTGTCCTGGTGAAACAACACACCTTTATTGCGGTTTCTGCAGCGCTCGAGTTTAATATTAACTCTTAACGGCTTAAGAAGTGATGCATAATATGTGTCACTAATTGTTTGTCCCTTTTGCCCCATCAGCATCCCAGGACATAACCTTTCCATCTAATGGGACACCCTTTGCCTTCTTTGGCGGGGGTTTACCAGGATGTTTAAGAGTGTTGTTTGGCGTCTGGGTTGAAATGTTGGACCCATGTTTCATCCATAGTCACAAACCTCTGCAGAAAGTTAACAGAGTCTGCCTCTAAAAGGTACATATTAGCAAGCGACAGAGTTAGATTGGTGTTCTTCCGATCAACTGTCAGAAGTCTCGGTCGAGCTGAGAGCATTCTCATTGCAATACCTTACATATTCCAATTGTATTGGCTATATACCTCGCTGTAAATCGCCTGTCAGCCATAACAATATCATGGACTTTATTGAACATTTCTGGGCTTGTAACAGTGACGGGCCTTCAAGGACGAGCGTCATCCCCGAGGCTCTGTTTTAATTCCGCCACTCACCTTTTCACTTTATCATATGGGGGTGTTATTCCCTAGAGTTGCTACCGTATCAATATGGATATCCTTAGGTGCTAGACCTTTCTTATGCAAATATTCCATCACTGCTCTTTCAGCGATTTTGTCCATTTTGCAAAAAATCACTTGCCTTGTTTACTTTAGAGTGCTACCTCTTCGACATAAACTGACCAAATGACACTGGTCTTCGGGTACACAGCCCTAAATAGTCAGGGAATAGTACAGCTGAAAAAGGCCACCTCTACTTATCTTCTTAAATACAAAGCTCACAACTTATCAATCAGCCCTCGTACACTATACCAGGAATTAATTAAACCGCACCATGCCATTGTTTCATCTGTCTACGACCTGTCGTTCCTAGTACAAGAGATGTGTGTTATATACGTCTCTGCTAGTACTACAGTTCGTAAATTGTCTATAATGTCAGGCTCCTATTATTCATATACAATGTATTTTGAATTCCAGGAGCAACTTCTATTGATTAAATTCTTTATTTCCGCCCAAATAATAATTACATACAATCAAGGGGCCACTAGATGCTACCTTCAGCATAAAACAAAATAATACATTATGTACTATGAAAAATGTGAAACAAATATAACACGCACTCACAATATCATTCACACATCCACACATTGAGAGAATTGAAGGGAGGAAGAGAGAGAACGATAAAAATATATTCGTGTTTATTATTGCTTAGCTATATACAGTGTACACAACTATTAGAAAATTTGTTCTGTCTGATTATAGATAAAACATACCATAACATATATCAGATTTTTCTCACAGATACAGATATCAATCAATACTGGGTCAGACGAAACAAGACCATTGAAACTAGTGATAAAAACCCGCTTCTGAGATTTTGAAAGAAACCTTTCCACCTCTTCCAATATTAGATTGTTTTTTGATTTCGTGCAAATTTAGGAACATTGGACATTTCACGATGTGTTATGAGTGTATCATCTTACACATTACACCAGAATTTACAACAACATGTAAACTGTTGAAAGGTTCGTGTACAAATATACAATTTTTTTTACAAAAGATGGAGTACAAGGGGCTCAAGGCGATATCGTTTACATCAAATATTCTTATGACAACTCTGATGCAATCTGGAGGAGTAGTGATCAATCTGATTTGTGACGTCAGAAATTTGGAGAGCAGAGTCCAGACAGCGAAACGTGCTTGCAATTTAAACCGACCCTAACTAATCCAAAAATGGGTTATACTTTGATAACAAGGAAAATATCTATGATAAATACGATGATCACTTTGATCGAAATTAGGTCAGCATAATTCGACCACCAGAACTGTGTCACATTCGTGTTAAACATCTAGATATCACTTGCCAATAATACATACATGTATATTCAGCTGTAGAATAGTTGATCCAGAGTATTTTTATCTGTATCGTCGTGTCCGTTAGTCATCTGCCGGACATGTATCGTCGTGTCCGACAGACATCTGTCTGATCTGTACCGTCACGCATATCCGGCGTCTATCTGATATGAACCATCGCTTCCCTCAGACGTCTGACTAATTTGTACCATCGTGTCTGTCAGACGTCTGACTGATTTGTACCGTCGTGTCTGTCAGACGTCTGACTAATTTGTACCGTCGTGTCTGTCAGACGTCTGACTGATTTGTACCCTCGTGTCTGTCAGACGTCTGACAGATTTGTACCGTCGTGTCTGTCAGACGTCTGACTGATTTGTACCCTCGTGTCTGTCAGACGTCTGACTGATTTGTACCATCGTGTCTGTCAGACGTCTGACTGATCTGTACCATCGTGTTCGGCAGACGTCTGTCTAGTATGTACCATCACGTCCGTCGAACGTCTGTTTGATCTTTAAAATCACGTCCGCCAGACATCTGCCTAATAACATGTATCCGAGCTGTACCGTCTCGTCTGTCAGTCATCAGTCTGACCTATGTCTGTCAGGCGTCTGTAAAATTTGTATCATCCCGTCTGCCAAACATCTGTCTGATCTGTATCATCACGCCGGTAAAATGTCTGCCTGTACTGTTGTCATTGTCCTCTCGTTAATAAAGATATTCCGACAAACTATGTAAATACATATGATTTGTACTCGCTGTCCATGTTCAGACAAGCTCTGACGGAGAGGAAGTTTATCATTAAAACTACTCGAGGTACTCTCACACAGCTTTATCAAAGTACAAAAATATCAATTTCGGATTTCTGGAAATAATATCAACGTCATATTTCATCCGATAGAAGAATTCCAAAATTTCTTTCCATGAGTGAGTGCGGGATTGATTTATGGGTTGGTATTCAGACGTCTGAGAGCTGTTAACTGCCGTTCTCAGACTCCACCACTACGCTGCATGGCCAATAATGCTACTTATATCGACTAATTTCTCTGTGCAATCTGGTAACTATCAGCAAACCTGTATATATAACCACACGACCTAGTATTTCCTGTGATTCAGTATAAAGAATCTAATGCTCATACCTATTGAAACACAAACATGGATGATACTATTTCTATTCACAAACTGTACGCAGTAAGGAAATAAAACGCTGTTCAATTTATTAAATACTGATATATAGAGAAAACATAGTCATTATTTTGAGATATCAACAGTATTTTGGCGAGGATGAAGAAAGACAAAAGTGACGAGTCTTTGACGAGCCACTTCCGTCATTCTGTCCCGAGCCAAAATGCAGCTTATATTTTAAGTCACCTACCATGTATAATTTTTATCCTGCTGCGCCGATTGAAAATCAGACTATTCTAAACTTAATAGTTTTGTTATTTAAGTAACTGACGTTGAAAATACACTGAATTTTGTCCGATGGCCTACGCCAAAATAATTGCTCCGCATAGAAATATAGTTCCAAACATCTACAGATATGACAGCGATTTTATGAATTACTTAAACTTTTTCAACATATGGAATAATTTATTTCAATAGTTATCTATATTGTTAAACGTTAAGTAAATTCGGAAAGTATTCGGCAGCACTGGCTGCAGTATACATGTGTTTACGTCGTTGTTGTGTGCTAACTTCCGATGGATGTTATTTAAATTGTAGCCATACTAAGCTGCTACGGACGTAGCCCAAGTAACAAACAAGCAAACTTGTGACGGGTGTTTTCTAAATTGAAAACATGCCAAGCTGTTGCAGATGTTGCCAAAGTTGCGAACATGACAAGTTTACCCTAACATTAGCCAAATTGCAACCGACTAGGTTATCACGGATGCTGCCCAAGTATTCGGACACGTCTAATTGTAACATATGTTTTCTTAGGTGCGAAGAAAAAATGTCAAATTACGGATGTAGTTTAAGTTGCAGGCTTAAGCTGTGAAACCTTTGACGGACGTTATCCAAGACATACGAAACAATTACGGACGAATTCTAGTCTCTGACAGACGTCACTCAATTTCTAGACATAGGTCTGGACAAAATACGCTGTGACGGACCGAGTCAAGAATATAACAAGCTTCGACGGACATAACCCAAGCTGGAGACATACCGAGTGCTGACGAACGTAACCCAAGCTGTAGACATAACAAGTGCTGGCGAACGTAACCCAAGCTGTAGACATACCAAGTGCTGACGGACGTCATCCAAGTTACGGACATGACTGTGACGAATGTCACTTAAGGTGTGTCGGACGTTACCGAAGCTATGGACATGACAAACTGTGGCGAATGTCACCCAAGGTCTGTCGGACGTCATCCACGCTATGGACATGCCAAGCTCTGTCGGCCAATATCCAAGCGATGGATATGACAAGCTCTGACGGACTTCACCCAAGCTGTGGACATGACAAGTGGTGACAGGTGTCATCTAAGCAATGGATATGACAAGTTCTGACGGACGTAACCCAAGCTATGTATATCACAAGTTCTGGCGGACGTTATCGAAGCTTTGAACATGCCAAGCTCTGTAGGCCGAATCAAGCCATGGATATGACAAGCTCTGAAGGACGTCACCCAAGCTGTGGACATGACAAGTGGAGACAGGTGTCATCTAAGCCATGGATATGACAAGTTCTGACAGAAGTCACTCAAGCTGTGACGGACGTTATTCAAGCTATGGACATGACAAGATCTGGCGGACGTTATCAAAGCTTTGGACATGCCAAGCTCTGTCGGCCGTTATCCACGCGATGGATATGACAAGATCTGGCGGACCTTATCGAAGCGGTAGACAGGACAAGCTGTGACGGACGTTAACCAAGCTATGTATATCACAAGTTCTGGCGGACGTTATCGAAGCTTTGGACATGCCAAGCTCTGTAGGCCGAATCAAGCGATGGATATGACAAGCGGTGTCGGACGTTATCCAAGCTTTGGACATGACAAGTGGTGACAGGTGTCATCTAAGCAATGGATATGACAAGTTCTGACGGACGTAACCCAAGCTGTGACGGACGTTATCGAAGCTTTGGACAGGACAAGCTTTGACGAACGTTATCCAAACTATGGATATTACAAGCTCTAGCGGACTTTATCGAAGCTTTGGATAAAACGTGTAAGGAATGTTGCTAGGAATGTTGCTGTACCACGAGCAACACCTTTTACACTTCATTGATTACATAAGGTGTTCTAGTTTAGAAATGGCCTAGACATGCTGTTATCGACGGAGAATTTCAAGCATGGAGATCTATTTCTGGATAAAACCGTATGTATTCTTTGTGTACTGACGACATTTACAATCCGTGACGTCATACAACGAGATTTTATTGCCGATGCTGTGCGAGGTTCAGACAAAACCGTTCGCCTCGCTCTGGATGTTAGTACCCCACCTTTCAGTTCCGGGTTACTAGCAACAACACGAAACGGACTTTTATTAGATAAGGAATGTAAAAGTGGAAAATCGCCCTCAAAAAAATTTTTTTCCACCTCATGTCATTTGTAAAATCAAAATTAGCATTTTAATATTACATACTATGTAAAGAACAAATTAAAAGGCTTTAGCGTAAGACATGCTTAATGTTTTAATGCAATGGAAACAGCCCGTGCCATAGAAAATATTTAAAGAATCGGTTATTAATGTAGTTGTACAAAATGTAATTAAACCGTAGTAACTATCCCCAACTATCCCCAACTGAACACCCTTTTTGTACTTTCGTAATCTATTCTTGTTGTATACTTTATCCTTATAGATGGACGAAGGTTTTGCAAGTTGGAGGTTTTTTTATTGGTTCATCGCCCCATGCACAGTTTCATGAGAAACACAAGCCGTTACCAGCAGTGAGCGTCGAATCCCGACCCTTGGATCACGGGAATCACAGTCCCGGGTTCAGAGGTCAGTGGCCTGTGATCTGTTTAAATCTAATGTACTGTCATGTTTGCTTGTGAACGATCTAACTCTCTTTGAGCGTGCCTATATTAGTATATATTTACATTTGCCTGCTGTCACCCCATTGTAACAGTACTAAACGTGTACCGTAATGGTTTGACTACGACCTAGTTGCAACAAGTACAGTGGTAATGTGACGTCAGAATGCTCTTAGTAGCCGTCCCCTTTTTAAATCATCCCCTTTACTGAAGCTACGCCGATTTTTCCTGGATTTGCTAATGGGTCATTTGCAAATATTTCTACTATAACAACATTAAGAAAACACTCTATGGTTAGGATCCATTCAGCGTACTGACATTAGTCCTCGAGGACGGCTTTACAAACAAGGCAGTTCCCACAAGGAACCACGTAGTACAGGAGAGTGGATAATATATGCGAGTTTGAATTGACTAATAAACACGGACTTGTTTAATACTAATTGTGTCAGGAGGATATAACATAATCGCAAAGAGAATTTGAAACAGGAGCAATTAATGATATGTAGCAATGATAGAGGTAGGAAACGAGACATGATTACATATCACTTGTAAACACAGGATCGCAGCGCGTAGCTACATGTCCATGTATACCTGTAATTAAGACAAGCGCGCATGTCAGCTCTGGCTATATGGAGGCTAACTTCCTCTCCTTACAGTCTCATAATAAGAGTGACGCTGTTCGGGCGCCGGAGGCAGGCGCGAAGCTCTGTACCGTTAACATGTGCGAGACATTTGAACTTGATGTAAAGGAGATAAATTCTTCCAGAAGTGGAAGGCGTGTAACATAGATGTTTTGCACTTTCCGAAACTAGAGACACACTTCTGTTTTCTCGAATTAGTTTAACTTTTTTGTACTTTTACTAAAGATGATTTCACACAAACTAAATTGGCATGAATTAAATTGTCTTTATTCCTTCAAGTACCCAGGGTATAATGCCAACCAATATCATGACGTCACAACTTATACACAATCATACAAAATATCAACGTCATAATCGTTGTGCGACCATTCACTCGCTGCAGCGCGCTTTGAAATTCTGTATAATTAATTCGAAGAAGACATGTTCCAGACTGATGAGAGCGTAGTACTCGAGCGCCCAAACATAACGATCAAATGACAGGAACGTGGGAATTATATTGTATTTTGTAATAAGGAAATGCAGTAACAAGACGTTGAACTGTATAGATTGTATTTTCTCTCGTGAGTAAGGAAAGTATATTGTAAATTGCTCCTCCGGTGCCAAGTTATTCGCGGAGCCAAAGCGCTTAGATACGAGTTAGCATACACCGTGTAAAGAATATTCTGCTAAAACATAAATTATTTTTTAAATTAATAAAAATCATGTTCTTGTTTCATTGAATGCAGTGGTATCTTTACATAATTAAATATCAGTGGGATATAGTTCTCATCACAGTAACAATTGTTGACGTTCATACAAGGGAGGTAACTCTAACAGAAAATAGTACTTGGGTATTGAGTGCAAAATTATCAACAAAACATCGTCTGTCAGACTGCACTTTTAAATTTGTTGTTTTCATATCATGGCCAAATCTCAGTTATTATTCAAAATATGTTCTATTATAACGGGTTTTCCGGATTAAACCATCCGGGTTGTCTCTACAGAGAATCAGTAAATTGAGGGAACTACACATACAGTGCTGGACTTACTTGTGAGAAGCTACAAGGCAGTGATTATCTTTCCCAGATGGGAGCCGTGGGAGAGGAATCGGACCCCACATCTGCTGGACGTGTTCAGGAATGATACAGAAACGCGGCTCGTAGTTGCCGTTCTTGAGGAAGAGGATACAAGGTCCTGGTTTAGGCTGGACCTGTACATCAGCCGTGAACGATACCTTGAGGTTACGTTCCTCGTCCAGCATCACTGTCTCGTTGATTTTAGTGTCCCCACGATTCAAGTCTTCCACTATAGGCAGCATGTGGAACACACTTTGTGCAAGCTGTTCCGAACTACTAAAACACATAGGCCGCAACATCTGAATAAGTTTAAATTTAATGCAATTGTATAATTTTGTGTCAAAGCAAAACGCACTTCCGCTTTTCTTTCGTTCCCATTCCCTCCCTGGTCCCTTAAATGATGTAATGGACGGACCTTCCTTTTCACTGGCGACATAGTGAATCTTTATTTTGAAGTTTTTAAGCTCCTCCGGAAGTCCCTCAACTTGCATCCGGTCGAGGTGTATATTTGCTTTCTTTGTTGAGAAAGAAAACATTTCGTCCAAGGTGATTGGTTGCAGACCTGATGGGGGATCCCCCCGGTACATGGCGCCAAATTCGGTAAAGTTCTCGTGAAAAGCCTCCCGCCACAGCTCTCTGGTCTTTTTATCGGCCTGGTTCAACTTTGACCCCAAATTACGGTCATTGACGGAATCGTCGTGGTTAAACATTTTGCCGAGAACACGTGTTGTATCCTCCTTGTAGATAAGAGGATGGAGCTGATGAGAATGCCATATGAGGTCCATGTCATAACACGGAACTAGAAAGACTCGCGGGTTTTGAAGTTTCAGATATAGCATTTTTTGATATCGTTCCACGGCACGTTTAAGAAAGTGTCGATCGCAGTAGTGAGGGAGGGATACTTGGTACGCGAACACTCGCTGGCGCTTCGCTGCCTCAATAACATTGTAGGACAGCTTGGACGCCTCATCTAGAACGAGATCGCCACGTCCAGGTAAGCTGCCGTTGTTTTTACGAACCTCCAATTCAAACTTTTCGTTTGGATATTTGGACGTCCATAATTGTTTACTGATTTCTAATGCCTTCTCTCTCTCCTTTTCTGACAGCAATTTGTGGTTTACAGTCAAACCTACCACAGTTTTACAATCATCCTCATAACTCAGTGGCGACAGCAGATGGCAGTGCCACACCCATTCAATGTCAAGAGGTGCCGCCAATGTCTTTTCTGCATGCTCAGTAGCTAAGGGGAGCCACAGCTTCTCGTAACGCCAAACCGCGTGACGTAATACTGTGTCATCATAAAGACTTCGGTTCCGGTCCACTTGCTGAAGGAAAGATATTTGCTTCAGGGCACTATCTACCAAGTCCACGCCAAATGTAATCTTGGACCGGAAGTTTTCAATAGAAATATCCGATATTTCATCCATGATGTTATTATCTGGAAATATAAAAAAATGGTTTAATGAATATTGACTAGCTCAACATCTTACGTTATCATATCGCTGTCCCGTACAATCACCTGTAAAAATTGTTCATTTGCCACAATCGAAGTAGAAATCGTGTAAGTAATGTAAACAAAACGAGGCTACCTCCACGTGTAACAAATTGCTTTCAGTTGACATTCATGGCAATATGAATGCCAACTTGAGAAAAGTAAATACAACATGAATAACACTACGAATTTGAATCTGAATCTCTGAATTAACGCTTAAGCCATTGGCATTCACAGTGTCCATGAATGCAATCTGGAATAATATAGCCACGCCCAATATTTACCTTAACAGGAATTTACCTTATATAACATGTTGTCATCTACTGGTCATAACCGAAACAACGAGATCGCACATGTTTGAAGTAAACAACCCCAACTTAGTCATGACGCCAAATGTTATAGATATATAGAGTATAACATGAGTTTTCATATGAAACGAGACTGGCTTCTGTTTATCGCATAACTTATATTCATTGGCAAGTATTCGAGAAAAAGACATAAAATTTATAGAAGTGTTTATTAGCGATATATCTATCTTTGATGAAATCACAATTCTCATGGCGTCTGGAGTATTGTGTGTTATTTACAATGATAACAGGTGGAATGTGGAAAAATATTACAAATGGAGTTGAAATCTGATGATCATTCCTGACGTTATATTTACACATCCACGCTGCCATCAACTGCTGGTATAGAATTATCATTTTGTCGTCCATACTCCGGACTTAGGTACCTGATATTATCGCAAATAACAAACATTTCTGTGACGTTGAATCATCTCAGAAATAGCATCTGCGATTAACATTCAAATTATTGATATTATAAAATCTGTATTTTTAAAAAAATCTATACGTTACAAACGCAAAGCAATTTCGATCATGTCGAGGCACTTCCAAACAACGTGATATTGCTTGAATTTGAAACGAAATTGAATCCAGTCGGGCGATACATTTATATAGAACAGCAATTCTTTAATCCCTGACGGTGTAATGTCTACAACTTCCTGAGCCACACTGTCGGAACTGGACAGGTGTAAATTTCCTCGTGGTTAGGATCTGACAGGCCAGTCAATGTAATGACCGAAATTATTATCTTTACTGTGATTGCCTCCATTTCGGAAGTCACGTCAACGAGAGTCTACGGCCATCACGTGACCAATGATGTCATTCATGTATCAATAGTGGCGGTCGAGCATTGTGGGAATTCATCTGTCTCGTGCAGTGTTCGACTACTCTGAGTCTAATGTCAGTCAGTGTCTAGACGTAAGTCCTGGTATGGCCTTGTATATATCAATTTCCCGATTTCGTTTGAACTTTACATAACACATATTTCTCCTACATGTCTTAACGGCGTGTGTAATCCCAAGTCACTAGACAGGACAGCCTGTACGTCTAGTTTTGACGTGAGGAGTTTCAAAGTCCTCACATTTAAACAAGATAGATACGTTTCATGTCTGTCGACCACGAGCTTTTTGTACAAAGAATGACACACAGAACTTCACACGACATCGACGCACGATCGTAGTCGATCTATATCGTGTACGCTATATATCATTGTTTATAGGAGAAAAAACATTTTGATATTTGAGTAAGTAGACAAAACATCCCCAAAAGACTTATTTTACATATATTTTGTCGTCATCAAACGCAATACGTTTTATTTTCATTGTCTATACCATATACTGCCCATAAAATATCTTGTTAACCCGTATTAAACAATTCCTTGTCTATCAAAATTATTAACATCCACAAAATTCGGTTATACTTACCAAACACATTCATTAGAAAACACACTCACGCACTAATAAGGTTTTCTTAATAGTTAATAGTTTTCTACGTTCTGACGATAAACTGTCAGTAAATCTGTTCAGTACATATGTAAATCGTAAATACGTCTAGACATCACAGAGTCAGAGGTAAATAAGGAACTACGACAGGTAATAATTAAGCACAGGTAAATAAGGGACAAAGACCGATAAGAATTAAGCAGAGGTAAATAAGGGACTAAGACAGTATGAATTAAGCAAAGATAAATAAGGGACAAAGACAGATACGAATTAAGCAGAGGTAAATAAGGGACTAAGACAGTATGAATTAAGCAAAGATAAATAAGGGACAAAGACCGATACGAATTAAGCAGAGGTAAATAAGGGACTATGACAGATAAGAATTAAAAAGAGATAAATAAGTGACAAAGACAGATAAGAATTAAGAAGCGATAAATAAGGGACAAAGACAGATAAGAATTAAGTTTTTTTTCTGTAAAATTTAGCATCGTATCTTGCAATTTCAGAAGTTAAATTTGGATGTCGAGGCGAAGAAGAGGAGAAAAACTAAGGTCGTTCTTATCCGTGGATGTTAGGATCCACATCGGTGTGATGAAGTTGTGTTGAGCTCAGTTTTCTAGAAAGTACCACATATGTACTTAGCGACCAGCTGAGTTGTAAGCTTACACTTCAATGCTTCAGTGGACTTCGTTAACTTCAGTAAGTAGCGTACATGTGTGACATATCGGCATTCCCAACTGAATCAGCTTTTCGAGGTAGATATCTTGTGTAACGGGACGTCGTTATTTCCAAATCATGATAAACAGAGAGGTTTGTGACAAGTAGATCGGACATGAAACATTTTTGAGATAGAACACATACCCGAGGGCAGTGTGTCTATATATATTATACTATTTGCCACAATTCTTAGGTATAGCCTATGTGGATTTTTAGAACATTAAGGTATTGCGATGTTGATCCAGTTTTTTGTGAACAAATCTTTCGGAATCTTTTAAATACATTTATTTCTGTCTTTTGTCTCAGCGAAATGCCGACTTTTCCATCAATGATATAACACGGTTTAGCGAATTAACGTTTAAAATTAGATTATACGTAAAAGTGCCTACCTGATGGTGCTAAATACTGAAACCGAGGGTTTGTTCTGGTGGTATCATTCTGAGAGATATATGGCACAATGGCCTGACACTTAATCAAATAGAGTGTCCCCTTTTTGTGACAAAACCTAAATCATATCATAATACACATGCAAGTAAGTCAACAGTTAGGTACTTGATCGATAGGTCAATAGTTAGGTACTTGATCGACAGATCAACAGTTAGGTACTTGACTGACAGTTCAACAGTTAGGTACTTGATCGATAGGTCAACAGTTAGGTACTTGATCGACAGGTCAACAGTTAGGTACTTGATCGACAGGTCAATAGTTAGGTACTTGATCGACAGGTCAACAGTTAGGTACTTGATCGACAGATCAACAGTTAGGTACTTGATCGACAGGTCAATAGTTAGGTACTTGATCGACAGGTCAACAGTTAGGTACTTGATCGACAGGTCAATAGTTAGGTACTTGATCGACAGATCAACAGTTAGGTACTTGAATGACAGTTCAACAGTTAGACACATGATCGACAGATCAACAGTTAGGCACTTGATCGACAGGTCAACAGTTAGGTACTTGATCGACAGGTCAACAGTTAGGTACTTGATCGATAGTTCAACAGTTAGGCACTTGATCGACAGATCAACAGTTAGGTACTGTACTTTGTCGACATGTCGTTCTTCATTCTTGATTTTAATCATTTTAAACATCAGTTCTTTTTTTCAACGGTTTTGTGGTCAGTGATAACAGTTATGTAATCAGTGTTAATTTGTGAACAGGGTTTTGAAACAGATATACTAAAACTGTTATAAAACATTCTACGCAACAATAAACCGATATCGTTTTCAGATATTACATGTATAATAGTCATTAGTGATGAAAGACACGGTTTAAATATCAATCACAGCTACTTCATGTTGTACGAGCAATTATTGTTAGTTGTCCTAAATATTTAAGACTGCATGACGTTTTTGAAATGGCCAATATCTTGATATATAAAGAGTGCAAAACCTTCCTGATCATGAAATTGCTTTATCAAATCAGGGAGAATTCCCATTGACATTGTTGTAAGACGTCACTTTCCATTTGTTCTCGGGAAAAAATCTACTGTACAATTTCATTAGTCCATGAAATTCATCACGTTATCGGTCCATTTATCGAGGAGCTTTCTGTGACAGCAGAGTTGTGTTTGTCTAGATTCTATTTGATTTATTCCTAAAAATGGATTGACCTACATTAAGAGCCCAATACAGACAAAACCGCTCTGTTCCAATTAGGTCCATGGCCAAATACATTCCGGGTGAGTCCCGCGTTCTGTACGCTCAGGAGGGATACTTCGTGGTGAGACGTAATATTCCGGTCTTCCTTTTATCTGATGTACACACAGCCTCCCGATTATCCAACCCAATGCTTTGTATTTCCGTAAAGACACGGCCTGAATGGACACGTGTGGCGTCGTGCTTATAGAATTATGGAAGACACCGCTGGCGTCGTCAAAAAACACTTTAAAGACAGACTCTTCGTCGGTGTACAAACACGTGCACAGTCTGAGCGTACACTTCGAGCGTCGTACAGTCTGGAAATGTCTGAATACGCCGCGAAGTCTCACGGTTCACTGCTGTACAGTAAATTATATCAAAAAGGACAATGTATACATTCCTTAGCAACACTGCGGTTTGTGGAAACGTTTACAGCACTTGACATCAAACGTACAAAGAACGGTACAGCGCCTCTGCCAACATAGTTAATCCCTATATAAAAACGGTCCCGTTTTATCCTATACTCCTGTCCTTAAGTTGTAGTGCAGTGCTATCTTGGTTTGTTTGCTTTAATAATCACCTTCAGAAACATGCCGGACTTTAAAGTGTGCGTTCCCATAAGAACACACCGATCTTATAAATGCATCTTGTGGAAAAAACACTGCCAATTGGTCGACTTTCCTTTGAAATGATGCAAGCGGACGGATTTTATGGAGAGCGGAAATAGGCAGCCTGGTTGTTATAGTTCCTTGCGGAGTGATACGAACTTTACAGGAAGGCAACTGTTACTGGCATAGCAAACA